GCATAAACACGACAAGGGTGAGTGATCCGAATTCCGAACAGCCCTCCTTTCAAGTCCTTCGCTCAGGCAACGCTCAGTCAACCATTCGCTGCGCCTCAGAATATATCTGAAGTCTCCGATTAAATAAACTGAGAAGCAGTGTACGATGTGACAAACATCTCGAACATCTCAACGCTAGCATCAACTCATCGCGAGGCCTTCTCCTGGTGTGTTCGAAGCGACATAAATCAAAATGTCCGTGGGTTATATTCGTCCGTGTTGTACTAGAATGATACCTCACTTACCGCTAGCCCATGTCAGCGCCGCACTCGATTCCCCCTCGATTCCCGAGCTGACGTACGCCCTAACTCGGACGAGCTCTGCTTCTGCCTGACTATTCATATGTTTCTCGTTCTATCCTTCCCCGCGCCCGAAACAGCGATGTCCGCGCTGTACACTGTGACTCGAGCGAACGCGCGTCGGAGCTGGTTACGACCACGTGACCGCGTGCTCCAGGCTCGCCCTGCTCGCCTTTGCCACCAGCCTCTGATACGCAGCTCACACCTTCTCCCTCCACCTCCACGACATCGAGCGCACTTGTTACAATACTGCAGTACCGGGCGCGACCACTGTGAATGTGCGCGCCAACAGCGCGGGTGTACGGGACGCAGCGTGCGCGGCGCTCTCATGGCAGCGCAGAGCCTCTGAAAATGTTTTTGATGGAGGCACAGATATATATCTCGATGAAAGCCGCCATGACGGGACGCTCTGAACCTGATACATGCTGCGGATCCGCAGGTCAGCCAAACGAAACAGCGGAGATCGACGCACACCGAAAAAACCTCACCGAAGAGACAAACTGCCTCTGAGCCTTTCCGAGTCGCCGCGATCTACCTTCGCGGCTCGTACGCAGGCAGCGGTTCCGAGTTTCCGCTATGCACCGAGCGCGCGTCGTCGCCCGCCATCATAGATAAAACACGCTGCCCGAACGCCCACGGGAGCGCGAGATGGAGGAGCCTTTCTTCGTGTGCGGCCCCCGTCACCAACTCGGGCGCTGCCGTAGCGTTGTCCCGGGACACGGCGTGAGTTCCGTGGAGAATTTCTGGGCGGTCAGATAGGTAGTCGGTTAATGGTGGATCGGGAAGTGGCCGAGAAGACCTATGGGGCTCTTGTCCGTAAGATTCTTAGTCTTTGTGCTCTACATGGACGGCTGGCAACGTTCGGGGCAAGGTTGAGGGCTCCTGACTTGTCGCACTGTCATCGGGCGCACCATGTGAGCTTTCTGACGCTAGGGAAGTGGTGCGCGTGCAAGTCTCTGGTACGCTGTCGCCCGCCTGAACCTTAGAACAGACATGCGAACGCGGGCGTACGACCGGCACAGCTGAGGGCGAGTGATCGCTGGCGGGCAATCCGGAGGTGTCGTTTTGTGCTGGGAGCAGTTCCCGGGCGCGGGTGCGCCGTCGACGCAGCCAGAACGAGAGTAGAAGGGCGGCCATGGTGGCCAGCGTCACAGAAGCAATGACACCAGCGAGGGCCGGCGTCGGTATACGAGAGACGCGGTGTGAGGGGGATGAACTCGTCACGGTCGGGAACTGTGATTGTGGAGAAAACGGGGCATTGGATGACGCCTGCAGTGAGGAGCTCGTGATAGGCCGATTTGCCGAGGCATGCGAGGTCACTTTCGGAGAGCTGAATACCTCTGTCTCAGACTTCGAAGAGGATGCGGATGGTGAAGTTGAAGTGAAAGTGGGAGCAGCTCCGGTATCTTGCGCAGAGGTCGTGCCAGAAGCGGGAGTGATTGTAGGCAACTTTACGGGGCTTTGTGTCGGTGGTGATGGGGCTTTACTCGTATTGGTTGAGAAAGTAGATATCGGGATAGTCGAGGTCTCCGTGGTAGAGGATGTGAATATGGACGGCGAAAGCGACGACAGCGTGGCTGAAGTAGTCCGAGTCCTGTCTTGTGTGGACGTTGCCATCACTCCAGAAACTGAGTCGGTTTCGGTGGCGGGTCCAATCGCGTCAGAGCATCCAGGAATGGCATCGCATCGAAGGTCTCTGTGCAGAATATCTTCGACAGAGATATTGCCTGCAAGATGCATGGTTGATGAGGAGGTCATTGGTTGTGGGCAGGATGTCCTATCACAGGGAACGTCAGAGACGGACGTGAAGATGCGCGGCGAAGAAAAATGGACTGTAAGCCCCACTCACTGCGGAAGCCAAAGCAGAATATGATCCTTCCTAGCGGTGAGCAGCGTGGAAGTCTGTGGTATATATGTGAGTATGCTATCTCTACATCAGGAGATATATCGGCGATGAGGTGGGCAGCCATACGGTGCAAAGTGTTCGCCGGGGTATGCACTGGCGAAACGGATTAAGTCAAGTTTATCTTCCCTAACAGATGGAGAATAACGGTACTCGATAGTACTTCTCGCGCGCTGTTATCCCGTATACGCAACATGGCGCCTAAAGATCAACCAAATCATAGAAGTTGCAGACCGAGATCCGACTGCTACGACATTGCTGATTTTGATAATGCAGGGACCGGGCGGGAATCAGAGCGGTCTTGCAACACAGTACATAGAAGGGAGCTCAAGAGATGCATCTATCAGTCATCGTGTGGAGAACGAAGACCGCTCAATTTCCTGCAACACGTGTGATGGACAGTTCTCGATCAGTGTTCAGCATCCAATGTCGCATTCAAAAGGAACCATCACTCACGTATGTCTTGTGCCGCGAAAATGCCGACTCTCATGAGCCCTGCAATGTTGCAACCACGACTGTCCGCACGGCTAAAGCGTATCCTCAGTCGCAGTCTTTGTACCTCATATTTTCGCAAGGGCTAGGGCACAACGAATGCGGAAGACCGCGGCGGCGAGTGACACGTCTAAGTCTAGTTACGTCCTGAAAGAACTTGAATAAATAGAGTTTTGTGAGGTAGGTCGAAACGGGCGGCGCGCGATCATCTCACGCGCTGCACGAGGACGTCACCTCAGCATGACACACAACCCGGCGTGGCGAAACCATATCCTTGTGTCATCAAACGACGTGCCTAGTGATAACTCAAGAACCTGCAAATTCAGAAGCCTGATGTTAGCTCGAACGACCAGCGGGAAGTCATGATATATACTTCACTGAATGCCGCCTCTGCTTGTCACCAGACGGGGTCACCCCATCCACTATTCTCGTGGCTCGTATGCAGGCAGCGGCTCTGAGCCACCGCTCTCCACAGAGCGCGCATCTTCGCCCGCCATAGCTAGCACGCGTTGTCCGAAGACCCACGGCAGCGCGAGATGAAGGTGCCTGTCGCCCTGCGCACCCGCTGTCTCCAGCGCCAAGAGCTCGTACCGGTAGCATTCGGCGACGTATGGGAGGTCGCGGGTATATTGACCATCTCCATTTCGGAAGTCGAAGAGGATGAGCCCACAGAAGTCGAGATCGTGATGAATATGGGTACGGTGGCGGAAGGCGAAGCGGACGGGAGAGTAACAGCCAGTGTTTCTGGAGAGGAAGTCACGATCGTAGACGAAACGGTGTCGGATAGCTTGAATATGGCCTTCGTCGTGTGGGCCGAAGGGAGTAGCGTGGTAGGGAAGTCACTTTCCACTTTAGTAATTGCTTTTGGCACCGTCGGCGCAATGGGTTGAATCGGAGGAGCCACGGATGATGACGTGGGCACTGTAGATGCGACTCTCGTCGGCGTCGTGGATGGGTTGATAGGTTTCCCCAGAGTACACATGACATCGCTTCCATCCCTCACCGTACATCCAGCCGCCATAGTCTCTTCTGATATTTCAAAGAGGATGTTTTTCGTATGGCCACGGAAATGGGGAAGCGGTCCGCTCGGGATTGCAGCGACAATGTGCTGCTTGTCCTGCTATGTAGAGGATCAGCTATAGCCAGCTAACGGAGGCGAGTTCAGACCGGGGAAGACACGACTTACGAGAACGCAAGGACGTTGAGGTCTGTCTGAATAAGAGCGGAAAGAGGTACTATAAGTATACGGTTTCTACATCAAGAAGCGTTGTGGCGCGTGGTGAGGACTCGTTAGTCCTGCCTATAAACGTCAAACTGTTACCTGAGGTCGCCATGGGTGTGGCGAAGGTGGAAGTAGGGTGTCTTAATACTCAAATTAGCAATTTACCGGTCAAGAGAGCCACAGATGCAGTACTACAGCTGACAGCTGTCGCGTCCGCACATGATACAATCAGGCTGCCATGGTGCAAGGAAGATGAACTGTTCGTCTTCGAGCAGCATTAGCACGTTCAAACCTGGTATGGAGCTTACAGAATGCCTAATGAATGAGCTACTGACAGTGGTGCATCGCGCGCCGCGCATCCGACTATTGAAACAGTCGCGGACGAAGTAGAGTTATCGCCGATGCCGCGTACGCTCCCTTCGCGGTCACGAGCGCTAAATGGGCACGTGGCTATTCGGACGAAGTTCACCATCTTTAGGGCACGAGCACAACGATGTTGTCTGAGAGCTCCCGCCATGTATGAGTGATGTACTAGCTTGTATCAGAAGCATCATATTATAAAACAGGGCAGAGAATATGCTAGTAAGCTATGTTATCGATGGCAGGGACCCGTCATTCACGAACAAGTCGCCCGAACATCATACTTACTACTGCCAATAGTGATACCACTGTGATAGGCCATCAGTTGCAAACGATTGTCCTCCTTTCCATGCAAGTTACCTCACACCCCGGTCATCATTTAACTCCTACAGTATACTACGAGCACTATTTTAGCTGATATTCTACGAGTAGTCGCAAAGACCTCACCAAAGCATCGAAGACCACCACCCGTATACAGCTCGAAGCTGCTGGCACAACCCCGGGCCCTAGAGCCTCCCCGACACGGCGGTGACGCTCGGAGCATACCGAGGTACCCCTGAAATCCATAGTCCGCCACGACGTATATCCCTACGCTACGTGCTCGAGGGATAAATATGAGCAACGAGCAATGAGGGAACACGCGAACGCCTCACCGAAGACGACCTCCCTGCATCAACAAAGGAGTTCAAAGTCCACCAGCCTGTCCCTGTTCGCGTGGTTCGTACGCAGGCAACGACTCCGACCCCCCGCTCTCCAACGAGCGCGCGTCCTCGCGCGCCATCACGGCCAGAACGCGTTGACCGAGGACCCACGGGAGTGCGAGATGGAGAAGCCTCTCGCCCTGCACCGCCGTCTCCAGATCTGGCGCCAACGCAGCTGCCTGGGGTATCATGTACTGGTCGGCGGGGATACCCGCGCGATGCTGAGGTAGCGGCTCCCCCGACAATGGTTCGAGTGTTGGCGAAGGGGGGCTAGGGAGTTCCTGTTCGAGATATCCCCCGTCTTTGTGACTCACGTCAATCGCGCTCGACGTTGAGAACGAAGGTGCACGCCTGAGGCCCGCAGCGTCGCCCTCCTGTGCGCCGCATTCGTTGCCGGACACGAGCCGGTACCGGGTATCCGTGCTCTCATCTCGAATGCGATCGTCCGCCTGCCACTCGAAACGGGCCCGCGAGTGCGAGCGTACGAGCACAGGGGTGAAAGGAGTGTCGTCCGAGTGACTTGGTGATCTTCCGGAGCGGTCGCGCAGCGCGCAGGTGCGCGTCCGTCGTCGGCGCATCCAACGTAGGAGCAGAAGAACAGCAGCGCCAGCGACCAGTACGACAGAAGCCGTGGCTGCTACGAGCGCCGGGGCGGGTATACGCGAGACGCGTTGAGAGGACGCCGAAGAGCTCGCGGCGCTGGGCACCAGTGGCTGAAGAGACTCAGAGAGGCCGCTGCCGGCTGATGTTTGGGTATGTGCGCTTGTACTGGTACTGTTCCCTACTGCAGACGAGACTCCGAGTAGGCTGGATACGCGTAGTCCGGACGTGAACGTGGGTGCAGAAGTGATGGGTGCGTATTGTGCAGTGGACTGCGAGGGATCGGATGTCACAGAAGACTGAGGAAGAACGACTCGTGTGAGTTCGACAGAGGTTACACTAGCGCCAGAGGGGGATGGGGAGGGCGAAGGTGTCATAGACGGTGTGCTGCTCTGGCTCGTGCTGTCCAAGTTCGAAGCGGATAGGGAGGTAGAGATGAGACGCCCCGCTGTAGTGGATGGTAAGGTTGGCGTTACCGTGTGGGTGAGCGTGGTAGTTGTGCCTTGTGCGGACGTTTTGGAGGATGCAGATGTTGAGTCGCTGGGGGTATCACTCGCAGTTACGACTGTAGAGCAGCCGCCAAGGATGAACCAGAAGCGCTTGGAGCGTCTTGGCTGAGATGTCGTTGGCATATTTTCCAACGAAGGAGGGGAAGCTCGCATACACGGGACTTTACCAGCGTCGTAAAGCTAGACGTATCATACAGAATGTCAATGCGACGCCGGGATATAAGGGCAAGACAGACTTACTCGAGCCCAGGAGCGGGACGGTCCTTCCTGGGAGCGGCCGGCAACTTGACCTAGTATAAGTACGCAAACGACGCATCAAGAAGAAATGCCCAACACGACAGCGGCGACAGAAAATCTGACCGTGCACAACCTTGGTCTACGTCGACACGGGTGTGGCGTAGATTGCATCCGCCGCGGTGTGTCCGCACCGCTGTTCGTCGTTCAGCACATCCCGATTCGCCGCTCAGAGCGGGCGTAAGATCACGGACGAATCGCCGCGACATCGCAAAATCAAGCAGAGCTTCCATGGCAGCGTATAACAGAATGGGAAGCTTAAGGTTTGCATCTGCCATTATGCGAAGGACGTCGACCGGTGGTCCACAACAAGCGATGGACAGTTCCCGATCAGTAATTTTCAACGACATCACGAAAATACGGACACTCACACTCCCGATGTAGTTGTGTCATTGCCGCTAAACGCAGGCCTGTAAAAGCAGCGGCCGCTACTCTGACGTGATGGTAACACCTCTTGTGGCACGCTCTCCTCGTTACGTATTTTCATGGGGTGCGCGAGACTGCATATGGCTTGCAATCGCGCCGCTATTCGACCTGCCCCTATGCGACGTTCTATAGACCTGCGACTAGTACGTTAGAGCCAGATGCTGCATGGTCAGTTTGGAAAATAAGTTAAGAAAGACGCAAGTGTCTCACCGAAGTACGGGCCATCTGCTATCTCTATTCGCGCGGCACATACGCCGGCAGGGGCTCCGACCCCCCGCTGTCCACAGACCGCGCATCCTCGCGCGCGATGAACGCGAGCACGCGTTGTCCCAGTACCCATGGCAGCGCAAGATGGAGGAGCCGCTCGCCAGGTGCCTCTGCCCTCTCCGGATCAGCCCCAGATGTAGCCAACTCCACTGCCTGGGGCACGTCGTACCGGTCGGCGGCATCGTCTGAACGTTCCCGTACATGGTCCGTCGAACCTGGCTCTTGAATCGATAGAGCAGGCCCGGGGAGCTCCTGCCCAGTGAACAGGCGGCCTTTGCAATCCTCGTGGATATCTGGCCCGGGAGTCTGGGGCCGGGTCGAGCCTGGAGGTGGATGTTCGAGAGTCGCCGCACTGCCGTCCTGCGCACTCCGCGAGCTGCCAGACACAAGCGATTGTGTGCTGGAGCGGCTCTCCGGATCTCCATCGCTCATGTGGTGCTTCGGGAGGACACGCACGGAAGGGGCACGATCCGTCGCAGGCATCTCGGCGGGCTCCCCGTACTCCTGGACGGGAAGCAGCGCTTTGCGCGCACGCATACGTCGTCTTCGGCGAAGCCAGAAGCCCACCAGCGCTGCAGCAACCGTAGTGGTGAGTGCGATGGAGGCTACAGTGCCTGCGAGGGCCGGAGTCGCCAGTAGATGGCCCCGGGAGAGGTGAGTAGGGGTCGTGCTCGTCGTGCTGAGGAGTGGGAATTGCGGAGCGCCGCTGGACGACATGTGTGGCAGGGAGCTTGCACTGGTATGGTTGGCGGAGTGATCTGGCAGTACCGGTGAGCTGAACATCTCTGTAAAGGAAATCGAAGTCGGACTAGATTCCGAAGTCGAAATGGGTGCAGAAGTGGAAGCAGGGTCAGAAGTCGAGCTTGTAGGCAAGAATGCGGAAGCCGAAGTACTCGTGACTGCAAATGTCGAACTAGATAAGGGAGCGACCCCTGTCGATGTTGGAAAGGTTGTGCCAGAGGGTAGGGGTGAAGAAGGTAGGGCAGTATGAGTCAGTGATTCGCCCTGTGGTATTGGGACGGACACAGTTACTACCGTAAGTCTGGTGGACGTTATGAGGAACGTTTTGGTTGGCATGGTCTTCAAAATGGCAGGGAGACCGCGCCCAGGTGCGTTTATGACGATGATATCGCGTAGCGTATCCTGCCAGTCATGCAAATATTCAGTCACCGACCGAGACGATGCGATTTCGAAAGCACAAAGGGCGCAACTTACGAGCAAACTGTGAAGCTACACCGATAATCTCTCAGGACGAGCGGGGAACCCTATAAGTATGCGGTGTCTGCCACACCGGGGTCGATTAGCCTGCAACCGAGGTCAGCGCCCACGTTGAGAGCGAAACGCAACTGCCCTATCAAATGTCGCTTACTCGGTGATATTGACGTACCGCCCTCTATTATGCATGTCATCATGATTCTCCGAACCCCAATAACGCTAGTTAACTCCGCGCCCGGGAGTCGAGATCGCTGAGGCCATTCCGTGACTCGTGAGCCCGACATCATATCAGCTTCATCTCCACGTACACCATGACCGGGTTGGAGTATATCTATCATGACGGGAGGTACAGTCATCGATCAGCAGATATGAAATAGATGTATACACTCACGAGCAAATGCAGGCCTGCTGTATTCCGTGGAGAGCCGAGACCAGACCTTTAAGAGATAGTCCCGCGACTCCGAGAGCACCTCATCCGGTGTGTTTGTGCTGTAGAGCATAGCTAAAACGCTCACGCTACTGGCTGGAGCGCGTCCCAGCGAAGAGATGCGTACAGGCTACACCATCAAGTGCGACGGATGGTTGGATGGCGAGGACATTGTTGCCACGTCGCCAACAGCGCCATTCGGCCATGATATGGACTAAGAACTGCAAGGAAGAGGTTTCCATGAGTGATTCCGTGTCTGGCGCCGTCCACGTATGCGTACCTGAGAACAAATGTAGTACCGAGAATCGATGCGCGCTGCGCACTGGAAACCCTCTTCAACGAAGCCCAGCGGCGAAGGAGGCAGACGCGGCGAGCGCCAGTGACACACGTGGTCATGACGTCAGCACGATTACTGACATGAAAGCTACCCTCGTTCGCTCGTTCCGTTTCAGACAACTCACTCTGCCTCCGAGTCTATGGGACTGGCTGAGAAGCACCCTGTATAATGAATCATTTTTGGCCCTACTAGTACCAAACGAAGCTCGAGTGATTTTTAAGTGAGGTTTATCTTGTCGTCCCAATATGACGGCGAACTCTGCTGCTATCACCCAATTTCGCAGTATGCACTAGAGCACACCACCCCAGTAACATGAAGATCTAGGAGCCACAGTTAGGTCCCAACTAGAACTGAAAAAATCCACAAACGGTTGACCACCGAAGACCGCCGTAGTGCTCGCTCTGACATGAAGACAGACTCGTCGGACTAGTTCGCCCCATCCCTACTCGCGCGCCTCGTACGCAGGCAACGATTCCGAATAATCGTCATCCATATGATGGGCGTCCTCGCGCGCTATAAGAGCCAGCACGCGTTGTCCAAAGACCCACGGGAGCGCGAGATGAAGGACCCTTTCCCCGGATGCTCCTATCGTCCCCGGTTCCGGTGGCGCCTCAGGTACTCCGTGGGACTCCGTGGAGCTCCCCGCGACAGGCAGCAGGTCCTGCGCAGGAAATAGCGCGGAGACTGCAAGAGCGCGGCCCGAAGGCTCACGTTCGCGATGAACGCCGGCTTTGCGTTCTACCTCGAGGACGGAAGCAGGAAGGTGGAACTCCGACGACGACACACGATCGGGCGTCGCCACGCTGCCGGGAAAATTAGTCATACCAAGGGCTCGGACGGTGCGAGACGGGCCGCGCAGCGGCCCATATATGGTGCCCAGGGCGTGACGGTCGCGCGCGCCGAAGGCGCGTCCAGGATATGCAAGGGCGCGCACATCCCGCCTCAGGCTCGCGCATCCTGCGCCAGTAGTGCACCCGTTGTGCCCATATCTCTTGTACCTACACGCAAGTTATGAGGGCAAACTGTGCAAAATTGCGAGAGCTTCGCGGCGGCTCGCGCCGCCGCACTGAACGGGAATGGGCGCCTATTCCACGATCGCCTTCGAGGCAGTGGACGATACGAGCAATGTTCGTGCATGCAAAAATGACTCAAATATCCTTGAAAGTATTCAAACTGCATTGGAAGGACTGTGTGGTATTTTTGGAGCCTCGCGGCGGCGCGCCGCCGCGAATTTGTGCACATATAGCACGGAAAGCCTGGAATTAGGCTTTCCTTGCTCTTTTTACTCTGTATAATTCATACTGAGAGCTTCCGAGCCAGTGGAAACGGACCTCAATATATGCGTCATGCTATTAGTAATGTAATACACCTTTTTGGGAGCTTCTCGGACTCCTGTGCAGCCGTCGAGCGCGTCCACAACATCGCGGAGGAGGTCTGAATGCGATCACGTGCGTTGTGAATGGTCTCGTAACCTAAGTTTAGGGTTGGCTTTGGTCCTTAGGGGCGGGCGCTTCGGACCAATTCAGAGACCAATTTGGTCGGATCCTTGGAATCGCGCTGTATCCCGCTGCCGTCTTGCTCTCTGCACGTGCTGCTAGACACGACAGATTGAGAGCGCGCTCGTGCGCAGCTGTCTGGAGCACCATCCTGCGCCTGACATTTTGGGCGGAAGCGCGAAGGTAGCAGGGCCGCCACTGGGTACTCCGAACCGTGGTCGGCTGTGGACAATGTAGGTACTCCCTGCCGCGTGGAGAGCCGCACGTCAGCACGGGCTTTCCGCCGGCGCACCCAACAGCGCACTAGCGCGACTGCCACGACAGTGGCTAGTACTGCAGACACAGTGAGGCCTGCGAGGGCCGGCACTGGTAGACGATATCCATGGGAGGTCCCGGAAGACGTGCTTGTGGAGCCCAAGGATTCAACAGAGGATGGAGTTGACGCAGTGTGTGACGTCTGCCAAACGGCGGACGACGGGGAAATAGCTGACTTGAGCGAGCTCGCCTGAGCAGGGATTGTGGCAGTAGGGTCTTGCGCGGACGTCACGGACACTTTGGATGTATCTGTAGAGCTGCTCGTTTGTGACGGGATCATAGTAGTGGTGTCCTGCGTGGACATCCCGGACATCCCAGACCCGAGTGTGCTGGCAGCGCCGCCGTCGGTCGGTTGCGCCAAGTCCAACGAACCACAAGTCACCAGTGTTTGCCTCCCACAGAAAATCAGTTGGAAGCCCCTAGTCTGGGGTCCTTGCTGAGATAGCGTTGGCATGGTCGCCCAAAAGCGGCAAAAGCGGGGGAAGCTGTCTGAACTCGAAGGTGTCCTGGGGGGAAGAGCTGAGCAACGAGACTCTGCTATATGTAAGTTTGCAAAGCTACATCAGGAAGCGAGCGCTGCAACCTATCAAGATCGGGATTCCGCTCGACGGAGTTATCGAACCCGTTCAGAATCCGGGGACTGTCATACCACCGCATCTCCGCAAGACCCCAGGAGCACGTTTTCCGAAGTGCAGACCTAGGAAAGATGCTGAAGAGATGCATCTGCCAATATGACACCTACGTCCACAACGTGTGATAAACGGCTCTCGATCAGCATCCAACGTCGCCATCACGAAGATACGCACACTCACGTATGTGATATAAGTAGTCATGCAGTTGCCGCGAAACGGCCGTTGGAATTTCGCCGTCCCTCACTCCGATTCTCTGAACACACCTCATGCGCGTTATGCTCGCAAAGCCTGCGACGCTGCATACGACTGGTCATCATAGAGGCCGTTCAGCCTGCGATTTCGCCTCATGCCCCGAAACCTATCCCCAATGCTACGGAGTCAGAAGCTGCACGTCAGCCCAGATGAACAACGAAGGAAGACCAGATGTCTCACCAAACACCGCTTCCGCCCATCAGACGACGTATGTCCCAGTTGTTCGAGTCCGTCCTGTCTCTATCCGCGCGGCGCGTACGCAGGCAGCGGGTCCGAGTCATCGCTATCCACGGAGCGCGCATCTTCGCCTGCCATCATAGCCAGAACACGCTGTCCAAAGATCCACGGAAGCGCGAGATGCAGAAGTCTTTCGCCTTGTGCGCCCGCAGCCACCAGCTCAGGCGCAGCCTCGGACTCGGATGCCTCGCGTCTTGCCAGGGCGGAAATGTCCTCCATAGGGGGCGATACGGGCACGGGGACTCGCGGCGAAGGGGGTGGATTTGTGGTCTCATCTCTTAGAGTGTCGTGGTCTTTGCGACCCACGTGGGGATCGGGGGTGGGAGGCCGGGACGAAGGTGGACGCTCGAATATGGTCGCCCCGCGCGAGCTCCCGGGCTCGGACCCGAGAGATTCGGTGCGTGAGGAGCCCTTTGCAAGTGAGACGACCTCCTCTGCGTGAGACCTTTGGAAGAGACACGTAGGCTGACCGATTGCGGAGTCGGTGGTGTGTTCGGTAGTAGCCATTCCATCGGGCTCCATAAACTGCGTCGGGAGCAGCGCATGTGCACGAGCACGTCGATATCGTACCCAGCGGCGGACCAGAGCTGCAGTGATGGCAGAGGCAAGCACAGCGGCCAGAATGGCACCCACGAGAGCCGGGGTCGGCAGACGGGACCTATGCGAAGGTGCGGGGGCTGCACTCGTAGCGCTAGGGGCTGACAACGGAGGCGACTGGGAAGCACTAGATGATGCCGGTAGCGGGGATGACTGGCCATCACTAGATGGTGGTGGTAGTGGTGGCTGATAACCCGTACTGGTGCTGTTCGTTGAGGTAGGTGAGATGGAGGGTGAAGTGATGACTTCGGTCGTTTCCTGCGCCCCCGAGATTGGTGACACTCCAGATATGCCACTTTGAAAGCGAGTTCCACAGCTGACTAGAACATTTCCACACATGCGCTTTGCGTGGATCGGCTGAGACGTCGCTTGCATCGTTTCTAAAAAGGGAAGGCCGTCCGCACGGAATTTCACCAATGATGTGCAACGTGTCCTGCTATACCAAACGTTAGCAAACGAATCAACTGAGCCATATCTCGACATTCGGCGGACATACTTGACTCACGAGGACATACGCGGGGACTCTTTTAGAGGTAGACCACGGGCCTTATAACTATACGGAGTCCGCGTCTTTCAGTGATATATCACTTGTCAGGGATGATGTGGTATTCCCGCAGCGCGCCGTCCGCGGTCAAGAACCCATTGAGGGCGGGACTCACCTGCCACATCGGCTCGCGGTGTCAAGGCCGGCAGATAGCTTCTCCGCAGAAGACGTAAAAACTTTCAAGAGGACTTGTGCATCACGATGAATCCACAGTTGCTTCACAGAATAAACACGATGGTACTTACCGGCGGAGTGTGTGGCAGCATCATAATGATTTCTCAAGGCTAGATCAGATTCTATCATCCTCTTCGGCGGGCGCAGGACCCGGAGATGGGCGCGCGCGCAGCGCCCCGTGCGCGGCGAAGGCGACGGGCCGCGAATAGAGAACGTTTCCAACTGAGCGCTCGTATTCGAGACAAGCGGGGTTCGGTTGCGGATGAGCGGTTTTCTGCCCCAAAGAACACATCAGAAGAGGCGAGGGGAATCCGATGGTAGATACGACAATGATCCCGGGCGCGGTTCAGATGGTATCAGACGACATAGTGCATGTATGCACTCACATGCAGGTTTTTTGCGTGTACGCCGCGGAGACAGAAGCTGTCAGAGCCACCGCTGCAGCTCCGAGGGCTTCTCGTTCAGCGCGTTTGCACAGTTACAGATCTCTGGATCCGCCTGGCGCGGCACTAGCTGGCTAAGGAGCGAAGGCACTGTCGACTTGAAAAGAGACTCGACGCGGTCGCTAGTTGACGCATGCTATGGGCTGAGGACTGGCGCAAGGAATAGATGTATATGAGTAAGTCCTCGTGAGGTGTCGTCTATATTCATGCGTACCTAGAGCTGGATGGCGTGCCCACAATCGAAGTGCGCTGCGCTTTGGAAACGGTCTTGAACGAAGCAGACTAGGGCGAAGTTGGCGAGCGCAAGACGCGGCGAGCGCCAATGGCGCACGTGGCTGTGACGTCAGCATGTCGGCGCTCGGGATCCGGACGCGCATGGAAGACCTCCTTCGCTCAGAGAACTCCCTCCGCCTCCTCTACGCCGGCGGGACTGGCTGGGAAGGACCGTGTACGATGGGCTCTTCTCGCGCCTACCACATGCTCATCTACGACAGACTATGGATCATCTCAACTCTGCCTTGTTGTCGCGCGGCATCACCTCATCTCGAGTGCCATCCACTACGCGTCCCGTGCGACTAGAGACCATATGGCCCGCTGATATACCGCCTTGTACTGCTCGATCGCAACCTTCTTAGAGTTTATAGACAACGGCAACGCCGCGCTCGTCTCCCGCACTGCTTTCTTTCCCCCTCGCTCCTCGTCTCGCTGTCGCCTGTCGAGCCTTTGTAAAACATGCAACTCTCTCGCAGGCTCAACGGCTACACGCTTCTTCTGCTCTCCATGATCTCTGCAGCAGCCGCTCTAGACCTCCAGACGGATGGCGTTCCCAAAGGACTCTCGTTTCTCTCCGCGCCGGCTCCTGCGCCCACTTCGGCTACCACTCCGGTTTCGGCGTGCGTCACCCAGTGCGTCAACGCCGCTCTGACGAAGGGCGGCTGCACAAGCCTGTCAGTCCCCTCTCTCCTGCAACGTCACATTCATCATGATATAAAACCCGACTGACACAACCTGCGCGCGATCACCAGCGCCGACACGTTCTGCTTCTGCGCCAACCTCGCGGTGATAGCGTCTCTGTCCCAGTGCGTCCAGCGCGCCTGCCCCGAAGTCGAAAACAGCGTCTTCACGCTCTACACCGATACCTGCGCCACTTTCCCCCGTGAGTACCCTCCCCTCATCTCTCCCCGCCCGGCGTCGCCTTGGCTATCGCCATCGCCTTCCCTGTCAGACGGCATCACGCCCACGTGACCGCGCACTGACCATCCTCTCCCGCCCAGTGCCCGGCCTCGGCAGCATCCTCCCGCCCGACCTCGCCTCGTCGTCGTCCGGGTCTCTCGCCGCCTCTGCGCCCGCTACTGCATCTCACACAACCTCGGATACCCAACCCGTGCCTTCCGCGTCGCAGGCTACGCCTACCTCAGCGGCGACGACGTCCTCGGCTGCACCCACCTCAAGCGCGAACCCGGGCGTAGTCTCATCCGACCCGGCCGGCACGCAGGTCACTGTAACTGCGACTAGCGCGAGCGCAAGCGCGTCTGGATCTGCGCTGAACCCGACCGTCAACGGCGCCGCACACTGTGCGGGGCGCAGCGTCCTTGGGGCGGGTCTCGCGCTCGCCATCGCGGCGTGGATCTTTTGAGCACACTTAGCAGGAGGGATGGATGCCGTCTGGTGGAGGACTCGGCACGCGTCTGGCTCGTGTTCTGGTGCTCGATATACCCCAAGTCCGCTGTCCCCGCCGTTCGTTCGTTTGTACTGTATATGTACTATGTACTATTGGGAATCGCTCGAGACTGTACCATATCCTCTGAGAAATGACAATGATCTGTTCGCAGGGCCACTGTTCTGACCTCCACTCCGTCCAGGACCATCCGCGCAGACGATGCCTGACGCGCAGACGACAAACTCAAAGTACACCCCACAAGGAAAGAGAAAAATCAGGGTATATGCGCCTACAACACACACGTACAATCGCTCGCCGAGCAACCCTCCCCCTCCCTCCTACTCCATTCCTCCCGGCCTCACCATCAAGCAACCCCAGACCGCCCCTTCTCCCCCACTTTAACCCTCACATCCTCCACATCCTCCGCGTCCTCGCGCTCGCTCCCAAGACTGATCCTCGCCTCCGCACAACGACGCCGCCTATACGCCCCAACAGCAGCCACGACCGCGAACACCACGAGCGCAAGGGGCACGAACACGACCGGCGACGCGACGCCACCTCCACACCCGCCCTGGACGTGCACCGCAGCGCTCGTCAAGTTCCCTAACACAGCCCCGCTCTCCCCGCTTGGAGACGGCAAAGCGCGCCGCGAAAGTCCCCCAGCGGCCGCCCCCCCAGGAACTACTCCCCAGGAGTAAGTAACGCTGCGAGACGAGTAGGGGAAACGCACCTAACCCGGGGCAGCGCGCCTCCTCCGCGGCCTCGAGCGCCGCAAAGTCCGCCGGGGCGCAGAAGCGCTGCAGGCACGTCGCGCCCTTGGCGACGGGCGACTCCGCGCACGAGCAGTCGCGTGCGCTGTGTGTTTCGTGCTCGTCAGTGGGCCATTCTCGTCAGTCCATGGTCGGGGAAGAGGAAGAGGAAGGGGGAGAAGAGGGAGAGGAGGGACAGAGGAGGGAAGAGAGGGAGAGAGGGAGAGGAGGGGAAGGGAGAGAGGGAGAGAGGGAGAGAGGGAGAGGGGGGACGTACATGGACTCGAAGAGGTCCGTGGTGCCGCAGTTGCTGGGGAAGACGGAGACGCGGCCGGCGCGGAGGCAGAAGAAGTCGCATTCCGGGAAGTCGTCAGACATGGCTCGCGGGGTATGGTGTGTGTGTTGACTTTGCTGAAAGGTCGGGGGTCGCTGGAGCTGGAATGAGGAAAGTGTGAGCTGCGAGTTGGACCACTCCAGGAGCAGCGGAAGACGTACCTGACAGGTCCTGTCGCCGCTGAACTTCCGGAAAATGAGGGAGCGAGACCGAGAAGCCCCACGGCCGTTTTATACTCTCCATCAGACCCTCCATTGTCGATCGCCTTCGCAGCGTAGCAGGGCACCGCTCCCCGCGTGAGCATCCACCGCACATCTCGACTCCTCCAAATTGAAGTGTTGGACGTGTTGCTGATGCCCGTCGCGCTGCCAAGCGTCACGGGAGGCGCAAGCGGCGCAGTATGTATGCAGCATCGCTCTGTGCAGGTACACCGAGAGTCCGCATGAGACCGAGCTTGGTCGTGATATAAGTGCCTGTCAGGCGCTGGGGAATCAGACTGTGATCGCATCAAGGATACCAGTAGGCCTGGCCGCTGGCTTGTACAGGAGCGTCGAGACGGCGGTGACCTCGACGGCAAGTGTTCTGGTCATTCGTGGAGGTGGAACTAGTTCCAGAGGCCCGACGATGCAACCGCTTATATCGAGGAGAGGCCGTTCTCGACGTCGACATCGAGTTCGACAGATCTGGTTGCAGCCACCGTTACTAGTGTACAAGGACGCCTAACTGACGATTACCAAGGCAAGGGAGACAAATACAAAAACCACTCACCTGAACCTCAGGAATCGCAGCAAACTACTCCGGGTGATAGAATCGAGAACTGCGACGGGCCGCACATTGGATCCTCACGTGCTTGTCCGCCGCGGTGCCAGTACGCCAGTAGCTGCACAACTGTCTCCAGGGCTACTACAAATTCGCAGAGAACACACCTGTGCTATCTCGCGAGCTGCAATCACTCTAAAATTGTGTTGTAGCACATTCAAGAGGATATCGTAAGCCGGGTAAAAATCTAGAATCAAGCAGGAATTGTGAGCATGGCGGTAGACGTGGATTCATAGATACTCACACTTCTGAGACACGCTCGCTCGCCGCACGACGCGAGATGTTCTCCCAACACCGATCGTCAAGCGTACTGTTGTTCTTCTTATCCGGGATAGTGGTGTCCGCGACTATACATGCAAGTTCAAGGTGACCCCGATTTGCTTGATGGCGTCTATGGGTACTGACGACGGCTACGACAGCATGCACCGCGAGTGCCAGTAAAACGAGGAGCAAGGGCGACGCGACGGCGCTCGTGACACTGCTCCATTCGCGCGAGCATGCCTGGAACCCTTACATACCATCAACGACCCCCAAGACAGATCATCAACTAGTAAGTACGCAGCGCTCACCATAGGGTGCCTCCCTATCCATCCGTCACGTACCCAGGTAGCTCTTCCCCGCAAGAGCCTGCAGAGCCCTCCTCTTCTTCACGCATCGGCGTAGCAGCAAGAATCGCCAGCAGACGTTCCCCGAGCGGCCACGGAAGTACGACGACCTGCTCATCCGGACCTCGTCCCCGAGTTCTTTGCGGAAGGCGCAGTGCAGCCAAAGATGGCTGGGGCTCCAATCCCAGCGACGGCACGTATTGGAGGGATGCCGACTGGGGGGGCTGAGGGGGGCTGGCGAGGATGCGTCGCTGAGGGGTATGGCCATTGGCGAGATGTAGCCGAGGCGTCCGATGTCGCCCGACTTGTTCCGTCTGCGCTGCGGCCGCGGGGAGGACATCGCTGACGGAACATGAGCTTCCGTCGAACGCGCAGACGCTATACTGTCCCGTTGTCTGGATCAGCGGCGAGGACGCAGTGGACGGATCGAAAGAGGCGCGATATATCGACCGGGGTGCATTGCTGCGTTCCGCTTGCATGGGAAGAAGAGCTGGAGCGCAATCGCTTGAGACGTGTTCGGCCCTAGTTCCAGCGTAGGATGGATCGCTGGCTGAAAGGGATGTCTGGCTCGTCGTGTCAAGCCGCCGCTTCCACCACTTGCGAATCATCATCAGGCCTGCAACAGACAGGACCGTCGAGACGATGGCGAGCGCAGCAACGACCGGCGTTGATATAAGGCGAAGTGAACGCGTGTTTGAGATCACATCGCCTGGTAATGGATCATGGGCCCCTGGGAAGAACTCCGTCGTTGTAGCGGCGGGCGTGGAGCTGCTGAGAGAAGCTCCGGAGATTTTCGGAGTTGCAGCTGACGTCGAGGAAAGATCATGCGCCGATGTGAGGTCTGACAGATCTAGTTGGAACCTATATTAGTGTGCATGTCCGCGACGTGTATCTGATCACGGGGTACTGAGACCAACGAGATAAGCGAGTTACTACTCACCTGAACCTGAGATCCCCTCCCGCCCGCACAGATCTGCCTCTCCAAGCATAAAGCGCTCGAACTGTGCCGCGGAGCACATGGAGCGGACGCAAAGGAGTTGGTCTACGAAGGCTGCAGAGCAGTTGCATGTACTGGCAAGAGCCTAGTGTCAGCTTCACAAACAAAACACTGTCACTGCACACAGTAGCCAAGATGAGCGATCACGCACCCAATAAGCTCGGTTAGGTTTGAGCATGCGGCGTCCCTCAACGTCAGCGCGGTGTTTGATTGGAGGACGCCAGCTCCGACCGTGCAGTCGACGGGGCAAGCAGTCGGCATGATATCTCTGCGAGGATTCATTCTGTCATGCATGCTGGAGATTGAGCAGCCTTTGCGTGTCCGGGCCGGCAAACCAATTGTGGAGGAGGGTACGAGTGCTAAGCGTTGGACGGGAATTGCAGCACGGGCAAAGGGCCTGTGCAACGAAGGTAGACCCGCATTTATCTAAGACATACGCGCACGGCGTATGCTATGCAAGGCGTTAGAACGCGTCGGTATCCCAGCGAGGTGATATACTGCAACTACGCCACTCACCAACAGGTGGTTCACCCAGAAGAGGTAATGTGTTTACAGTACACATTTTGCGGCGTTGTGGCCCCGAGCGAACACGTCCGCTGTGTCGCCTGGTGACTGGTGCGCGTGTGATGATCTGTTTACCTCCTGCGGCGTCGGTGTTGGGGTGTGTAGGTTGTCGTGGATGTATGGACCTAGATACCGCTGAACTATGAATATGCACCCCCAGCTTCGGAGCGCTAGCGTTGAGCATGGACCTCAGGTTCCCAAGAAACGGTACCTCGGGAGTAATGCTATCCGGAGGGAAGGGGCGACGTACTGTAGCGAAGCTATGGGCACACGTGTCTGACGCTGCGATGTCTGAGTCACAGCAGTGGCGCAATCGGTTGGAGAGTTGCTGTGAGTCTAGCCTGTGCAGATGTTAGATGTTTTACATCCCGAGAGTAGCCTTCGCTCTCGGGCATGCCTGTCCTTGGTCATTATGAGGACGCTATACGCCGTGTTTAGAAGATATATCTATGCAGCGTTTCGTAAGCACGGAAGAAGATCGCGATGCAAAGATACGTACACTGCCGAAATGCGCTCGCTCGATGATCAACGCGCTGCACTCCTCTCAGACTGCCTTTCAAGGCGCGTAACTCCCTTCCGGATCAGAGTCTTCCATCAAGCAGTCCTAGGCCACCCCTTCTCGCCCACGCTAGCACTAGCCGCGTACCCGGAGCCTCCTACAGGCAGCATCGGGGGTTCCAAGATAACCCGAGCTGCGCGCCGGCGTTTGTAGGCGCCAATCGTGCCTACAACAGCGAGCAATGCAAACGCCACAGGAACGAGGACGAAGAGCGACGCGACGGCGCTGGTGATGCCGCCGCCGCATCCGAGGTGAGCAGCATTGGTAGAGTTGATCATGACGAAGCCGATTTGCTCCGGGGACGACTCAAACACCAAGGCCTGGCGCAACGCTGTGGCCTCAGCCTCGCGGGGCCAGGCCGTCGCAGCGAGCGCGCGGCGATACACGGTGACCACGTCCGCAGTGAGTTCGTCCTGGTCGGCACGGGTGACTGCGAGGGGTGAGTGCCAATCTCGAGCGTGAACGGAAGCCACGTACCTAAACCTGGGCATCGGGCCTCTTCGGCGGCGACGAGGCTGTCGAAATCCTGCGGAGCGCAGATAGACTGTAGGCACGTCGGGTTCTTTGTGACGGGGGACTCCTCGCATGTGCAGTCCGTAGCGCTAAATCGACGTGCACGATCAAAGCGCGTCAGTCATGGAACGTGGGGCTTGAGCTCGGGCGTGCCAGATGAGGAGGACGTACATGAATGACTCTGCCCCACCACAGTTAGATGGGACGATGGAGACGCGGCCCACGTGGTTACAAAAGAAGTCGCACTCGGGGAAGGTGGACATGACGAGTGCCGACTTCGTGGGTGGGAGTGGGAGATCACCAGGAACAGAAGACGTCAGCTTCGAGTGGACTACACAGCGGCGGAAGACGTACGTGCAAAACCCGATGATACGTGGAGCTTCTGGCCGCTGATCTCTTCTACCCACAAAGGAGATGATGTGGGGGGAAATAAGCAACCATTCGGCGGTTTTATGATCTTCACCGGGCGGTCTACAGCTGATTGAGTTCGCAGCGTAGCACGGCAAAGGCCTCCGTGTGGAAGTAAATACCATACACTGGGGGACTCCAGTAAGGTAAACTTTTGGACATATTGCTGATGGTCCTGGCGCTGCGTAGTGTCGTTGAGCGCAGAAAGGAGATGTAAGCGGCTCCACGGACATTGCCCGTCCGCATGAGACCGAACCTATTTATGTCATATCGTGACATCTGTGAGTTCGCTCTCTGCGAAGTACGCATGTGCTTACAGCTTTAAATTGTGGGCATCCTTTCTGTTCAAGTAACATGCGTAGTACTTGCTTGCACTGTGCAGCGGGTAAAGCATGAAAGTGGATCGCAAGAAAGCATATGCCGGCGTTTACAGTATACGATGACGGTCAACCCCACGTGGTTTTCAAGCGCCGGCGAAATAGACAGCGAGGCGGCGGGGCGCCCATGATCAAGCCTTTCTTCCTTCTACCCACGACCGTACATCCTCCGTACTACTACTGGTTCTGGCATGTATCATGCGCTGCCATTAGGATATCCCGCTTTGCGAAAGAAGCAGAGGTATGTTTTCGGAATGTTCTAAGAACTAATCATAGTAATCAAACCAGCCGTACTCACCAAGCCTACACCACAAAAACCATTGCGATATGCAGAACCCACAGCTGCCCTGCGCACCATGAAACACACTGGTATGTCGTCAAGTCCCCACTAGACTTTAGTCCCCGCATGATTGGCTGTCCTGCAGATCGGTTGATGCCAACACGCGACCATGTCTTCGTTACACCATGAACCGGTATGTTCCAGACCCACTTAAGGTGGTGGCGTAGCTTGCTGATGATGAATAGTTCCCATGGGTGTCGGTTTTTGACAGGTCTTGGCCATGCACCTACTCCGCGATAGCGTATGCGTTCTATTGCCATCCTCACCCCCGACACGGTCCCTCGGCACTCGGCACATAAGTGCTGTGCACCCTGGGTTCTTCGAAGCCCCGCTCTACGTGCTCGAAGACTGCCGTGGCTCACATGATGGCCGCAGATACCCCAGCAAACTCGCAGGCGGGTCGCCTTGCGGGACCGTCCTCCCCTTCTGGCGGGTCATCACCTTCTGTACACTGCGCAGATGGACGCCCTGTGCTGATTGTGCATAGGTTGATCTCGATCACGTCTCCGTACTTCTTTCGGCGTTGACCATCTCGCCCTCCTCTTCACGGGATTTGCTGTTCCCGCCTGCCCGCCCTCGCTCGCGCTCCCCACCCACCACCATGCCTCCACTCTTTTCGGATCCTCTTCTCCGTCTTCTGGCTACCTTGGCTCTGGCTTTCCTTTCAATCCCGGTGACGCTCGCAGCTGGTACTAGGACAAACGTTACCGTGGATGATACCGATGGCAGCGCTACCGGCGGGTTCCAGATCGTGTACGAGCCTCCCGGCGTCTGGAGCACCGGGCAGAACTGCACGACCTGCGAAGCGAAAGTCGACAAGACAAAGGCGACAGACGGCACTTGGCACGACGTGAGTTTTATCTCAGACAACCCACCGCCTAGCCCGATAACTGCGACGCTCACGTTCAACGGTAAGTGCCTCGCGCTTATCAGAGCTGTCCTCAGCCGCTCACATACGGAGCGCAGGTGTCGGAGTGTACGCGTTCTGCATAATCACACAATCATTCACGGATCCGAACGGCAACTGGGACCTGACGTTCCTCATCGACGGCGAGCAGTCTGGCACCTTCGAGCTCGCCCCGGACGGTGACGACACCTACCGATATAACGTCCCTGTGTACGGCAATGACTCCCTCACGCCCGGAACGCACACATTCACGATGGTGGTCGGCCACGCGGGCGGACAATCGTCCCTAGCATTGTTGGATTACATGGTGTTCACGTACGTATCTCTCAATGTTTCACTGTACGTTGCTCACCGTGACCTCGGCGCAGCCAAGAAGACGGCGCGGACGCGCCTGTCACCTCATCCGCCGCGTCTACACCGTCCAGTCCGTCCAGTGTGTCTAGCACCTTTACCGCATCGTCAAGCGCGACCGCGCCCGCAATCGATCCGTCCGCGCACAGCTCAGCAACGACGACGATCGCGTTGTCCGTCACCCTCACCGCAGTTGCGCTACTCGGTCTCGGCGGAGCGATCTTCTTCTGCACAAGACGACGCTACCAGCGAAAATACGCGCAACGCGCCGAGACCTCCACTCTCGATGGCGGCAAAGCCGAGGGTGACGGTGAGACGCCGTCCACAGCTGGCTTCCGCGCCCTGCCTGTCTTCCCCCGCACGCGCGCGTCCGACATCGACCCACAACAAGTCGCGCACCCCTTCTTCGTGCCCCCACCACCACTCTCCCCGCCCTCACGATCTCCCTCGAACGCGACGAGCTACACGTGGCTACCGGAAGCGGGCGCCTACGTCGCAGTGAAGCCCACGGCGCCTGCCGCGTCCGTCCACTCACTCGCGTCTGCGTCTCAGTCGCGTATGGACGCAGATCTTCCGCCAGTCCCGCAATCCCCTCAATCCCCAGCAGGCGCGTCCTCGCACGAGCCGACCACGCTGGCGGGCTCCGGCTCCGGTTCTGGCGCCCAACCCGCGGGCCGCGCTCGGGGCGGCAGCGTCCTGCGGTACGTGCAGAACGACGAGGGCCCAGAGGCGCTTTCTCCCTTGTCGGAGCACTCGAAAGCACCTCTACCGTCGTCGCCTGTTTCACCGTCCGCGGGCGGGTCGCAGCACGGATCGGGGCCGATGACGGTGTTGGGTACGGATATGGACATGGAGGAGGGGCCGCCGCCGTACGCGCCAAGGGCACCGTCAAGAGTCGGACAGCAATAGTCGATAACTGCACGCCGATTCGGCCCCCACTAGGAAGCCGTCCCACGATTCATCGAACCTGCGAAGGCCACTGCATCATTATCACAGATTACCTGCGATCTCGAGACCCGCCGACAGGTCAACATCGCTATCGACAAGATGATACCCGCTGCGGTCTGACGGTGCCAGAGAAGCCACATCGAGCGCTCTCTTATATGATCGTTCTGTGTAGGGATGGTGGGGACTGTCATCATGTATTCCCTTTTTTCAGGTACTCGGTACTTACTACGATCGTTTTGCTCATGTAATCTCTGTATTTTATGCCGGTGATATATATCCAGCACTACATTGTGCAATCGCCCAGACCCTTCCCGAAAGATCATCTTCGAATCGGGTCGGTGGCATGATGTCGAGGAGGTGTTTGCGCAGCCTTCAGTTTGCGAACCCCTTTGAAGGTTCGCGTAGAGAACCAAGTTGAATGGCAGCGACGATCCTATGAAGAAGCCGTCATGATAATAGTACGTGTATCCTTAAGTGCGATCAGAAAGATAGAGATATTACGACTAATGCTATGTTTTACTTGGACAAAATAGAAGTGCAGGTATATACGCTGCCAGGCCCATAACGCTGACCCACTCAGCACTCAACAACAGCAATCAAAGCACAGGGGGCTTATACGTCAAAATCACTCTCCACCGCTCCCGCGCCGAGTGTTTCAAGTCATACCCAAACGCTATCCGTCCCCGCTGATACGTCCCCCTGTTCATGAACTGCTCTCCCGCCGCGCCCACCGCCGCGCCCATCGCGTCGAGGCGCGAGCTCCCGCTGCCGCCCTCGTCGTCGGAGTGGTCCTCGATCACTTTAACGTGCTTGTCTTTCTTCTTCTGCGGGCTCGGGCGCACCATGTCGGGCGGGAATGTGTCGACTGGCCCTGTGTAGGTGAGCAGTCCCTGCGCCAGGACGACGTCCATGCAGCGCGGATGGAAAAATCGCTGCAGCACAAACCGGTCAATCAGCGTATTCGCGTCGTGGCGACAGATATAGTCGCTCACTCGATTCCAGAGCTCAATGACCTCTGCCACAGGACTCTTCCGTTTGCTCTTAACGTGCGCTTTCAGCGCTTTTGATGCCAAGTACCCTGCCCACGTTCGTCAGCCACTATCACTCTGCGCAGCAAATCTTGACCACTGACCTCCAATGAAACCCGTCATGACCATAGTCGGCGCTGCGTCCGCAAGCAGCGCATTCATCGGCTTTAGGCCTCCCGCGCCCTTGACATCCGCCAGGAATCGCCTCCAGTCCTCCTCATTCACGTCGTGTGTCACGAATGGATGCGGCGCCGGCGCGCACGCGCACGTCGGCGGGTTCAGCGGGAAGCCGCGCGTGAGGTCATCCGCGTGCGCGTAGTGCGTCGCGGGCGGAAACGCCCCATACGGAACGTCGCGCGGTGGTCGGCGGTCGAAGGACGCATGTGTGGACGGACCGAGGGCGCGGGCCGCGTCCGAGAGGCTGTGCGGATGACTGCTGCTGCTGCCGCTATAGCTCGAGCTCGAGCTGGTGCCGGACCGAGCCACGCTGTGGCCACTCAGGGACGCGCCATCGTCGATAAGCTGGCTTTGGGGGCTCAGGAGAGAGGTTGGGGAGGTCTGTGTAGTTGGGGTGGTCGGGGACGAGCCCGAGGTGGTCGTGGGTGCCCAGGAGCCGCTGTATGACGAATGTCTGTAGAAACTCAATGGCGGCCTCGGGAGGCTATTGCTCGCATCCGAAGCAGGCGCAGCATAGTCGAAGGTGGATGTTGAAGGGAATGCGGTGGTGGAAATGTCAGAGACGGCCTCGTATGGAGGGGGCGCTGGTTCGAGTTCGTCCGTCGACGGAGTCGGATATGCAGCATCGAAGCTGGAGATGCCAGCCTGGGCGCTTCTAGCACCACTGGTGAGGGAGGGATGTGATTGCATCTTCAAGACGCCGAGTGGGAGGTCGTGGGTGCTTCGGTGAAGCGACCTGGTGAGATACGGTGACAAGAAACGAGAAATTCGTGCAATGTGAAGAAACTCCGCCTCGATATACGTTCGCAGCTAGCTGCGGTGGGTGTCAGGCACAGTTTTAACAAGCTCGGACTCCAAGCAGGGGCTCACCTGGTACTAGTGGCGTTGGTGGGAGTGACGTTGCATCGAGCGACAAAAGGCGCGCCGGCGAAGATATATCTGCTATATCATTCGAACTGGCATCAACGTGTTCGGATACGGGGTGTGTCAGATGGCGGGCCGCGGGCTTGACGCCCCGTGGAGTGGTGCGTTGTTAGCAGGCTTCGGACCGACTGCGATCTGCCGGGACTACCCCATAAGCAGATCTAGTGCGTCGTAATGTAGTGTCTATCATCCCAAGACAAAAGGGGAGCCCGACGAATGAACCAGTCCAAGGATCGGCGTCGAGATGGATTGCAGGACGATCGGGTGCTGAAGGACATGCATAGCCGGTTGTCGGCTAATGATGATCGCAATTGCGATGTTCATGCAGTGCAGATGCGGCCGGGCGCCATCGCCCCGATTTTGAGTTTGCCAAACATACATACCCGCCAGTCAGTGCACATACCCGAGTGCAACGCCGACGGTGCGCCACCTACGCCATACGCGTGCGATTGCCCGTGCATTCCGTTCAGTGAAGTTAGGCTTGAGGAACCCCACGACGAGCTCGCAGCCAGACATTGGCAGACATAATGTACACGATGATATGAAGCTTCCGCATCCGATTTCATTTACGCCAGGACCTCCTCCAGAGTGGCGATGATCCGCTGCACCTCCTCGACGGTGTTGTAGTGCACGAGCGAGATGCGCACTACGCCGTCGTCGACGTCCACCTTGGGCGAGAGCGTGTCGATGAGCGTGTACGCGTAGAAGTGCCCGTACCGAATTCCGACCTGCATGGACGCGCAGAACATACGTCAGCGTCTGTCTATTCCCGAGTGTGAGTACGGACACTCACATTCCCCTTCGCGTCGAACGCACGCACGACGTCCGGGCTGCGGATCGGTCGCTCCCCAACGACGACGAAGCTCACCGTCGGCACGCGCGCGAGGCCCGCGTCCTCTTGCCCGACGATGCGCACCCCGCGCGAGGCCTTGCTCTGCAGATATACGAGTAGAGGCGCAAGCAGCTTCTGCTCATGCTGCGCGACTGCCCCCCACACCGCCTCCAGCGTGCCCTCGGGCGCGAGCGAGCGCAGGTACGGAGGCACACCCGTGCAGGCGTACACGAGCTCGTACCCCGGGCCGCCCGGCTGGAGCTTGTACGGCTTCGTGTCGACCTTGAGGAAGTGATGTCCGAGGGAGGAGAGCGATTGCTCCAGCGCGGCCGCGCGCGCGTACAGAACGGACGTGTGCGGTCCGTATACCTGTGGGCGCGAGTGAGTTGATGAGATGGGCTGAAGAATGCAGAGGGCACACCTTGTAGAAGGAAAAGTAGCAGTAGTCGACGTCCCATGCGCGCACGTCGATCTGCCGGTGCGGCGCGTACGCGACGCAATCCACGCAGAACTCGAGCTTGCGGGCGCCGCGTTCAGAGGCCAGCGCGCGGGCGGCCGCGATAATCTCCTTGACTGGAACGACGGAGCCCAGGATATTCGAGCACGCCGTGAAGGCGATGAGACGCGTCTTGGACGAAATGAGCGGCAGGAGCGCGTCCAGCTGGAGGCCGACCGCGTACGGGTTGTCCGGGTACTGTGGGAGCTGCGTCGCGTTCCACATCTTCAAGACTGCGCCCTTCCGCGCAGCGAGCCTCTTCCACGGGCCGGCGTTGGCTGAATATGAAAGTATCGTGAGCGTCTCGCGATATGAGGCGATCTGACGGGATCTGGCCAATTTAACTCACATTCGTGCTCGCCAGTGACGATGATCTCCTCCCCTGGCTGTACATCAGCCTCGATCGCGCGTGCAAGGTTCTCGACGAGCATGGTGGAGCTGCTCCCGTACGCGATCTCGTCGACGCTGGCGGCGTTAAAGAGCTCTCGCGCAGCTTCTGCGCCAGACGAAACGCGATTCGTGCTGCTCACGGAGACTGAGTAGTCTGCACCCAGCTGAACGTTGGTGTTGAGGAGATAGTCCGAGATCCTGGAGACGACGTCGCCGAGACATTGCGATCCTCCAGCATTGTCGGCGTAGAGGTATCCAGAGGCAAGGGCGGGGAAAGCGGTGCGGACAGCTTGTATATCTAACGACATCTTGAAGCGACAGATGGGTCGACCGTAGACGAGGAGCAAGATCAAGAACGAGATGCTTTCGAGTGAGCAGGACGAAATGCGATAAGCAGTTGAGGGCCGTGTGAGTAGAACGCGCGGAAGCCATTTCTATAGGGTGTTCTTTCCTCAGGTCCCCACTGGTTAGGCAGATATTTCTGAGTACTAAGTCAATCCGCTTTATAAGTAAGCAGATCAGAGAGATTATACCAAAATGTAGTCGTGTCGAGAGCCAGCGTATGTGGCGGTTGATTGGCGGGAGTTCTATTACCCTGTCAAGGCGCTGGTGAGTGTCGAATAGAATAATGGAAACATGGTACCGGTCAGTCTTCTCACTCACCTCCTGAAAAAATTCATACCGCTGGCAGAATGGTAGGGGCAAGTTCATGGTGGTTATAATCATGTCGTATGTTTCGTTGACGTTGAGTAGCGCGCCTATCTAAGATCTTCTCGGCGCTTGCTCGCTTGTGGTGGCGTCACGCCGTTGATCCAGCGCTTTGTCTCTTTTTGTCTCCTGCCACAACTACACTCTCGTTCGACACTCTTTTACCGTATACCCTAAGGACTTTCTGGATGGGAAATAAAAGCTTACAACAGAAGAACTCGTCTTGTTGATTGCTCACACTTAAGTGCCGCTACTTTCGCTTCTCAGACTACCGTCTCCTGCTACATGTCATCCTCAAATACCAATGCTCAACTACGCTCGTCGACGGGACATGTTCTTCTGCCTGCGTTCAACTCTAACGACGACCCTGTCCTTGTCCCGCTTGTCACCAGTCGTAACCTTGTCAGCTGGACCTTCGGGCGCGGTACTGTGGTAAGTCTTGCGTGATCGAGCGACACTCGATGCTTCCATCTGTGGCTAATATCCCACCACTCCAGATTTGGCGAATATGGCCTGCAGTGCTCCTACACACTATTTTTGCGGCCAGTGCGCATCGAGTTTGACAGCATCGCAATTATGGAGTGCTAACTTGCCTGCTCAGTCGTTGTGACAGTATCGCTGACAACGAGCGTAAAACTAGGAATCCCGAACGTCATGCTCACCCTTCTCGGCGCGTCAATTTCCTCACGAGTTCATGCATGCTCACCACTCATACCTCTACCTGATGAATAGGTGTGGTGATAGGCTTCGTCATTTCCTACCGCGCGAGTTCTGGGTACTTTAAATCGTCTCCCGATTCCTGACCCTACTGGTGGTTGACGGATTTCTCACCCCCAGGTATGATCGGTACTACCAAGGTCGCAGTGCTTGGTCAGATCTCGCTCGGACATCCAGAACATTCAGTCGCCTGATCTGGATACACACACCACTCAAGATGTCTCCTGCACCGCCTAACGCCGACGGCACAAGTGCGGAGATTGATGCGTCAGTCGCACGGCGTATCATGGCGGAGAAGCGTACCGCGCTCGGCCTGGTGGAAGGGTACGTATCTGTGCTTGCTGGCGCTTGCATGACGTCCTAAGGGGGTTCGTTTATAGCTTTGTCGTCTCTGTTAAGCACCATCTCCGAGGTAAGTCTACTTTAAGCTGGCCACTTCCATTTACTGATTGGTGTAGGTGAGATGGGCATTTATTACGAGGACCTGTATCCCCTGGTCAAGCCTCTCCACAACGTACGCGATGACGTGTACTTCATATATTTAGACGCTAACTCCCTCCCTCAGCATCCCCATCACCAGCGAAACAAACAGACCCAGCCTCCGCCAGAAGAGACTCCAGAAACGGTCTCCTCCCCGCGAGACCTTCACCCCGAAGACCCTCCAAAGGCGCTGCTACGCAACCCCGCCTCGACTTCCTCACACCTCCCACGACCCTCTCTCTCGCATCACTCCTCTCGCAACTTCGTCATACCCCCGATCAACGCCTACGGCACATTCACCCCTCCGTCCCTCCACATCCCACCCGCGCTCTCGCGCTCTTCCTCGCCTTCACTTTCCGATTCCTCGAGTGAGCATGGCGCGGACCGCCAGCCGCTCCTCCCCGGGGCGGTACCGGAGGGCGCGGGCCGGCGCGGGCTCTTCGGCTCAGTCGCCTCAGACTTGGTGCCCTTCTCAGCCGTCTGGCGTGCCGTAGGATACGCGTTCGGGTGGCGAGGACGAAATGGCAGGACTGACGCGGCGGGGCCGGGAACTGATGTTGAAGACCAGGCTGGCGCGGTCGATGCGGACGAGGGCGGAATCCAGCGGCGGTGGAACGGGGATGACGAGAACGGAAATCCTACAGGTAGAGCACTCTCGTCTCGAAAATCCGCGATTCAGTGTGCTAATGAAGGGTCGCTTTTCGTAGGCGAAAGTCGCGACGGTGGGCAGGTTCGTGAAATACTGACTGGCACGCTCGGCTTTACGCACTCGAAGCATCGACCGCGCCTCGCTGGAGGCGGCGAGAACCTTCCACTAGAAATCTTGCGGTCTCTTAGCGTGTGGGTAAGCGTGCTCGACGAGCGTGGCGTCATGCCTGGTGCGTTGCTATCGTCACCGCCTCTGTCGGATTATGCACGGTGCTTACTGGGTTCGCGCACAGGGTCCGTGCTTGGTGGGATGTATGGAGGCTTGTCCGCTTTCGAGGATAGCTTGTGCAGTGAGTCTATAATGGCATCGTTTCGAGGGTGCGCGACGTGCTCAATGTTTGATACACGTCAGCTCTGGAAAGGATATTGACTACACCGTTGCCATTGTAAGTACCTACTCGTCATATCTATTACTTGATTGCTAACCGCGTGAGTCAGTGTATACTCCGTGCACATTCGGTATGTACAACAATTTACCACTTCGAGTGGCACTAACGTTTACGACTTTTGAACTCGATACAATCACACCCTCCAGCCAGTACGTTTACATGACGCAGTAAACTATCAAAGCGCCACTGACCTCTTCATTGCAGCACCGTCTGGATCTATCTCTTCTTTCTGCCCTTCCAGCTCGTCGACCTGTTCGGATGGTACGCGATACCCGGCGTGGGTATAGCTGCGTTCATCTACCTCGGTCTCATCGCTGCGGGCGAAGAGATTGAGCAGCCGTTCGGTGCGTGCCTCCCATCTCAATCCACCAGATTCGTCGCTAACTTACATCTCCCTATAGGTTATGACGAGGTATGTTCCATAGGAAACGGTAAACACCCTCCATCCCGCATACTGACGCTTACACCCGCAGAACGATCTCGATCTCGACTTCTTCTGCCGCGCGATCGTGCACGCAGACATCGAGCGCCTCAAGCGCGTCGTCTGCCCGAACGTCTTCCTCGGCGCGCACCACGCAGGTGCACAGCTCCAGGCCAGCTCACGCACGTTCGCAACCGACCCACACACACGGGTGGAAGCAGTGTTTGGTAGGATCCCAGTGTTCCTCTCGATGCCAATCTAGGCTGATTGTACGTGACATAGGTGGTGGGCGGCATGGCCTGTAACGTACGCACTTGCACAAGATAAACTGTCTTTCACAACGTATCCTGTATCACGGCGAAGCATCGTACTCAGGCAGTACATGGGGTTCGTACGCAGGCGGCGGAGCCTCGCTGCTGCTCACGGATCCGCGTTCTGATCTCGCGCCTGCGAAGAATTCGCGCAAGCGCTCCCTGAGCGATGGCACCCTCGTGGACCCTTGGTCCCCGTCTTCGTCCTCGGCCATCTCCTCGTCCTCGGCCCTACCCTCGTCCTCGCCGCTCTCCACTGCTGAAGTTGGTCTCGAAGCTCCTCCTGCGGTGGGGTCGCCCTGGCGCCCCTCCTTGGCACCCGGGGTTTCACCATGGCCGACGACTGTATACTCAGAGTTGTCGCTGATGCTCCCGATTCGCGCTTCGATGCTGGTGGCGACAGTCTCTGCGATGTGGGACGCCGCGCGTCTGGTCTGGCGCGCTGTTTGGGCGCTGTCAGCTACGATGAGGAGCACAGGTAAGATGAACCCTACCTGGACACGTTCTTTCCGAGGCTAGAGATACGCGTTGGTGGCGCGAGCGCCGCCGCTGCCACATCCAGAAGGATAGTGCCGGTATTGCCACTACAGCCACACCCAGTGCAGCAGAAATCGATACGATTTCCGCTGTGGGTAGACTGAGGCCGCCGGATGACGATACCACAACCGGTGTGTTGGTGAATAAGCTAGGCGTGGGGATGAATGTAGTGATACCGTCTGTGCTCGCGGAGAAGGTTGATGAGCTCATGTTGCCGTGAAGTGGAGCTTGAGCTGCTGTTGCGTTATGGGAGTGAGTTACTGGTGAGTCGTGGGATCATCCTCCGCACTGCGGTATATATGGGAGTCAGGGATACGGTACGTCCCGGCCACAGTCATTAACCCGTTGCTCAATACCCCAGTATCTATAGCTGTGCTATCGCTGCGGGTACTTCTCTCGACGCAGCGTTGTCACTGACTACGTAGTTGAACGTTAATTCCTCGCAGAGCTACGGGGTGTCCGCATCGGAACCAAAATGACTGTGAGTATAGCCTCGCGTAGAAAAAAATCAGAGGCAGCTCATATCATCGCCCGCGCAGCATGTACCAGTAAGTCGGGGATATCGGGTATAATCCACAGTTCTCATATCCTCGCAGATATGACATGCGGCCCCTCGCGCAGCTTACTGTCTACTCACGTCTTCAATTTCGAGAAAAGAACAAGGCATCGCCTGTAGCACAATTTGATAGCAAGACACGACAACACAGCTGGTACGTGTCCGCTAGGAGGAACAGCCCGTGTACCATATCAGCGCTCCACATTGTGCTCACAGCCTGAAGCCAGCACCGAGAATCGGCGTCCGCGGGCGCAACGCCCACATCCATGATCATGCCGCTGTAGCTCGGGCCTATCCAGTTGCCCCGACTTGGACATCGCCAAGGCCACGTTCCACTGTGGCACGGCAGCGCGCTCAACCCGCTTGCGACGCTACTCGTCACATACGGGAGGGGGGACAATCGTTGGTAAAATCCTTGTAACCTCTTCCGTTCTATAGGCTGACCAGGCACGTATCGGCGACGCAGGTAGCAAGCGACATAATACATGATGTACACGAAATAGGAGCGTTCTTCGCTGCACCACGATAGGTTATATACTACGGCAAAGCGTCATATTCCGGCAGTACATGCGCATCGTACGCGGGCGGCGGATCTCCGGCGCTGCTTAAAGATCCGCCTCCTATCCTTGCTCCCGCGAAGAACGCACGCAGACGCTCCCTAAGTGAGGGCGCCCTCACGGACGATCGATCCGCAGTTGCGGCCGACCGAATGGTAGGAGGACCGGCCCGCGCATCTCTTGTACCGGTGGCTCCTCGATACCATTCCTTCAAGTTACCGGAACCGCCGCCAAGATCGACAATAGTGGAGCTTCCTACAGCGCTGCCAATGACACCTTGCACGCTGGTGGTGACCGTCTCCGCGTCGTCGGCCGTAGCCCATACAACCTGACGAACTGCGTGACTGCTATCAGCTTTCCGGATCATTTGGGCATGCCTATGACGACTCTCACCTCGCGGCGCTCTTCCTGAGGCAAGAGACATCCGTATACGGCGGGGCTTCCACCGTCCCATCCAGCAGAGCAACGTCCCTATCGCGACTGCGACGAGACCCAGAAGGGCTAAGAGCGATGGGAGGACTGCCGTAGACGGACCAGTATCACCAGGGTCACTGCTATCCGTCGGCAGGATGAAGATGCTGCGCTTTGGCGTGAAGCCCACTACGGTGAAGCCGGGTGCCGAGGGAAACGACCTTGATTCGACTATTGCGGTCGTGTCAATGGCTAGCTGAGTGGGGAGCGTGGTGGCGGTGGTGCCGGAGAATAGGATTTCGGTGACAGACATATAGCTGGTGCCAGAGAGGACTTGTGCTGTCGATAACGCGCCTCTGGGGGAGGGAGAGGAGGAGATACTATACGGGAAATGCAAGCGCGAGTTCACCGGCTCGGGAGAGCTATTTAACGGGGGGATGCGGCCACCCTATGTTTCAAGCCGTGAGCACGCCCTCACTGGGCTGTAATATTTTAGATCCGAAATCCACGCAACTGAGACAGCGGTGAATGGCATATCATCAACAATATGGCACTTCTGTCAGGCCAACAAAGTTGTACTTGCGCACAGCCTCACGCCAATAAAAGTGTCAAGGTTAGCGCCTACTGGCGTGGTGACCGGGACCTTCTATCGCGACCGCTCCCACAAACATGTAGGGATCAGGACGCGACCGCCGTAGAGTCTAAATACCCCCAATGTCCTCGTCCTCACATTCCCGCGATTCTCACTCTTGCATCACTCCTCATATCTGCTACGCACTGGTCCCGGGCGTACTGAAGCATAAACGCATTCACATACCTGGGTCTCATCGCCGACATCGATGATATGGGGCAGTCGCTCGGTGCGTGCATTTCTCGGGCTTCCGCAACACTCTCTACCCTTTTAACTCGCATACTTTTCACGGGCTATGAGAAATATAACCTCTGAGGCACCTCACGTTCCCCGTAACTTCTAACATCCGATGTGTATACACTCAGAACGGCCTCTATCTCAACCTATTCCGCCCCACAATCGTACATTGAGCACCTCAAGCGCGTCGTCTGCCCCAACGTACACCACTCCGGCGCGTGGATATAGACCAGCGCGCACACGCACGATCGACTCGCGTACACGAGTAGGAAAAAGGTCTTCGGTGCGTCATCATGATCTGATTTTAGTATGAAGTTTCACAATCAGGGTTTTTGCCAGCTGACTACTCGATGACTACGGGTTGTGGGCGACTCTTGGCGTGCGATGCCCAATAGATATGAAACTCCTGCCCTCGTATATGCGAATATCTACTGGTCATATGCTATGCTAAAGATGCATATTCGGGCAACATATGGGGCTCGTACGCCGGCGGTGGGTCTCTGCCGTCCTCAACATTGCTGCCCATCCATCCGCCTCCTGCCCTAGTGCCTACGAAGAACGCGTACAACCGCGCCCTAAACGAAGGCGCCCGCACGGATCCCGGGTCCGTAGCCGCGGTCGACCGGATGGTAGGCGGCCTTGCTGCTCCGACTCCTCTTTCTGGGCCACGGGCGGCGACCTGGTACAGCTTCTCACTGGGGACACCTTCAAGGGCCACGATCGTAGCATCGTCACTGGTGCTGCCGATGCGCGGCGTGGGGACGGAACTAGTGGCGATGGTGGCGGCGCGTTCAATCCCAGTCTGGTAGGCTTTTTGACCGTTGTCAGCTTCAATTTCTCGGCCGGATGCCTAAGCCAGACTGTAACACAATGCATACCTGGCTGGCCTCGTCCGTGAGCGCGAAGTGCGCGTGGACGTTTTGTGTGCTTCCACTGCCGCATCCAGCAGAGCATTGCTGCTATCGCCACCACGGCGACGCCCAGGACAGCTGTGAGCGACACAAGGAGTGCCGTGGGTAGGCTAAGCTCGACGGGCCCTGTGTTGCTGCTACTGGAAGGAGACAGCGTGGCAGGTCTGTCCATCTGCATGATAGGTGCTGGTGTAGGCGTGTTCAGCAAGAGCTGAGTGGAGTCGGCGAGTGGGGTATACGTCGCGGGCATACTATCCAGTGATCTGACATAAGAGGAGGCCATGTGCTTTCTTGAGGAGAGAACGGTTCGCGATGCTAGGCGAGATGAGAGGGTGCACCTATGCAGGGATCTAGCAGGAGCGTCGCCGTCTAGCGACGATGTGTTAGTAGTATATAACGGGGATGTAGATACGGTTCACGCCATCCTCAGTCGCTCCAGGATGCATCTCATCGCACGTCCCCTCTCAAATCGCAGCGTTGTGGTATCATTCCTAGCCTCTGGGAACCTGTACCAGTGCTTGCCTGAGACAGTGTCGTCGACTGGGTTCAAGACGGCCGAACCCTAACTCCTCGTGGTGATACGGCGGGCGCGTGTCTAGAGTAATGTATAGTACGTATGAGTGCAGCCTCACCTGCACTAAATTTGGAAGTACTTCTTAAGTTCAGTTAGGTACAGCATATGGGCAACAACTTGCCGGACATAGCGTCCAAATCTTCCACATCCATGATCTTGAATGAGTGGCCCTGACTTAGCTCCGACTCGGGCCTCGTCCGCGCTAGAATCCTGAACTCCATTGAAAAGACAGCGCCAGAGAAGCTGACGCCTGCGTGCGTTCAGATATCAAGATGCAACAAACCATATCAAAAGATTGCAGGCCGGTACATCAGCTACATAGGTACGTCAAATTGCTCACAGTGCCTGTCAAAATTGAAGAGTCGATGTTGCATACTTAAGGCTAACAACCAGCTTTTTCGTTCGTACGCTCACAATGCGAAAGCTGTATCGAGGACGACCCCTGTGAGCGAAGCACCCCGCCCATTCTCAACTTTAACGACGCTGAGTGGCAATGCGTTACTCGACGGCAATGCGTTACTCGACGGCAATGCGCTCGCGCTACAGACTCAGCCCGCACCGAGCCATTTGACTCGTCTTATCGAACGCAAGGACGGACGTAATTATACAAACTAGATATGAGAATTCTTCCCTTTACCACGACAAGCCATATACTACGTTGGAGCTCCGTATTCAGGGAGTACATGTGGCTCGTACTGTGGCGGCGGGTCCCCTGCGCTGCTCAAGGATCCGGCTCTCGTCCTTGCGACCGCCAAGAACGCGCACAAACGCTCGCCGAGCGAGGGCGCCTTCAAGTATCCCCGGCCGGTATTCTCGCTGCTCGCCGTGACCGAAACCCGCCTCGGCGCCCCGTTTGCGGAGGTCCCGTCCACCTGCGCTTCCTTGTCAGGGTCACCGCCAACGCCGGTGAGCGTCGAGTCGTCGCCGGCTCCCCCGATACCCGCGTGGACGCTGTTGGCGGCAACCGCCACGTCGTTGTGTGCTGCGCGTTTCGCCCGGTGAGCTGTTTGATCACTGTCAGCTACGATGAGGTCCTTTGGGCAGAGGCGCGATAACTCCCACCTGGCCACGGTGCGGGGAGGAGCACACGCTTTTGGCGGGCACGCAATCGCTGCCGCGTCCAGCAGAGTAACGCTGCTGCCGCCAGGACGGCGAACCCCAGAACGGTTGAGAGCGATATGATCACTTTCAAGAGCGGGCCACCGGGGCTGCTCGCCGAAATGCTAGACGTGGTTGGTCCATCCGTAGGGAGTAGTACTGTGGCTAACTGGACGATGTGGTCTGAGGTGGTTGTAAACTGAAGGGCGAAGGGGCCCGTCGTGGTGGCCACGTCGAGATTCCCAGAGAGCCCGTTCAAGGATCTATCTTGGCGGCGATCTGGACTCATGGAGCAGCTATGAGGAGATGTTATGTGGTGACTAGGCCTTGAGAAGGATGAGATACTGGCGGCAATGCGCAGTGAGGGCGAAAAACGTACCTGCGGTGGACCTAGGGGCTGAATGGCCCAATTCCACTGACCGGTTAGTGCTATATATCGGAGATGCGGCAACCATACAATGTTTGCGACCATCCCCATATTATCGCCGCGATGTCATCACCATCACCACGAAGTCGCGCGCGCGAGCCCCCGGGTTAACGCGAACGATACGGCTATATACATCTAAAGGCCCACCTACTTCTGTGAGTGGAGCCCGCGCAGATGAGACATGGGCTTACCTCCTAAGGCCAATCAGATAGTATCACAAGTTGGCGAACATAGAGGAGGAGTATAAATTACCCAACCCCGGAGACAAGATGCACGGTTTTTTCGCGTGGCTCGCGCTTCGTTCACATGCCGCTTTGACAAAAATAGCGGAACTAAAGCAGGCGTGAGTTCTGACACCGAAATGCAAGAAACCGCGCTCACCCTCGACCTGTACACTCCTGACACCTAACCTACTCGCAATCCCGCTCGTTCCAGACGCGAGGGCATAGTTTTTGATATAAACGACATAGGGGGGTCTTTCTTTCTGTGCCACGACAGGTCATACATATACTAGGGCAGAGCCCCGTATTCGGGTAGTACATGTTGCTCATATGCGGGCGGCGGGTCCCCTCCGCTGCTCAAAGAGCCGGCTCTTGTCCTTGCGCCCGCGAAGAAAGCGTACAAACGCTGGCTGAGCGAAGGCGCCCTTGAAAGGGACCCCGAATCTGTGCCTGCGCTACTGGCCGTGGTTGAAAACGGCCTCGGCGCCCCGTCTGCGGGGAAGTTGTCGCTCGCCTGCGTCTCCTTGCCAAGGTTACCACCAACGCTCACGAGCGTAGAATCGTCGCTAACGCTCCCAATGCGCGCACGGACGCTAGTGGTAACAGTCGCCGCGTCACGGTCGTTGAGTGCAGCGCGTCTAGCTTGGCGAGCTGCTTGGCCGCTGTCAGCTATGAAGAAGGCCTTTGAGGATAGCAGCAATGATTCCCACCTTGCCACGGTGTTCTTGCTGAGGCGAGAGACACATGCTTACGGCGTGCACGCCAGCGCCGCCGCATCCAGCAGAGTAAAACTGCTAACGCTACTACGGCGACCCCAAGGACGGTTGAAACCGATACGATCACTTTCGTGAGATGGCCGCCGGAGCTGCTGCTGCCGGACGAGATCACGGTGGAGCTGCTCGCCGGCATGCTAGAGGTTAGAGTGATGCTCTGTCCGTCTGCAAGGGGTGGTGCTGTGATCGCCTGGGAGATGGGGTGCGTGTCGGTCGCGAGCTGGGGGCCGGAGGTGTCCGTGGGGGACACGGTGAAACCCCCAGAGAGTCCCTTCACAGATTCATCTTGGCGGCGACGTGGGCCCATAAAGCTGCTATGAAGGAGTCTTGTGTGGTGACTTCACCTAGAAAGGAGTAAGATGCTGGCGAAGGTGCATAGCGAGGGGGGAAAGCGCACCTACGGTGGATGTAAAGGCTGAATTGCGGGGGTCTACTGTCCGTTCAGTGCTACTTATACTGTATAACGGAGATGCAGGAACTGTACATCGTATGCGGCAACCATCGCGCTGCGCTGTCACCAACACCACGGGGTCGAGCGCTCGAGTTCCGGGCTTGAAACAAACGGTACAAGTATGCTCCTAAGGGTCCAGCTGTTACTAGTAAAACTTCGCGCAGACGAGACGTGGGCGTACCTCATATGTCCGTTCAGGCAGTATGCGCAATCATGAAGTCAGCGAACATTGAGAATCACCCACACCAAGAGGCATAGCGTCTCGCGTGTCTCGCGCTTCGCCCGCGGGTTGCTTTGATAAAGACAGCGAAGCTAACGCCTGCATCAATTCTGACACGCAAATACAACGAACCATATCACAGAACTGCGTGCCGATGCGCTAAATAGTTCGCGTCGTCTCAAAGCTGTCCACGTTCAAAACACCAACCCGACGCCGAGCCCGACGCCGATGAGCGCAACGCCCGCACCAACAACACCATCACGCCTCGCGCCCATCCCCGACCTAAGCATCCCCAAAGCTGAATTGCTCGACGGCGACGCGCTCGGACTGGAGCCCGCGCTGCTCAGCCCCCCGGCGGGATTGGTCGCGCTAGACGAGCCAGCCGCAGACGTCGCCGAGCTGACGCCCGACGAGAGCACTGAGGTCACAGACGAGGCAGAGGTCAACGTGCTGACCGAAGTCGTGGTAGTAGAGACAGGGGTAGGTAGGGTGCTGGACGCGCCGGAGTGGCTGCTCGGGGGGGAGGTCGGGATGGGCAACGTACTGGTGGTGACTCCGCTGGACGAGTTGGGCGCGCTGGACGAGTGCGGTGCGCTGGATGGGCTGGACGATTCGGAGATGGATGAGCTGGTGGTAGTAGGTGCGTCGTCTTCTTGGCTGTACCGAGGTCATAGTGAGCGGCTTGTAAACATTTGAGCGCGATGGTACGTACGTGAAGATCATGTAATCCAATAGCGCAATGGACGACTGCCCGCCCGGGTGGCCCACGACCATCGTGAAGGTATGCTTCCCGGACGCGAGGGAGTCGTTCGCGTACACGGGGACGTTGTAGTGGTACGTGGCATCGCCGTCTGGAGCGAGCTTGAACGTGCCGGACTGCTCGCCGTCGATGAGGAACGAGAGGTCCCAGTTCCCGTTCGGGTCTGAGTTCGACCGCGTGATTACGCAAAACGCGTACACCCCAACTCCTGTGCTCCGTATGTGAGCGGAAACGGGCAGTTACGACGACCGTGGGGGACATACCGTCGAACGTGAGCGATGCGCTGATGGGGGTAGGCGGTGGGTTGTCCGAGATAAAGCTGACGTCGTGCCAGGAGCCATCGAAGGCCTGGCTCTTGTCGAGTTTCGCCTGGCAGGCCGTGCAGTTCTGCCCGACACTCCAAGCGCCTGGCGGCGAATACGCGATCTGAACGCCAGTGCTGCTGCCGTTGGTATCATCGACAGTCACGTTTTTCCGAGTCCCCGCAGCGAGCGTCGCAGAGACTTGTAGGAGAGTAAGGGCAAGGATAACCAGTAGACGGGGTAGCGGAACCGAAAGGAGTGGATGCATGATAGCGGGGTGTGCAAGCGGGCGGGAGGAGCGGAGTCAGCGACGCTCGTGAGGGCCCTGAGGGGAGTTATCAGCGTCGCCCACGTCAAAATAGAAAGCAATGTGTACGGATGCGGCCGTGAAATGAATCTGCGCAGTGTCCTGGGGCGAACATGCCAAATCACTGGAAGTTTGGGGGCTGTCCTGGAAGGCGATCTCGACGTTGGTCCGTGGCATCATGTGGACTCGCTCGGCTCCTATGGGGAGAGAACGGAGAACAGAAAGGTGTGTTGAGGGCCGGAATAGAAGCCAGCGAAGTACAGGAATGCCGGCATGTCTGTCGAAATGAGCACCTGTGAGAACTGACCCCGCTCAGCCAACGACAGCACCATCATGATCAAGCAGGAACACGGTACCGTGCGGCGCAAACTGCCAGCGCCGTGTTTGATGACTGCTCAGCGCTCAAGATGCAGGGTTTCTCTGATCGCTATTCAGCATACATGAGCCGATGTACAGACAGTACCGTTCGTACACAGTCATGCTAGCAGTGCATTGTAGGAGGAGCAAGGCATCATCGTTCTCCACTCGCACTGCGGTTGTGTCGGCGTCTATATGCCACGTGGATCGCATGTTCAACCTTCTCACGTAGACGCGCGCGTTTTCGTCCCTCTTCCTCTGCTTCCAACACTCACATATACTAGCGTGATGTCAAACAGCGACATCGCATCGCCTTGGAGGTTTGAGTTACTCGCGAATATCCCTCAAAAGCGACCTCCAGGAAGTTGGCACCAGGCAATGTGACCGTGTACCAAAATACTTAGACCCGTTTTCGCCGTCCGGTCTCATGGCGGTTACGTCCCAGTGCGCTTCCCCACATACGCAGGGCGGGATGACATACCTCAGTGCATCTCATGGACAGCATTCTGCTCCATGATCCTGCTCCGCGCTGGGAAGATCCGCGAAACGTCAACCACTTCGACTCTCACTCGGCGAGGGACTACAGTAGGCGTGTTTCCATCCGGGGAGGCCTAACACACCGGCACCGCCTTGTCCAGTTTATCGTCCTCCGAACGCTCGCAATGGGCTTCAAAGCTGCACACCTGCTCGTATATTGGATGTTCATTCTGCCCTAATAGTCGAGGACATCGCTTCCCGGTCAAAGCCGCGCGAACTGTACTGCAAGAAATTGCAAGGTACGTCTTCGCCATGGTATTTCTCCCTCCCGGCCTTCTAATCTCACGCTGTCGGGCCCAGTGATCAGTTCATCATTCGAACTCAACGAAGGTCCTAGGCCTTGCTTCGCGATGTAAATGCGACTTCTTCTGCGAGCACACGGGACGTTTGTCTGTCTTCCCATCCACCTGTGATTCGGCGGAGGCGCTCTTGTAAGTTTCGTTCTACCTTGTAAATCCTGACTACCCGATCATAATGTTCTGAGACTGACAATCACCTCTATCCGACAGTGCTGAAGACTGCACGTGCGCCGAGGCCCCGGTCAAGCAGAACGCTGCCTGCCTGCAGTCCATCTGCACCCCTCAACAGTTCAGCAACCTCGTCGCTGCCGAGGAAGCTCGTTGTGGCGCCGGCTCTGGTCAGTATCCTGTCTATCCCCATAACGCACTGCTCAAAATAGGCTAATTCTCGATACTAAGTCCCCGCAGCGCGGAGCGTCACTGAGGAGGACGAGCTCACCTCGGACATGATAACAAGCCCGGATTGGCGTCGTGAGCCCGAGCTGATCACGGATTGGCGCCGCGCACCCGCTGCTACGGTCTGGCCGCGCGACCCCGCCGCTACGGTCTGGCCCCGCGACCTCGCAGCTACAGCATGGCCCCGCGAAGACAAGGCCACAGCCTGGCGTCGCGACCTCTCGTCCGAATCGACCGGGGTCGCTATGGTCAAGTCGGACAACACTTTCCACGTCGGTTGCGGGAGCGGCGTCACCGGCGCGCTGGCGTCGCCTTTGGTGCTCCTCCCGCTCGTCATTGCGCTTCTCGCCACCGTGGCTGCGGTCGGCCCGTACAGACGTCGCCGTGCATCGCGGATTGAGCTCGAGGGCCCGATGATGCACGCCATCGATGGGAAGAAGGGTTGGTCTCAGGCTGCGTAAGGAAGGGGAAGTGACTGTTGACGAGACCGTATGACTTCCCGGAGAACCTAAGATGATCGTTGAACGCCGTACTGCGAGAAGGTGGTGCAACTCAGGTAGGTGTATATATACCTCGTTCTAATTGCTCGCTCACGAATTCGAGATAGATACATCCTCTGTACACGATGTAGGATGCCATTGTTAACGCCTCTTGACGTGATGGCGGTGTGTTTTCAGCCGGATATAGCGCCGATTGCTTGCTCTGTAAGACGACTCGTCAGCGTCGCGGCAGGCAAGCACATTTAAATGTAGCTTTGTTACCTTTGCAGTCTCCAGAGATGGTATCAAACAATGTGACCCCGCGTTCATCTAGACCTGGTCTAGCCTTCCGGCCCCATGACAGGTGCGTCCCAATGATCTCCTCTGAGGCCGTATACCAAAAACGGAGTTACACGTCACAGCACATCTTACGGACGGCGTTCTACTCCAAGATGATACTCCACTTTAAGAAATTCAGCGAACCGTTCAGCCGTCTAATTCTCACTCGGAGAGTAACTACGGTGAGTATATTCCCGCCGGGGGAGAGTATATCGCCCTTGAAGCGCTCTGTTCAGTCTATATAGATGCGCACTAGCCAGACTCTGAGGCAGAAGTCATCCTCCTACATACTTCAAAAACTTTGACTAGCGGTCGTCCCCTCGCAAGTGTCCGTTGTTCGCTGCAAAGTACGTACGCGCATTCGCTCTCTTTTCTGCCCCTCTTCGAATCTCACGCATTCGGGCCCAGTCCAGTTCAGCAATCTCGTCACCGCCGAGAAGGCTCTATGCGGCGCTGTTTCCGGTTAGACGCCTGTTTTCCCCAAGACACTTCCTTCGAGGCATGCTCCATGCTTCGTAACTAGTCCCTGCAGCCTGGAGTGTGCGAACAAGGAGGAGCTTGGGCCAGGCATGGTAACGAGTCCGGATTGGCGCCACGAACCTGTGTCCATAGTCTGGCGTCGCGACCTCTGGCTGTCCCCGAAGCCGATCGGGGGCGTTCCCGTCAAGTCCGACAATAGTTTCCATGTCGGCTGCGGGGACCGTGTCACCGACTCGCTGGCGTCGCCCTTCGTGTTCTTCCTGCTCGCCATCGCGCTTCTCGCGATCATGACCGCTGTCGTTGCCTACAGACGCTGCCGCGCCGCCCGGGTCGAGCTTGGGAAATCGACCATGCGGCACGGGTTCGAGGGGAAGAGAGGCACGTCTCAGACTGCGTTAACTGGGGAGGAGACGATATGTTTTGATGGGGAGGGTTGAATAAATGTTTCGCGTCGTGCTAGTGGGTTGATGCATCGTAGAGTATGTGTACATGCGCCTCTACGATTCGCTCGCTCACGAACTCTGCATAGGTCCGTCTTCCGTACGCGGCGTAGAGCACCATCACGAACGTCTCTTGACGTGACATTGGCGCGTTCTTTAGCCGAGATATAGCGTCAATCTTTCGCAGGCCCAACTTGTCCGAGTCTTTGTAAGACAGCCCGCCAACGCACCGGTGTGCAACGGCATTTAACCGTAACTTAGCTAGCTTCTGTCTGCCTTTCGAAACCCGCTGCGTTCGGGGGTATCCACAACAACTCGGCTCAAATTTCTCGTGTTCCGGCGGGAATCTGCCCGCGAAGTGCCCTGGTGAGTGTTTTGCCGCACTGCCATTAATTGTTGAGAACACGTCTACACAGACGTTCCCTTCCAGGGTGTCCCCGGTGTCACCTTATGCAGCGACGGCGCTAAGACAATCGCCGTACATGGCATTAGAGACTCTATCTGGGGTTATCGCTGGGAACCGCCCATTCGTGAGTGCAATAACAAAAACGATCACCGGCGCCACAGGCTTTACGGACTTACTAGACATGTCCGTCCGGGCCACAGCGTCGCTAACTGCCAACAATCCATTCCTCCTGCGGGAGCTGCCAGTCGTCCAATGGGGCATCTGATATCTCTGTGATACGATGGTGGCGGGCCGTTCAGTAGCCGCATGGTGCGTGGTAGAACTCGTTATATCTGTCGACGCCCCCTACGGGCAGACCTGCAAACTTGCTGAACACCACACTCCTTTACCCATTACCTGGAGTTCACGTATACCCCAAATCTTTCTAGACACTCTGCATAACGACACTTCATGGTTCACCTCAGGCTGGCTTAGGTTCACACCACATAACCGATCTCTAGGGGGATAAGATGTCGGAATGCCCTATACAGTGCACCAGATCGGACATCACTGGGCCTCAGTCGAACATCACGATGAGCCTTGGTTCTTCGGCGTGCTCGAATTTGACAGAAATCCTCAGGTGCGTGGCTTCGGATTCTAATGTGAGGTTTGTCTGTATAATAATTTAACCACAAATTTCATCCAGCCCCTGCGATTGCTCGGTGAATTTCGTGGCGCAGATCGTTTGCCTCAAAGCGATATGCTCCACGAGTCAACTTGAAGCTTATAAGGCCAACGAAGCAGCGCTTTGCGAGATCGACAGTGCGGGCCCTTTTCTCCTCTTTATTATCCTCGATGGTTACTGATCACGCGTACTCGTCGCGACAGACTTGTCGAGTGCATCGACGCCTGTGACGTACTCCTCGAAGCCTACAAGCTCTCTGACTACTACGCCTACCGAAACCAGCACGTCGCCGCCAAGTTCTTCCTCTGGGACCCAGACGTCCGGTGTTGCGACTACAAACACGCTGAGCGCGACCCACAGTATATCCACGGTCCTCGCCGTCGTTCTATCCACGACGCTGACCCTGCTGGCTGTCGCGGTCATATTTTTGTTCTTGAGGTGGCGGAGACGCTACCTCAAGAGACCTCGGGGGGCACGCGTTCGGAATACTTTGCTCAGGGAACTCCGCTGCCCTAGCTCCGCGGGTAGACAAGCCTCTGGGGGCCACGCTGCAGGGCATTTCTTCAGGCTCGCCGAAGATCTGGACACGTCCTCAATGCACCGCTCGTCCTTCATATCGGACAGGCCCTGGGCGTCATCCGAACAGCACAGTATTCGCGCGCACAACGGCAGCGTGCACGCGCCCAGCGAGGTCCTCCCTGCCATCCCCAAGAAGACAGCCCAGGCAGTCTCCGCGAGGGACTCTGTCTTGCCTTTGCTTCCCGCCGAGGCCCATCCTTCACGGACAGGCCTCTTGGACACTCTCCCTCAGACTCCCTTGTCATTGTCATTCCAGCACATTCCACCTCCGCCTCCGCTGCCTGCATTCCAGCGACAGCGACAGCGCTCTTCCGCTATGCTACCCTCCCCCATTCCAAACACCCCCGTCACGCCGAACACACCGCAACGAAGCTCGGTGGCTACCGGGGACGAGCGGTTCGTCGTGCTCCCGTGGCCGCTAGGGGAGCGCCTTCTGGCACTGCTTTCGACTGCGCAGATGCCCGAAGAGAGGGTGCGTGGGTCGGAGGGCGGTTGCTCGGAAGGGCTACCCGCGTATGCATCTGATGAGTAGGACGGGAGTGGACTACTGGATGGACACTCGCGAGGGTTTGGGGCGTAGTTGTGTCCAGGGAGCGGAGGGTCAGTGTATCTGAGCAGGATATTTATGTGCTGTGTGTCTGATACCCAACGGTTTTCAACGTGCAGATGCGTCGAATAGGGCACCGTCTATACCTGACTATGCGTTCTCTAGCTTAACAGTTTGCCCGGGCTCCTGTCGATGTGATATCAGGATAACTGTGTGGCAAGTACAATATGCTCTCATACATATAGAAGGCGTCGTGATCAATGTTAAGTGAACCAGTACACGATACGTTTGCTAGAATCATATAACCTTTTCGTAGAGCCCGCTACACGATCGGCGTACCGCCCTGCTCGCGATCCCAGCTCCGCATGAACTTGAACGCCCTCCTCCTCTCCTCCACAAACGCCGTCTCCACCAGCTTCGCCATCCACGAGGTCGACACCGCTTCTTTGAGCTCATCCGTCTCAAGCGCCGCCAGGCTCTCCCACTCGTGGATCGCCAGGTACTTCGGCGGTCGCCCGACGTCCGCCGCCTCCGATCCCGTGGCGCCCGCGGCCTCCAGCACAAACCGCCTACTGCGCATCCACCCCGGCACCTTTGCAAGCATAGGGACATGTTCCTCGTCATACCACTTGTTAAACTCGTCCTCCGCCCCCTCCTTCACCTCGATCTCGACGACGCTCATGTACGGGCCCGGTTTGAGCGGATCGTACGCTGCCCCATTTTTGGGCGGGTACACGGGCTCGCGCAGCGTGTACGTGCGGCGGTCAAGCAGGGCGAGCTTAGACACGATGGCGGTCTCGCGCTCCGAGCGCGTCTTCGCGAGATCGGTGTAAGGGGGAGAGGACAGGACCTCGGGGGAGGCGATGCCATAGAGCGTCGTGTAGGGCGGGCTCTCTCCGTCAGCAGCGATCCAGCGCGACCAGGTCTCGAAGCCTGGGATAGCGACGCGGAGGGGCACATGCTCGTTATCGGCCCAGTCGTTGAACGTGGCGTCGGGGACGGCTGTGCCGGGGTCGGAGTACACGAAGAGCAGCGCAGGCATGGCGATGTAGTTGGCAGCGTCTCGATGAGAGGTGTGGTGTTTGGGGGACGGGAATCGTACTGAGGCAGCTGAGCCGTCGTGCAGAAGCCGACTTTATAAGCTCGTGCTGCACTACTCTCGTAGGCATCCTGCTTTCCATTTTGAAACTCGCACTCGGTATTTTTATCCACGTCTTTGTAAGGCTCACGAAGCATAGCCGCCAGACTGTCATCGTATCCAGCGTGTAGCGGCGTTTGGTCCGATGGGAAAGGTCGCGATTACTCAAGATAAGTACTCCAATTTTCTACGGAATACATTTTTGGGGAGGGCAGAAGTATAGGAACTACGCGGATATGGAATCTTTAGGTACCGAAAAACCAGTTAACGCATCATACGAGGGCTAGGCCGTTTGACACTACAAGAATACGACGACGAAATCATGCTAGTAACGATACATGCTGGGTATGAGGCGCGTGGTATTAGAATATCGTGAACGTAGTATACCGGAAATGAGCGGCTGGATAACGAGCTTCGTGAAGTAGTTCAGATTGACAAATGAGAGACGGACGAACGGTGGGTGTACAGTAATATCTCCCCTAAGGCACCCTCATATGCTCCACGCCACAACCATGACTGCAAGAGCCGCCACCAAAAAGCTAGTACGCTCCATGTGGCCCGCGTTATTGAGAGGAGAACTCAGCGCACTGGTCGCTTCGGCACCGTCAGAGTCGGTGACGGTGTGGGCGAATTGAACGCCATCCATGGCGGTCGAGATGCTTCCACGTACGTCTGGAGTAGGAGGCGAGATTCAAGTTGCCAGAGTGGTGACGGGGGTAGCGACGGTTGTGTCCTGCTGAGACCCGCATGTCGCAGACCCGGTCGCAGTGGCCGTGGGAGAAGCCGAGGCAGCGGACGGACAAGTGCAGGGGTTTGCTTGGCCGGAGGGTATCGAAGCCGATGCGGACATGGAAGACGTTTGAGACGTTCCGTATAGGAGGCTGCTGAGAGATGGCACTGCAAACATTCGCGGCGTCAGTAAACGGTTGGTACGTGGGCGCGATCAGATTCCGACAGTGGACCGGAAGGCCATAGCGTGTACCAGAGCAACGACGAGTCGGACAGGAAAGTGTCACTTACGAGAGCTTGCGCACTTCTGCGCGAAGCGCAGGTCGAGTAGTGTCTGGGCCTTGGCTGAGCCACACTCGCCCGTAACGCAAATTTGGGCCGATGTGTATGCCGTCATTTTGGTGCAAAGACAGGCGTCGCCGACACTGCCAACAGGATTCAGGTGCAAGCCATGGTGGAGGTGTCACCTGATTGGGAGCGATTACTCACAGGTTCACGCAAATGTCTGTCTTCAGCGCCGTTTTCATGCACTTCTGGACGCATTGAAAATCTGAGGACAGATTCTTGACGAGATCTGAGATTGAGACAGGGTCGGGCTTTGGGCGACTCGGCGGCGGCTCCTTCTGAGGGATATCATGGGGCTCCTCGGTAGAGCCAAACGGTAACCCTTTCCAAGGGCGGTGGGGCAGGTTGATACGAGCTGGGGTAGCTTCTGGCATGAATGACAGAAGAAGAAGGGTGTATAGGCTCAGTGTGTGAGTGAGACGCATGCCGTATAAAGCAGAGTGATGCGGGAACAAAATGAGTGGAAGGCCGGGAGAAGGGAAAGGGACGTAGCTAGTAGAACCGTGACTCGGCCTCGTCAACACATATAGCTCCGAACCCCCGCCCGATGCGAAGGTATCGGAATGCATACCGAACGCCACGGCGCCCTCGTACAATATGAAACCTGCGGCTGGTCGCCCCCGGTCGGTGTCAAACCCGTCGATGAGATGCCGCAGGTCAAACGTCGAGCGCCACAATGCTTCCCGCCACCGTCACCGCAGAATTCCTCCGCGAGAAATACTTCCATGTGGTCGTGTACGCCGGCTGTTGCCAGAGATGTTAGAGAGTCGTTGCTATCTTTAGCCTCGGCCCTCAGGCCCTCAGGCCACAGCAGTCGACTAGGCAAAGATAAGGACGTCCAGTCTGCCGGAGCTGTGCTTCAGCACTCTGAGTCGTTGTTCAGACGTGACGCAAAGATCATGTGGGGGCGGCATGCTCGCGAGCCGATCCACATCCTCAAGTGCCTGCCACTTCCCCCGACTCTAGGGCTATGAACTGAGAAGTATGGTGCCCAGATAATCTCCGGGGCGAGCCCTAGGGTTTCAGCCACGCCGCCGCCGCCGTGTATGGTAGTATCGCTTTCAAAGACGAGGGAGCCATGAGACGCACGTCCAGACGCAAAGTTGTGGATCTCAGTGACAGGAGGATCACCGGCGTGAATATCGCCGCTGCGCAAAGTGCTCACCTCAAACGTGTCTGCATCGTGACTTGAGGTTCTGACGGAAGAGCCCGCGGCACTGATGGGCGACTCTGGCCGCGCGCGAAGCTGACACAGAGCGTCGATGTTATCCCAAAGAGCGTAGATACCACTAGGACGAGCCTACGAAGAGTTTCGGTCCTGGAGATCAGAAGTGCTCCGGCGTCGAGTGGAACTCAAATACGGCTGGATTGCATGTTGTCAGTACGGTAGAGTATCGACACATGCTGGGTATAGAAACACTCGCCAACAGTTTGCAGTAAACACAGTACGCGGAACAATGAACGACTGGATAGTAACGAACGTGAGGTATTTCGAGCAACAAACGGTGGGTATACAGTCAAATAAATAGCGATACGTTTCCCTTTCAAATTTCTCAAAGGAGACACACCGCAACCAGAACACAAATGCTCGCGGAGAGCACGCCTCGCCCTGTACGCCTCGCGTCGTTGGTAGACGGATTCAGCGCAGTCCCTTCGGCGCCCGGAGAGTCCGTAACGGTGAGGGTAACTTGCACGCCGTCTACGTTGGTCGAGATACTTCCGCGAGGGTCCGAAGCGTCCGGCGACATCCCAAGAGTCGTGACAGGGGCCGCATCAGACTGGCTCGCGTTCGGTGCGGCCGCAGCAGTTGTGCGCTGCTCAGTCTCGGAAGTCGGAGCCTCGGTCGCAGTAGCCGCCGATGAGGCGGACCCGGTGGTATGAGTACCGGGCGCTGCAGAGGGCGCGGGAACGGGTGCGGACGTCGAAGGCACTTGAGACGCCCCCAAAGGGGCGGAGAACAGGCTGCTGAGGGGCACTGCAGATGGACGGTGGCGTGAGTACGCGGTCACGTGGTCGTGATGCAATCTGGCAGGGAAGACGATGGCGAGAGCCAAGGCGACGGGTTCTCGGGGAAAACCGACACTTACGGCTGGATCCAATGCCTATGCACTTCTGGGTGAAAAGCGAAACGAGGGTCGCTTCGTCCGATGGCGGGCAAGACTGCTTGACGCAAGCCTGCACTGACGCCGCTGCTGTTAACTTCGTACAGAAACAGACTTCTTCATCGCTGTATACAGCATTGAAATCATGAGAGATATGTCATCGTATGAGGAACAGATACTTACAGGCTCCCGCAAATGCTCTTCTTCAGTGAGTCTTCAATGCACTGGGTGGCGCATGAGGAGACCGGGGCGCCGCTAGCTGAAGTTGGCGCCGCTGCGGGGACCGCCGTTGGGCGAGGCGACAACCCTTTTCCAGCGACATCGGATGGAGCCTCACGAGCAGAAACCGCTGCCAGGAGGGTCACGAGTCCTAGGGAGAGGTATAGGTGAAGTGTGTAAGTGAGACGCATGTCCTGGGAAGGAGAATACTGAAAGACCAGAGGAAACGAAAGGGATGAGGAAAGGGGCGCAGGAGATAGGTCAGTGGCACGACGTCGTCAGAAGATATGGCTCCGAGCCTGATCGGATAAAATCAGGCTGAATGCCCAGTACTGCCATAGAACCTCCTCGCAATGGAACCCGCAGCTGGCAGCGCCCGGTAGTACAGCTGAACTTCGCGATGAGATGCCGCAAGTCAAATACCTAGCACCGCTCGACGTTCCCTGCGTTCGCAGCTTTGAAGAAGTGCCTTTCTAGAAGTAAAGCTTCCCTGTAGCCGTTCAGAGCCATTTCCAGAGATATCAAGGTGTGGTCTGATACGGATCGTGCAAAGAGAAGAGTGGCAAGACGAGATGCTGCAGTGTCGGTTTGCAAAACTCGTCGCTTAGGAGTGACGTAAGGCCCACGTGGCGGCCTCGTGCTCTCTATCTGACCCATCCCGCGCAAGCGTTTGCTTCGTCCTGCCATTTCGACCAAATGACCTTCAACTCCGAAGCGACAACGTGAGGCAGGCTGTGTGCAGATATGTCCAGGTACGAATGCCTAGCTTATGTGCTGCGCGACGGTTACAGGTGCATCGACTGCATACTTACCGGACAATACACTTGTTGACAGGTGAACGATCATGGAGGTACCGCATATGCAGCACCGACTCTACTACGATACATTGCTCTCGGCGAGCCGGGAAAATTGCACTGTGCAGTATGCACGAAGACCCACTGTGAAAGGGGCGAAGGGCTCTGAGGGAAGACGAAGGATGTCGACAGCGCCCAAGGATGACGGTTGCTGTGAAGCAGCCCGCGGCGGTAGAACTGCTTTCGTAAGTCCACTATGTACCATCACACTTCATCTGAAGTTCCCGTCATATTCACCGAAGCTTGCTCCAAAACCCAACCAGGAAATAATGATTGCATTTCCGAACACCGAGCTTGACACTACACGGGCTGACCACAGTCCTCAGGTTATCGACGAACAGATCCGCTCATTATGTCGCCTTGTACCGTTGCCACCTGTGCTACTCCCGGATTTTCTAACAATGTGCGTGGATCTTCTATACCATCGAATGAGTCTGAAGTTTGTCAGCAGTACCGTGCAGTCCGAGCTCTTCTGCTTACCATGGCTACAGCTAGGCGCCCTCATATCGCGGTGTGCGTGTCGTCGTCCTCGTCTCTTGCTTTCAGAGCCTCTTACGCTCAAGACATCCACTATCTCACAGCCGGACATGTCCAACTCTTGCTCCATATTCTGTCAATCGCAAGGAAACCATCTATCGTTCACAGCATGCGACGACTTAGAGAACGAATTGTAAGTACGACCTTGAGTTTTCGTCTGTTTACGACGCTCACTATCATCGCCGCATGCTCTGCCTCGCTTATGCAGTGCCTTGCTTTGCTCGTGCTCAGACACGCCAGTTCTCAATGCCCTGTCCTGTTTACAAAATCTGTGTTCATCGGACGAGTTCAACGCCCTCGTTGCTTCGGAAGAGTCGCGTTGCGGTGCAGCTGCCGGTAAGCCTTTCATCATTCCCTTCTTACAATTGCGACCTCATTGCAGACTCGATCATGCATGAAAACCTATCTGAGTAGTGTCCGGCATTACAACAAGCTCCACTCCGGCACAAACTGTCACCGTCATTGCGACCGAGCCTACACGCGTCACCGTCACCGTGGAAAATCCTCCCAGACCAACATCTACTGGTCCTTCCCGGTCGGGGGTCACGCTTTCCTCCACTACAACTTCATCGACCACGAACAACATTGAAATTACCGTCTCTGCGACCCCTCCCTCCTCTTCCTCTTCGTCCACACCGCCCAGCGCCAGCGTCGCAGCCACCGCAGCAACAGGCACCCACTCGCACACCTCTTTAGTAGCGGTGGCCATCGCCGTTCCTCTCATCCTCACGTTCGTAATCACCGCGGCGCTCGCGTTACTTCGCAGACGGAGGCGCCGTCGTCGCCTCAGAGAACGCACACCACACCCCCAAGTTCAATCCTTGCCTACTCCAATGGCCACCCTCTCAGACACGACGATCTCATCACGCAAAGGCGACGGCAGTACTCCTTCGAGAAGGGCGCACGAGTCTACGACTCTGCACAGCAACTTTTCAACCCTCCCCGAGGTGAACACGTATCTTGCGGAACATCCAAGCCGCGCGTCCGCGCGGACACTCGACCGTCGGCATCATACTGTCCTCGATTTCCTTGACGTTCATACCACTCCTCTGACAAATATCTCCTATACGCCATCCTCGGACACACCTCTCCCAAATCGCCGCGAGACGGACACTGGGCAGCCTCCTGCTGAAGAAGAGGCGATCGCAGACGAGCGCGTGATGGTGCTCCCTTGGCCCTTAGGAGAGCGACTTCTCGCTCTCCTCACGAACAGGCCTGCGCAACACCCACAGGACGGCTCCGTATCCGGCTCCGAACCCCTTCCCCCATACGAGGAGCAAGACGCGAGGGCCTGAGCGGCACGGAAAGCTTTCGGCGCCCGCTTTTGCACCTGTCGGGACCGCATAGAAGCTCTTACTCGTCACCGCGCCTACAGCCGCGCTTGCGATGATCGAGACGTTGAAGGCGCTCGGACGGAGTACCTCGGACAGAGCCTAGCTGGACGGCGCCGCGGGGGGATATTGAGAGTAACAATGCCCGGCGCGCGTAAACGCTTCAGATGTGGGGAGAGGCTCGTGATACTAGACAATAGCTCAAGAGCACGCCGAAGACCGGCAGCGCGCGAATGTAAAGGCGGTATGGAGCCCGCGTGGAGATAGGACTATCAAATATTCTGTATGTAAAACGGAGAGTTGCGGTAGCTGGATTTGGGTTACGAAAGACTCAAGCACATAGCAGTACGGAAGGATGGGGTCATACGGATGCGATATACGTAGAGCCCGAGATCTTGCTCGCCGTGCTTACCAGCATCTGGAAGCGGTGTCGCGTTAAGGGCTCGGGAGGAGTCTGTCGAGCTACGCTGATCCACTGTGATTAGCTGCAAATCGGATGTGAAACTTGGGTGGTAGGAATGGGACGTATCGCATAGATACGAATGTCAGTGACAGAGAAAGATCAGGGAAGAGACATCCCGCAACCCGCAACCCGCAGACCGTAGTATTTCCTTCACATTCTTCGGCTTGCAAGCACCACGATCCACCCGAAGAAGTTCAACGCTCAGCTCTGACAGGTGCCCATGCTAGGTGCGCGTTTATATACTATCAAGTCCAGTTTATGCTTGCGCAGAGGCAGAGTGACTGCGAGTGAGAGTCTAAGAATAGAACATAGAGTGGTGGAAGGCAGCAATGTGGCGTGGGAAGGTCTCCTCGGTCAATCCCGCACCCAGAACTTAGCGCCCTATCGATTTCCTGACTCCCATCCAGTTTCAAAAGTGTACCGCGCGTACGCTCTAGCCAGCCTCGAAGTTTAAGAGTCATTGTTGATTTGTTGAGCGGCTTTGGCAGGTAAGCCTCGTCGTACTTCGAAGTCAGATCTGGGCCGGGCGGGGATACCTGCCTACGACGCCGAATTGTCGACCAGATGTTTCGTACATGATTCAAGCACATTCTGCTGTGTCGATCGAGCAGAACACCCTCTCGCGGTCGTTGTCCTTCACAGGAATACTGAACCGATCTCTCTTTCCCCGCAGGCTTCAATATCGCAGACTGATCGCCCTGTGGTGCTCGCAGTGACACAGCTGTGCTCAGTCATTGCCGACGAATGCGGACAGCCAAGAAGCGGCGCGCGCACTGCGAGAACGGCAAGCCGGGGATATTGCAAAGCCGTGGATCCGCCGGAACGCAGGATGTATAGTTCGCATAAGTGGTGCGCACTGCGGAGGCCACTGGGTTCTCTGTATGTATGTCTTGCCCTCTTCTAGTGGAGAAACGACTCACGTCGCTTAGACATCGTAGGCCCGGCATCCGTAACACCTTGTCCCGAATGGAACGAGATGCCCTTCTACCATCGCTGATCATGGTCAGGAGGACACCATCGCATGTGTTCTCGTACGTCTCACACTCTTCTGCGCATAAGTCGTACTCACACGCGGCAACTTCGCGGCACAGTTAAGAGCCCGTCCGCGCATACGCGCTCAGCACCTCATCCCCCTCACATCCACGATCCTCCATGGCAAACAACCATCTAGCCACCCCCGACCCCGAGCTTGCGCCCATTCTTGCAACGCTTCCGACTCCGGATGAGACCTTACTCAAAGACTTCACCGCGTCGAGGGCTATCTTCAGCGCAGCAATGAACGGCGCAAACAGCGGCCAGACACCTTTCCTTCCCCCAGGTAAGGCGCGGGTCTACGTGAATGCACGACGGTCTTGCTTAGTTTGGATTCTTTCGCAGCAAACACCTATGAAACGAAAGACCACAAGGTACCCGTCGAGGGGGGCGAGATCGCCGTGCGCAGCTACGTGCCAGTATCCGTTAAGGACGACATCGGTTTTCCGCTGCTGTTCTGGACGCACGGCGGAGGTTAGATCGCACGATATACTCTAGCCATGTACCATGCTCACCTCTTGCACCATAGGCTGGGTCGTCGGGGACATCGAAACGGACGATAACTACTTGAAGATCCTGAGCGTGGAGCTACAGATCGTGATAGTATCAGCCGAGTACAGGTGGGCCCATTCATACGCGCAGTCGTGACGCAATGACGCATACTGACCTTTCCCAGACTCGCCCCGGAGCATCCGTTCCCGACGGGTCTGAACGACTCGTACACAGCGCTGAATTGGGTAAGCATCCATCGAATACTCGCACACACGGCCCCTCGAGCTTAAGCGTTATCAGGCGAAGCAGAACGCCGGTAGTCTCAGCGCTGACCTCTCGAAGGGCTTCCTCGTGGGCGGTGCATCCGCGGGCGGGAATCTCGCAGCCGTCCTCGCCCATCGCGCGAAAACGGACTTGATCTTCGACCAGTCCCCGCTCACAGGACAGATTCTGCTGTACCCAGTGACGGTGCACCCGGACGTCGTGCCTGCCGAGTAAGGCTTCATCCGCTCTTTGATCTCGCCGCACGCACGCGCTAATCTTGGGCGCCCGGCTCAGGTTCAAGGAGAAGTTTACCGCGTATGAACAGATGAACGACGTGAACACGCGTTTCATGCGCGAGTCCTTCAGTGCGTTTTGCCACACCTCGTTCGCGGAACGATCTCAGGCTGACCGCGCGACCATGTCCCCAATGTAGACCTGCTCAAAGGCCCGGCGGCAGACCCAGAGGTCTCGCCACTCTTGTATCCCGCCTTCGAAGGCCTCCCGCCCGCGCTCGTGCATGTGTGCGGCAGGGACCCGCTCCGCGACGACGGGCTGCTCTATGCGGAAAAGCTGAAGAAGGCAGGCGTGCCCACGAAGCTCAACGTGTAAGTACAGAGTACGAGCGCACGTGGGGTCTGTGATGCACGCTGATGCACCGCGTGCGACAGATATGCGGGTGCGCCTCATGGGTTCCATCTCATGTTCCCGCAAACGAACATCGCGAAGAAGTTTGAGGCTGAGATGAAGGCGGGAGTGCGCTGGCTGCTTTCCGGCGCTCCGGTCGATGGATAGTTCGATGCGGTCAAATCTGTGTCGTACGACGAAGGATCTAATGCAGTATGCAACATGTATCATAAGCGTGTCAAGTAACCAGAAGATCGGTCTTGGACTTGTGAAGGTATAAATATCGTGGGGCAGCCAACACACGCATGGTTGGATCTCTCCGTCCACCTCGACACCGGCCCACCGCGCCCTATGAAACACCGTCACCCGGACCCGGAAGGCTACTTCCGGCCTCAGTGGAAGGCAGCCTCGTGAAGTTGAATATTGGATGGTTGGTACGCACCTCTCGAATGAGGATACGCCTGCTTCGTGCACCGCTCCGCCACGGTCACAGGCCCCTATTCTTACCAAAAGTGCAGATTAGGGGCCTCGCGGATACGCCGAAGATAATTTTTTTGCGCACTTTGATATCATAGGGCCGCGTGGCGACCATCCTGCATCATGAACGCTCGGGCACGAACACGAACGATCCCCCCACCGGCGGCATGCTCGACGATAAACCACGATATCTTCATCTTCTTGAAGCCGTGGGGAGTACGTTCAAGTTGGCAATACGACTTTGGAGCCCAATGCACAACAGCGCGTGAAGACGCAGCTACACTCATCATCCCATCTAGATGAACCCATGACCGTCTTGATCCGCGGATAAGATTGCGACGTGCTCACGCTGCGAGTACGTATTCAATACTTGCGATCAACCCTCCGTATGGTCCCAATCTGACAAAATGTGTGCAATACTCAGGATGCAACTCGCTAGTCTTTCAAACAGTCTCGAAGTATCGACGACGTTGGCGTGTGCTCACTCGATGAGCATCGCTTAAAAGTTGCCCTCCAAGCGAGTGTGCCCCCAGACTCATTCCCGCCTCTCGCTATATTTGCGCAGCTCGGACGCATTATCCCATATCGCAGACATGTCGCTTCCGAGCTCCGCCGCGGCGGCCCAAGTAGTTGCTACATATCAGGGAGCGTAAGTCTGCTCACTCCGATGCACGTCTTTGCGCATGTCACTGACGGTAAAACTGTGCAGGACAACAGACATCTCGTGCGCAGTTGCAGTCACGGGTGCGTAACGCCTTGCAGTGTCCCCGGCGTCCGCGTCGTATGCGAAATGCTCACCTGTGATCGACAGCGCTGCTTCTGTACGACATTTTCCTCACCTCAGGCCAAGAATTCCGATATATCTGGCGAAAACCAAAGAATTGGATCTCGCGAACCCTATATGCGTGCAATAGGTACATGTTCTTGTTGAATCTTCTCCTGAACCTTGGAACCATTCCGTCTATATCAGACATTGTGAGTTTGAATATCCCCCCCTTCAGCACATAAAGTTGCGACTCACCTGCGTATACAGAGGTACATGTTTATTGTCAGCCATTCATTGCATGTATTCACGCTCTGATGCCTGGCTACCTATCAGCTGTGCTTCACTTATCCAGCTTACTGATGTCCTAGAGCTGCTGAATCTGGTGGGATCTGCCAGTGGGTGTATTTGCTATTCACTACAAACAAACCCATTGACGATAGTACACCAGTGTTCACCACCCTCCGGATATACGCGCTCTCGCGAAAGAACAGGATCCTGAGTGGGATTGCGCTGGTGCTGAGCATGGCTCCGTTCGTCATCAATGTGGTCAGCCCCCTGTCACAGTTATCGCCGTGTGCATGCTGATGGGTACAACTTCCACAGAGCACCAGATACCAACAGCTTCTGAGCAACCTCCCTGCGCCGCTGAATTGCGTCAAGATCAACACCGCCAGCAGGAACCTCGAAATCGGGTGGGTTCTCTCCCTCCACCGCTAGTGCCCAGAAATACGTGTATTATGCTCACCCGTCTGTACGACAGATGTCAGTACATCGACTCCTAGCGAGTGGACAGCTACTCACGTACTACCTGGACAGTGACCATCGCCTCGCGGGGCTCTCTCATTCTTGCGGAATCGCTCGCCATCGCCGTCACTTGGCATCAAACCCATGCGGCAATCCAGCCCAGGACACTGGCAGGCTCCCTGAAGCGGCCATCCTTCGAGCAGGTGATGTGGGAGAACGGTACGCTTGATACGATGTTCCAGATGTGGGTTGCATGCTGATTTGCAACTCTTTTTCGGCTTAGGAGCGGTCTATTTCTTGTGCATCACTCATTGATCTGGCACTGCAGCGTGAGTGCTGACTAGATCACGTGCAGAACGCTTGTCTCCATAAACACGGTGGACATGGCGTTCTTCATACTCTCGGTGCGTACCAAGCCTCAAAGGCACACATGTAGCGACGCTCACCTTGCCCTTCAGATCGCCATATCCTTCTCAGGAAATTCCTCTTACGTTCTCTACTTCGTCGACCCGTCAGTTCATGTCCTTTCCCGTTCCGTTCACCCCCGCTCACGCGACGGCACCCTCCACAGCATCTCCTCCATCCTGAACAGCCGCTTCCTGCTCGCGCTCCACGAGACGAACGCACGGCTCGAAGGGGCTGCCGACGCGTCCATATCCTCCCTCTCGCTCAACACCGGCAGCGGCGACGCCCCGAGCGCACGAGCCTCGCCGGAGCTCCCGCCGTTCCTCGGCCCGATTGGTGGTGCGATCCGCTCCTTCCACGATGACGACGACGACGAAGACATGAGGTCGCTCAAATTCGCACCGCCGGAGTTGCGTAACGAGTCCGGCTCGGAGCTGCAGGGAGGGGACATTTTGGAGAGCGGTGATTCGGATGCCGGAAACTCGATGGCCTGATACTTTCATTTCCTTGCGTACATTTCTACACTCGCTCGCTCGACAGATATTTTCTTGTAGATGAAGGGTGGGCCGCATGTACGACGCAGTACATGCACCATCCAATGTATACCACACTACGCTGCGAACCTGCGCATCAGTCTTCATTGCACCACAGAAGTAACACTGCATCTCCAACCGCTCCGCCGCGACACCCGACATTCAGGCACATCTCGGTGAGCTATCCACACGTACACAACTCCAACACGGGAGCCGTACGCGCACGCTCCGAAGGTACGATTCACATTGGGGGGGCTGATATTCGTCCTAATTAATTTGACACACTCGCATCCAAACTGCACGCCGAATCCCGCCCGTACATTCACGCAGGAAAAGAGACAGCGAAGCAAACACCTCCGTGCAGCGCAGCAGTCAAGATGCATAAACTATCAAGATGAGCTCCAGCATTTCTAAACACTAATATTGGGAGCTGTGATAGGCTCGTAAACCAGCCTCACGTTCGGTGGCGGAAGACAATCGTTCCTAAGCTGTGACATTACCGAAAGATACTGACCTTCTCGGATACGAATGACTTCGCGCAGCAGTCGTTGCCAGGATTCAGGAGGAAGGGAAAATTTGTTCGGTCACAGTCGAGGAATCGTCCGCACATTAGGCACTCACTCTCGACCCAGTGTACGCAGCTCGCGTAGGCACAGGCTCTCCTGCGCCCAATCCCCCGCCAAGCGCGACGCGTGCGTATATACATAGCCATGAAGCACCTGCCAACACGACGTTCGTCTGCGAAATTAGAACACTGACACTCATCCGCCGAAGAAACCGCGCACGACAGGCCCGCTGCGTAACGTCTCCCCCGGAGCAAACAAACTACATTCCAAGCACCGCTGATGATGCACGCAGATAGAGAGACAGTGCGCAGACACATCCCTGTAATTTACGCCAAGGTACAACACAGCGCACCGCAAGACAACAGCGAGCACGTCAACTAGTAAGCGTCAAGAAGTCCATGTCCATCAAGTCGCACTCCATCCTCATCCAACTCCGTCTTCACGCTCACAACACCAATCCGGCGCCCACCACAACACCCACGAGCGCAACGCCCGCACCCACCAATCCCCCATAGCCCGCGCCGCCCACACTCGCGCGGAACATCGCGCTCGCCGCGTTGCTCGTCTGGCTCGCCCCAGCGCTGCTCGCCCCGCTCGTGCTGCTGATCGCCGTCGCGCTGCTCAGGCGGCTCGACACGCTGCTCGCCCCCGCAGAGGCGGCGCTCGAGAGCGAGCTGAACACGCTCGAGAGCGCGGAGGTCGCGGAGGACTCGGCGGAGGACGCGCCCGAGGCGATGCTCGTCGCGGCGCTGGTGGCGGCGCTGGTGGCGGAGGACGCGTCGGTCGAGGCGGCGCTGGAGATTGAGCTCGCGCCGGAGACTATGAGGGTCAAGGGTGAGTTGGTAAGAGGTGCGGGGAGAGAGATGAAGGGGGATGGGAACGGACCTGCGGCGCACTCCTGAGACTGGAGGGCGACGGCGGCGGCGACCTCGTCAGACGAGCAGCTGGACTGCAAGCAAGTGAGGGACGCCTGCTGGACGGCGGTGTTCGTGCACAGGCAGTTTATGTCGGTGCTGCAGAATGACGCGTCAGCGACATGGACATAAACTCGTGAACCACCACTCTAGTTCCGCGAAAGACAGTCGTTCCTTCAGAATAGAGGCTGGACCCTCCTGTGAGGGGGGGTGCGGGTGACCCCCGTAGGAACGACGCGCCAAAAAGTGTCTCCGTCTACGCAGCTGAAAATCCTGAAAATATATGAGGTGATTTGGAGGACACAGCTTCCCCCAGGAACGAATTTTTATTATGATACGTCGCCCACAGTCCGCTATGGAGCTCTCGAGGGCCGGGAGCTTCAGCCACCCATTGAAAGCCCGCTCGTTCTCTCACCAAGGGATTCTAATTCGGACGTTCCCACGGGGGGTCACCCGCACCCCCCCTTCATAGGAGGTTCATACCTAACATGGACAAAGGGATGATCATAGAGATACTCACATGCCGGAGCACCCGCCCTGCGTCGCGGCGGTCTCGATGCAGGTGAGGATACAGGTGGAGATGCCCGAGGTGGAGGTCGGGGGCGCGCTCGAGGTCGCGTCCTGGGCGTTGACACCGGCGAGGGCGGCGACGACGGCGAGGGCGGAGAGGCTCTTGAACATCATTTTGGTGTTGGGAGTAGAATAGGAGACGGGGGGTCGTGCAAGAGGTGGAGACGTGAACGGCAAAGTGTGGGGTAGACAGGGGCAGAAGCAGGCGGGTGTGCGCGCGGGCAGTTTATATAGCTCGCACCCCAAAGCACGCGCGAGACAGGAACGGGGGAGCGGGAGAATGCAGGCAGCTGTCCGGTGACGGCTGTGCGGAGCCCTCGATCGAGTGGCGGACGGCCCCATTCACTCGCCTGTCCGAATGACCACCGATCTGACGTCGATCCCATCCGTCCCTCCCCTCCTTCCCCTTCCCCGCCCAAGCTGCGCCCCGCCCCTCTCGCTCCCGAATGTCTCCCCACAAACCCTCGCCTCTTGCGCAGCAGCTCTTAGTGCCTCCGCAGGACGTCGAGCGCGCTGCAAATGGCGCAGGTGGCTCGGTCGCAGTCGCGGGGAAGTACGACGGAGGTCACTCAAATGTGGGGGCATGAACGAACGTCCGGTGCCGGTGGCGCGCGGCGGCGGTGCTAGCGCCGACAGAACGGTACCATCAAATAATTCAAATTTGGCCCCTCCCTATTCCCATGGGCGCTTCCCGAACCTCGTCGCGTCTCGCGTCTCGAACCTCGACGCGTGTTTCTCTGCTCATCGTGGTCGCCAACGCCTGTGCGGGTGTGAAGACCGGGTGCGCTCTGTCTGGCGAGGGAAAGGGAAGAGACGTCTTCATGTGGCTCGCCCTTCCGCGCAAGAGCACGGAGATGGGGACGCCGTGATGCGACGTTGCGGCCACCATCACTGCACGCTGTCTCCGTGCGTCCGCACCTCTCCTTGCTCTCCTCCTCGCTCGAGATCCAACATTTCGCAGCTGTTCGCCCACATCCGCCAAGGACCTCGCCTCCCTTCCCGCCTTGGTCCTCGTACATCTCTGCCATGATGAACGACCTCACCACCGTACCTCGCTGCTGGCAGGCCCTGGGTACGCCCCGACGCACAGGAACCTCCCGAAGCCCAGAATACCCCCGGGCCCTGTCTGCCCATCTTAGCCGGCTTCTCGTACGTCCGCCCTGTCCCCAACTCTCCTCGTTTCTCCGCGAGCGTGGGACCACCGCGTATGGCCTCGCTATATGCGGCAGCCTGGACCACATACCGCTCGACATCGCGGGCTGGGTGCACCCGTGCGGGTCTTCTGCGGGAGTGTGCGCGTTCACGAAGTACTTGCAGACGCCCTGCGTAAAGCGGGTGCGAGTGCGTTGCGAGGCGGTAAGCTCAAGCTCCAAGTTCTAGCGCGCTTCGACGCTTCGGGAAGTGCGACATTGACGCGTGGATGTGTTCATCGACCTCGCCCTCGCGGCGATTCCGCCTGACGGCCTGCGCACGGACTATGTGAGCGCACGCGTTCCACCCACACCCGCGTTACGGCCACCCCTGTGTTCCCGGGGACTCTAGGCCTCGGAAATGTGGTGCCGCGCAGTCAGCCTCGCTCCTCAGCGTGGCCCGCTTACAGCCGCGGTGTACGTGAGGGGGCGTAGCGAATGTGGTATGTCTATGCTGAGTGCACAAGAGCGACTGTGGGGATACTGACGCACGTTCGCAGCATGCAAGCGTAAGCCGAGCGGCCGTGCATATCCTGGGGACTCATATAGTACCCGCGGATTGGACGCCTAGCTGCGGCTCCGTGCGCGCAGCCAGCCACGTCTCCGTCTCCGGGTTGTGTTTGTTCCTGGCGCGTCTTGTCTTCCCTGTTGGCGACTCCCTCGAGCCGCTCTGCGTCACACAGATCCTGGTCGCTCTACCGTATACGTGAAGTTCTCCACATTCTCTGGACCTTAGTCTTCGCTAGCAACCCTTCCGAATGACTCGCTCGTCGCGTTCGGCCACACCTAGCGAATAACGACGCGGGTATCTTCCACGGCGCTCGCAAGCCTAGCAACCATCGAGAGTCGCGCGCCGACTTTCAATCCCGAAGTACGGCGCGCGTGTCCAGGTATGTCCGCGACATGTTCTCAGGAAAGTACGCTCAAGATAGCATCACTGACCTTTGACGTATGTTCGCAGCCTATCGGCTGGGCAGTACTTCTATCCTCATCGCTCATGGTGTCCTCGTCCCGCACACATCTTTCTCGGCTCTAGCATTTCTGCCCTTCCGCGTTTTGTTTTGGGCTTCGGCAAGTTCTATCCAAAGCTTCTGCGCAAAGGCCATGGTCGATGTCCCGGAAGCACCGCAAGAGTGCTCGACATTTACCTGCGCCTTCGCTAGCTACTCTCGGAAAGACTCGCTCTCGTCGTCTCCGAGCTCCCTCCCCGACATTCTTCGCAAATGGCGACATATGTTTCTAGACAACGGCTACCAGTCTGGCAATCTTTGATAATTGCGCACAATCTCGAGAACCCGCTGCATCTTCTGTATGCCGCCTCAGCTTTTGTACTCCTCGCTCTTCCCCAGCCGTACCCCGCAACCGGCATTCTTGCCTCCGCCCGGGGTAGACCGGCAGTTGCGGGCCGCTCGGCTATACAACCCGCCGCAGCCACCCGCAGGGCCGCAGTTTTCGGACGCACTCATTTTCTTCAAGTCAGCTCAAGTCAGTCGCATTTTCACCGGTGTGTAGAACGCCGCGCGGGATATTTTAGATTTGTGAGTGCAGCATCTATCCGTGGTTGTGTCCAGAACGAGCTGAGGGTTTAGGCTTTCTTTTGCAGTTTCCGGTCTTGCGGATTCCGGAGTGCGGACAGGCGGCCGCTCGACTCAAGGTGGACTCGCCGTCAAGTTACTACTTGGTATGATGGGCTGTACACTGAGCTGGCTCGACTTTCGATAGCCTATGAGCAATACCCAATTTTCCACCAAGGACTTTCGGCCGCATCTCGCTCGACTTCTGGGCCGCTTGGTCAGAAAGCCTAAGTATGAACAGGACCGCAGTTTAGCGCCACGAACCCGTTTTCTTGGAGGCATTTTCGCCCGTGTCTAGACTAGAAAGCTAAGGACCCTCGATTTGTGAGTACGGGAGCTCTGTATATAGTAGTTATAGAGTCTAGGCGAGCTGCTAACTCGACCTTGTTACAGTTTCTCGTCTTGCGTTAGAGTGCGGACGGCGACTCGAGCTCCGGTCGACTCTCGGTCGTCGACTATTCCCCTCAAGCTGGTGTACTTATACGATCTGTGCGTTCAGACCCACGCCCTATAATAGACCTGCATGTCATGTCGTTCCGCGTACAGCCCTCGGGATGATCGGGCCATTTAATCGTGCCGCCGTGTGCTCTCTGACATAAACGCCGTCCTCAGCCAAGCCCGTGTTACGGCGTCGACCACACTACCTGCTGTCCTGCAAGACTTCCAAGGGCGTTCCAAGGGCGTCCTCTCAGTCTTCTATCCTGCTAGGAGGCCTCGGCATCAATCGGCCGGCCTGGAGCGTTCGGTACTAAGACTCGCAATCGGCCAGATCGGGCTGTGGCTGTCAGTAAGTATTGTGGCTGACTTGTGTTCTCGCCCGACATATCTACTCACGTACTCTGTTCTGTTCACAGGAGGATTGTCTATTACGCGGTACTTCGCCGCTGTTCTTAATTGCCATCTTACGACGAGCTCTCGACCCTCCGCTGCATCAGACGGGCGAAGCACATCTTAGGGGCCAGATCGAGACCTGAGACGCTCTATCTCGTTTAACGCTTCGCCAGATAATTATCGCGGGAAGGGCTCCCCCGCCGACCGCCACCAACTTGCGCTGCCCCGCGCGTGTGTCGCCCCCGCAGCTCCGCACCCTCGCGCCTCCTCCACACCAACCCGCCTTAAACGTGGCTATTGCGGAAATTTCGGGGGCGCGATCGAGACCCCCGGCGGACATACATGTAGGGGCAGCGGCTGCCATCGCCGTGCACGATTAGAGTTTGGCCCGCACCCGCCCTCTCGCTCCGCCTCCCCTTCCCTCTCGGACACCCACGCCCCACGCCTGCGTCTCCTTCGCCGCTGTTCCCTGTTCCCTGTTCCCCCTTCGCATTCCGACAGATCGTTTCGGGCTTCGCTGCGCGGGTGCCCCTTCGCCGTCTCGCACCCCCTTCTTTCTTCCCGCCTGCATGTGCCCGTCCGCCCAGGCGTCATATCCGCGCCCGGATGCGCGTCATCCGCCCACGCTAGGCCAGCCTGTGCACCCTTCTGCAGAACACACCGCCCGGGACGCTGGTCCGCCCTTGGGCTGGTGCGCCGCCCCCAGCCCCGCGCACCGCGCGCACCCCTGTCTCGCGAGATCCGAGCGGGAGATCCCCCAGCATTCTTCCGCGCCCCGTTTTGCTCTTGGCCGCAGCGAGTGCTGCTTGTCCGCCCCCGCCACGCCCCGCGAAGGCTCCCGGAGACTCGCTCACGCAGAAGCATTCCAGCACCAGCACCAGCAACAACACCAGCCACAAGTGCAGCGTGCTACGCAGACTCTGGGCATGACCACGCAAGTTAGAGCCAGGCTCGCTTCGGTCGTGTCAGCCTCACACCCCTCTGCTTCTTCCACTATGCCGTCTCCCTCCACCTCCACCCACTCGAAATTCATCGGGCTGTCCGCCGCCGACATGGAACACGACCGCCTCGCGCGTGCATGCGGGCAGGGCCCCATCCTCGTCGACCTTCGGAGCGAACCCGTCACCCCCTCAGGCTCCCGTTTCGGTCAGTCCCACCGAAGCCGCCATTCCGACAAATCCACTGGCCTGTCTGCTGCGGACCTCCTCGCCCTCCACATCCCACAAGATTCGGACGACCCTCTGCTCGACATTCCCTTCGCGCTCAGCTGGGGCTTGCGTCCGCGGGCGACTTCAGTACGTGTGCCACAACGGCAGTCCACACCCCGCAACCCCGCACGGCCGCGCTCCGCGTCGCAGCCAGCCTCGATCCCGCTCTTCCAACTTACGAGCCCACGTGGAGTGCTGCGATCGCTCAGGGAGGCACTGGAGGAAGAAGGCGTGCTACTGGAGGATTGTCTCGACTTGCAGGAGGTGTTTGAGAGGTGGGAATCGCAAGGCGAGCGGGGTTCGGCCCGTGGGGAGGCGGTGCATCACAGTACGTATCTTCCTTCTTCTGAAGCTCGTCCGGGAAGTAATGGTCTGCTGCTGTATTCCAGAGACGTTTGGCTCGTCGGTGAGTACAGCGGTCAAGTGCGCGTCGATGTCTACCGTGCTTGGTGGATATCAGCACAACGTCCCATGGGTCGTGTATGCATGCGTGGAAGAGCTCAACCGGACAGGTGAGTAACATGAGTGTGGAGCTGTGCATGTGGGATTTACGCCGTCTTGTAGGCATCTACCAGCCGGGGCTTTTCCGCGCTGTTCCCAACCGTATCCGTCTAGCTCGGCTAAAGGAGGCTTTCGACTTGTGTGCTCCCATCTGCGCGCTCTCGCCAGACCTTGACGAGATGTGCCCTCGCATGACCCCAACGCTCTCCACCACGCGCGCGTCGCTCCGCAAGGAGTCGATGCCCGACATCTGCGCGCTGCTCAAAAACTACCTCGATCTCCTCCCGGAGCCCCTCTTCGACGCGAATCTCGCCGCCGCATTGCACATGCTCTGCGTACAGCCCTCGCTTTCCCGCGAAGAGGCAGATGCGGAAAGCACGGACTCTGGTAGCGACGGCGGCTACTTCGCCTCCCACGCCCGAGCGCGCTCCGCTCCCTCTCCTTCCCATTCCGCCACCTCCCCCGCAGACGTCCCGATGACCCCCAGCGAGCACCGCGACGCACTCCTCCTGCTAGAGGCGCCGCAAGTCCTCCTCGCACAACACCTCCTGCGACTCGCACCCCCGCCCGCGCTCGCCCTACTCGCCTACCTCCTCGGGTTCTTCACTCAACTCCCTCTGTGCCCGGACAATGGCATGGGCTTCGCGGACGTCGCGCGCATGTTTGGGCGCGTGCTCGTTGGCGGCGCGGACGCGGGCGTCGTGCGCGGGTGCGTGCACTGGCTGCTCGAGCGCTGGGCGCGCATCTCGGACGGGCTGTTCGACGTCGCCGCGGGCGAGGACGACGGGCCTGGACATGTGGAGAGCGCGCCCGCCACCGCGTGCAGGTCCACGTTTAACGCGTTTTCGCGCTCGCCGCCGCTCAGCTCCAATGAGAACACGCCGAAGGTGAGGCAGGGGGAGGGGGCTGGTGAGGAGGGAGAAGTCGGGTTGGTGCGTATGCAGGTGCCGTACGACCCGGGGTTGCTCGAGCGCGGATACCGTCCGCACTCTACCTCTGTCTCTTCGAACAGCTCTACGGCGACGACGGCGAGCTTGGAATCCGAGGACATGTCGGACTTGGACACGCCTTACACCTTCGGTAATGCGAAGGATGGGACGTATGCCGAGGAAGCACAACCTGGGGTCATGGAGTACGAAGCTCCGTTTGATGCATTCGAGCGGAGTCCGCACGTAACGGCCAACTACGCCCTCGGTAAGTTACTTGTTGTCGTTGATAGTGTTCGCGAAGCACCAGCTGATGGATTTACTGGTAGAACGAGAATACGTCTCGTGCCCTCCATCTCCGCGGCACTACGCACGCGCTACCTTCGGAGAGTCCGACGTCGAAGATCTCTGCTCTCCCTCACCGTCCGTGCGATCGCTGGACATCGAGAGCTCGTGGGAGTGCTACTCCGGCTCGACGAGCCGCTGTTCCCCCGCTCCCCCCGGGACGACCAGCCTCCGCTGGGCGCGCAGCTCGTCGGAGGGGTACCCCGACTCGGACTGCGAGTCGTGCGGGGAGCCCTATCGCGGTCCAAACGAGAGCACTCCTCGGAACAGCGCCAACTTCGACGAGTGAACGCTGGGTCTGAGCGCTGTGGGCGCGGATGGACGGTGCCGCATGTGTTGATATATGGGCGCGGCGCCGCTCTGAGCCTATCTTGAACTTCGCTTGGGCTACCATATGTACGATCTTACCGATATTACTGCTCGCATAATGTACACTGTCGCTAGAGCCGGTTTTGCATACTCCTATCCATCTATCTGTCTCTGTCCTCCGTGCTTCGTTTTAGTCATGTTTTCCATTTAGCGGACCGTAGTGAAGTAGGGACAATTCGCACATCAATCCTGGACGTTTATCCTGAACACTGATGTTACACTTCTTATTATCACGAAGTGGTACCTACCGCCTTTCATAGAATGAAGACAAGTCAGGCATGACGAGTCACCGTGCAAAGTACTCCGGCTCAATGGACGATGGCGAAGGCGAGCGCATAGGGGGTGAGCCCAGAGCCATGGCGGGTCGGATGTGTCTAGTGGATGGCTATCGCTTCCCCATCTTCACGATGCTATTCCTGTTTATCAGAGGGAGAAGTGAGTGGCGTTCATACGCGAAGAGACCTTTGCCGGTACTTATGGCAGGTAGATCTGAAAGACGCATCGTTGGCGTTTGAGCTGATGTACTGAAATGGTGATTACGTGTGTTTCTTGAGTATATAGCCGTTGGCTGATACTTGGTGACACGGCATCCTGTCCAGTGCCAGGACGCCGAAGATACGAGGCGCCCGTAGTTTGCGATGTGGCGCAACATGCCACGTGGAGGAGCTGGCCCTCTGGAAACGGGTTCTCGCGTTTCTTCCTCTCGTCTTCCACCCTCTGCATGCCCACCGTCTCCCACCGTGCGCTCTGCTCGTCGTTAAACGCTCTCTCTGTTGCGCCTCTATGATCAAGAAGTCTGCACACACTGTTTCATCATCAGAGCAGGATGCAGGTATGTTGATTTTGGCTGTACAGTGGATAGCGTCGGCACGGAGGTCATTTCGCCTTGGCGAATGTCTCTCGATGGGCGCATACACCACTGCACACTTGCTGCTTGGGCCTCTTTATGTTCCGGCCTGCGACAGCTGGGGCTTCTCTGATTTGGAATATCTGGCGTAGTTCTTTGTCGTGATCACTATCAACCGGGATCTTTGGAAGGCTGTTCCGACTCAACGTTTCATGCGTACACTCTTCGCGTGTTGTGCAGGCTCTCCTCCAGATGTGCGTAGTCTCCCTTGGCTTTGGGGAAAACTCCTGTTTGTGCTGGTTCTGCTGCTGTGGGTTCTTTTACTATGCCCGTCCTCGCACCTCTTCCCCAAGATGCGAGACCTCTTGTCGTAGGCTCGCGCATCGCGAGTGTTCATTGCGCTCACACGCGCACCACAGGAAGCAGATTTTTGTACCAGCATATTACGTCTACTGGTCGTTCCGCGCCTACGAGCAAACTCCTCGAACAACTGCGGGTGGACACATCTGTCATTGATGTTTACGACAACCGCCTCCTGGTGCTATCTGCACCACTTCCAATGCATGGAACGGCTGTACATATACGGAGAAGAGTGTACTCTGTAACCCCTTCTGAGCCGTAGTCTCCCCACCCATCCCCGGTGCCCCCGGCGCAGTCTGCACACGCACGATGCCAGTAGGAGGTGAGTCTCACAGTTTCCACATATCTGTCCGCTTATCATCTGGTGTCGATTGCAACAGAGTTTGCATTGCCGCGCCACGGCCTAGTTCGTCTGTGGACAATGAAATTCAATAATGACAGAGGCCCATCATTCACGATCGCCGCTGCGCCCAAGGGGCAAAGGCAAGGCGCAGGCCGCGATGCATACGAAAGTTGTCCATGGGCTGCGCACAATGCTTCTGTCTCTCGCAGAGTTGTTGCTACGTCATTTCCTTCTTCTTTTTCGCTCACAGACGGCAACCGGAGACCGGTATTATCTCCTTCAGCTGCGTCCAAATGTCATCCGCTCGCAGTCACGACCCCGGCAGCGGTCTACGCTACTATTTATTTCCGCATAATCGCACCAGTGTCTGTTCGGTTCCTAGTTTGGGGCGCCTCCTCTCAATGAACCTACAATCGGGGCTCTCAGGCGGAACGCCCATACAACATATGGACCACCTGTCCGAGGCACCGCCAGACGACCCAAACGTCTTCCTCTTTCAGTCCTCTCCTATTCGCCGACCTGACTCGAGGGGCGCCGCTCGGAGGCAGAATATCAACGACTTCTCTACATGTGGGCAGCGCTGTATCGTGTCTGCGGCGGACGGTGTCTCATGCGACGCGTGCGTATGGGACCGCACCACGATTATCTGTTCGACGGTGTAACTGACCGGGTTACTCTGATAGCAACGCCGCCCTCGAATGCGTCTGTCAAAGTTTATCTGTGGAAAGCAACGCCTTGACCTGCCTCATACTTCGGAGCTGCTCTGAGAAAGATATCAACGCGTTTGATAACCTTGTGGATACTTGTAGTGTAGGTGAGCATTGCCGAAATGATCCGCAAAACCTGGTGCTGGATCAGTGGGCCTATATTAGCGCTCAGTCATTCCTGTCTCGCGTCTCGCTCTATGCTGACCGCTCTAATGGATACAGCACAAAAAACACACACGCATCGCGGTACGACCAGCTCCACTGATGGCGTCACTATAATCCCCCTCCCATCGTCCACATCCACCTCTATGGCAAGCTCGACATCTCATACTTCTATGTCGTTCCCTACATCGACCTCCTCTATCCCACCATCTCAGACCAGCGGCTCGTCAGGCAACGTGCCTACTTCGCTCTCTCTTCCATCTTCGCGAACGACTCAGCCGCCGTCAACTTCTTCAAGCATTGGGCAGCCGTCGCTTACAACGACACCGCCTTTCACATCGTCATCGAGTATCCAGGCCGTTACATTGTCGTCCATTGCAGCGGTTCCTTCCGGCATTTCCACGGGTGGATCGCACCCGACTCATCGCAACGTTATCATCGCCGTCGCTACATCACTTGGCCTTGTGGTCCTCGCCGCCGTCGCGACGTTGATATCGCTCTACCTGCGCCGCCTATACCGACGCCGTCAGCTCCGCCAGTCTACACGTCGTGCGCATCCATCGGATATCTGCGTAACCGCGGCAGAGATCGGCAACCCGAAGACTCCGGACGCGCTTCAAAGCGACCTCTCAAACCTCCTCGATGCGCGTGTCTCGACTGAGCCCCATCCCTCTGCCCCCTTGTCTTCTGTCATCGACATCTCTGGGCCGAGAACGTCCGTGTTCGTCGCGCCTCCCACATCTCCAATAGCCCGACAGGAAGTGTTTCTACAGTCTTCGCCGTCCATCACACCCCGGCCATCCGGCGAGGACCGCGATGTTAGGAAAACCCCGACGGAATCCGTCTCGCAACCGGGTGGACCCGCTGACATCGACCGAGGTCCCCCTATCGCACCAGCACCTGCCGATCCTGTGAGCGTGTTGCCACGTCGTTCGGGCACGCCGCGTGGGTCGCGGCGTTTCGTGACGGTTCTGATGGAGGTGCCGGACGAAGAGGAGCATGAGCTGCCGCCCCCGTATCAGCCTGGACAGCGTGTCATGTAACAGGAGATGCATTTCGAGGGACTGAGAACGCACGGGGATGTATAAGGCTAACTTCGGGGCTGTGTAAGTGTTTTGCAGGTTGACGATTCATCTCTCTCGGCGGTCTCGTGACGTCGCGTGTTCATCTGGGGGAATGTCGCGTGTCTCGTAGTTGTTGTAGGATACTCAAATGGAGGGTGCCGCTTTGGAGGAGGACGGTGCTGCTTCCGGGTGCGAGGTAGTACCGTGAGTGCTATCGTTGATGCGCTACGCAGTTGCTCACCTTCGCGCTCTTGACAGAAGATAGTGACAGTTCAGTCCAAGGAAGCCACGAACGAGCCACAGGCTAGTTGTACGATTGAGTAGACTTCAACAACAGGTTATTCTCGCAGAGTCACCCCCAGCGCTGTGTTCATCGCGATGGTTGGTCCAGGATTACTTCGCTCCGGAGCTGTGCGTACGACTCGTCTCGGGCAGGGCGCTGACCAAAGAACCTGTCTGATAGATCGACTTAGGTGGTGTTACGATCTTGGGCCGGCTCTTCTCAAGATAGACTCAATATTGAACGTAGGTGAGAAGCCCCGTATGTGCTGGACCTCTCCACTCTCACGCCAGATATCAGGAGCGCATGGAACGCAGACGTGCTTCAACACAACAGGAGCCCCTCTCCCAACACGCAAGTCTCGACCGCGAACCCTTCCTCGCTCCCTTCGTATTCTATGATCGACGTCGCCACTCCCATAGCGTCTGCCTCCGTGGCTTCCCCTTCATCTCCCCTCGGCCCTCTGGAGGGGCGCCAACGACAGGCTTCGCTCCCAATCGCACCGCAACCGTTGAGCGAAGATTTGGGCTGTGCGAAGGCGGATGGGGCCATCCAAAGAGTGGCTGTACCCGGGTCCGAGCAGGATCTCCCTGCATCGCCCCCTGCGGACCCCTCGGCCGCGTCTATTCCCAGCTCAGATGTACTGCGCTGGATGCGCTCCGTGATGACACTGTCGGACATTGCGGATGAAGAGGAGCGCGAGATGCCGCCTCCTGTCCAGCCTCCTCCACGAGCCACGTACAACCAGGCGCCGGACGCGGAGTCAAGAGTCTACGGAGATGCATAAGTTTCGTTCCCTGTAGCTCTCTGCCGTACTCCTGCGATGTAGGACCACGCAGATTACCAGACACCGGCGGGCGCAGTGGAATAGACGCATCTACGGTACGTCCGCTTTCGTCTCAATAAATACTCAGCTACTGATACGCACGCGCCCCATGGTATGCAAGCACGGACTCTATGACGTGAGGCAAATACAAGTTCTGGGGCGTGGGACATCATTTGTACAGGCCTAAACGGTAGACCAAAGTGCGACATCGATACCTGTGACTGGATTGGACTTGAATGGTCATTGTCAATTCCTCAACAGAGCTACAGAGATGTGAAGCGAACCCGCGCACATCTGCACGAACCCGCCTCCGATAAACGTCCTCATGTCACGCCTCCGCCCGGGATACTTTCGACTGCTGCCGGGGTAAATAGGAAAACCGCGGGCCACAGTTGCATTAGTAAGTATCACGTCGCTCAGGTCTTGTCGGTGCTGTGTGTATTTAGTACTCATCAAGTTCCATTGAGACGATATCCAACGACTTGCAAATGCGAACCCGAACCTGAACGTGGCACTGCCAGCGTGGCACATAGGCGTGCGGACACCCGGCAAGGCGACTCCCACGCCTGCTCGCCTCTTCCCGTAGGCGATTCCACATTGGTTTCAGCTATCAGTCAGCCATAGGTCTCATTCACGAATCCGAATGGTGCTCACATTCTGCTACTGTATGGAAAGGCAGCCTGTAGTGATTTGCCACGTTGTCAGACTCGACTGAGGCTTACTAATATTCGAATTTTGACCTTCAATGTGCGCCGCAGTTCTTCGTCTTTCCGTGTTCTTCTGACAGGCGTGCCGGAGATGCTACAGTCGCTTCGATGCCAGGTGTTATACTTGGCCCTTGATCTTGCTAGCTTCTTCGCCCTTTTCTCCGTCGGTATTCGCATGTTTGACGTGCTCTGATATCAGATGTAGAAGTCGCCGCTCTCACGTTCACCGTGCGACGTCAGATGTGAGGAGCAGGCTTCGACTCAGAGGAATGAGGACTTAGCGCAATCGCGTATTCTCCATCTCTTACTATCAAGGTATGTGTCGAGTCCTGGCCCGTCTGCAATGTTGACTCCTTTTTATATGTTCTGGCGTCACGACAACTGTCGCTGATTGCAGAAGGGAGTGCGACCTCAATGGAACCCAGATTGACGCCTCTGGACTCCATTTGACGGTTGTGTCAACAACGTTCGCCGATGGCGTGCCTTTGTGTCTCGGCTTCCCTTAGCGATCTGACGGTATCGACAGCCACAGATGCCATATCTATCATCGAACCATTCCGAATGCTACAGGCTCTTCTCCTTGACCGTCTTCCCCGAGTCTTACGACAATGGTCAAAGCCTACGCGGGCGTGGTTGAGAAGCACCGCTCTTGGTCCGCTCCCGGAAGCGAGAAAGCCTGAGATACGGTCGGCATTCTACACTGCCCTGAGCTGCCGGAGATCCGTCGAGGGCGCGCATTCATTGCTCACTTCAGCCGTCTGCTATGTTGCCGTCGGGACTAATCCGCGATGCTATTGCATCGGAAACCGTGAGTTGCACCCATTTCATCGGTGATTCTGCGCTGATCCTTCTTCAAGACGTCCTTTCTTGGCGGTAATAAAGACAATTACGATCTCGTAGGCCTCAGTCTCTGGCGTGCCGTCCTTCTACCCCACCGACCCGGCAGTCCTAGCCCTCCCGCTCCCGGTCTCCCGAATACTGCTGCGTCATGCGTTCGAACTTTGGCTCTTGGGGTGCTGCATCCGAAAGAAGGAGCTTGAAGAGCGACGAGGACTTCAGCAATTGCGGATGGGATTGCTTGGACGATGCTTGGAATAATTCCAATTGTCCTTCGTGGGTAACATCAAATGCCCTCCGAGCTCCACAAGTCTGCTAACATGCACTCCGCTACAGCAATGACGATATAAAATGCGTCTGCGAAGACCCGAACGCACGAAAGCAAGCTGCCACTTGTATGAACAACCGTTGCTCAGCGTCGGACGCGAATCAGTTGTCTCTGGCGGTTGCGAGCTGCAACAATGATATCGCCGGTGAGTTACAGGTGTTTCCCTCGCCTACACAGCTGCGCAGTGTGTCTTGTACTTGTGCTGACAACATGTCTTTCATGACAGAGCCAGGACCTACTACCCATGGACCTACGCCAAGTCCGACCGCTATTCCCACGATGACGCCCACAGCAGCACCGACGACATCTTCCACTGCAGCGACCACCGCTCCTCCAACAAGCACTCTCCATAATGCGCCCACGACAACGGCTTCCACTCCACCGCCTCCTGCTACATCCCCCAGTACGACGACCGAAGTAGGCGAGACCGGTGCAGGAAATGGCGGCGCGTCGAGCACATCACCTCCTGCAGTTACAACTTCACAAGACGCCTCCTTCCTACCGGGATCAACAATACCACTCCCTAGCTCTTCGCATAACCCCTCCCAAGGGTCTTCCGACTCCCCTACGTCAACTCATGGAGCGATGTCAGACACAATACCGCAAGCCTCAGGCACGGTCACTGACGGGATCATACCCTCCCGGACCACGAGCGGGGGCGTGCCAGCTACCGCTTCTGCTCAGAGCGGCACAGGGCAACACGGACTCTCGCCCAAAGTCTCGGTCACTCTCGTCATAGCTATCAGCGTGGTCATCACTATTGCCCTCATCCTAGCTGTGATACTCTGCATGCACCGTCGTCGTCGTCGCCGTGGCGGCGCTGTGCCCGCGGGGACTTTCAATGACGTCAAAGTTGTAGCGAGCGACGAGAACGCCGCATGGGCACGGAAGGACGAGCAGCAACGTGGCGCGGTGAATGGAGACCTCGCCATTGTCTCCGCGCATCCTCTTGGGAGTTCTGCTCTGGCGCCGAACCGTCCCTCCGCCTTCGCCACTTCTGACAGCGCCGTCTTCTCTCCTGGAACCTCGCACCATTATTCACAGTCGGAATCTGGCGATAGCACCCGCCCTTTGCTATACCGAATCATGTCCGACGGCTGTACCATGGATACGGTCGGAGAGGGAGCGCTCTCACTGCCGGGGACCTCGTCCACGCAGTACGGTTCAGAAATCTGGAGCAGGAATGGCATCGTAGGGGAGGACTCGCAAGCACAGGGTGGCACCCTTGATATCCGGCACACGGGAAGGCCGGGATTGGGGATCTCTGGTCAGAGCGCGCCGGAGCATGGAGTAACTGTGCCCGCACGCACCAACAACAGCGACATACGAGACGACGAGAAGAGGGCAACAATTCCGAGTCTCGGCGACGACGGGCCCGAAGGGACGTCGCACACATCTCTGCCCGTGATTCCCGCGTCGCCGTTGACTCCTACCGCGCAACCTGGAGGAAGCGCCGCCTTTCCCGCTCGGCTCTCTAGTGGTCCGCGTGGGCCGCGCTTCGTGACGGTGCTCATGGAGGTCAGGGAGGACGACTTGGAGGAGCAGGACCAGCCGCCGCCGTACCAGCCTCGTTCTTATTCTCGTTTGCAGGAGCATGGTACCGAACCCGTTTCCGCAGTAGGTATGGTCGAAGACAGTCACTCGCCCCAGCTTGAATACGGACAATCGAGATTGTTATCGTGAGGTACCGAAAGGTTGTCATACACTCGGAGACTGGCTAGTGCACTGATGCCGTGGGCTGTACATACGCGGCGAACAGTAGGTCCCACATCCGTGGTTGTAAGACTGTCTGAATCTTGAATGTAGTCATGTCGTTTTTCTGGAGAGTTTAGCTGAACCGCAGGTTGCCAGACGGTAGGACATATCGGAAGACAGAGAGCGCGAGGCTGTTGGAGACAGGCATTGCTCCCGCGTGTTCTCACGGGTCCCAAGCCGCTCGGGTAACGAGCGCGCCATTTTGTTCATGCAATTGATCCCTCTCAGCCAATTTCGCACTGCTTAGTTTCCTGAAGCTATCTACAATGGGACCCTTGCCGCTCAAATATGGGCTAGTCATGATTCCAAAATCTATGTATCTCGAGTTTCGAAGGTCACTTCCTGGACGGTCATATGGCAACTATCTGCGATACTGATGATGTTGCAGCAAATCGCGGCCTTCGCAAGATGAGGAATACACATCATGTAGGTATCTGATTGACCTGCATCCGGATTTTTGCGTGCTGATTACGTTCGTGCGGTGCCTCAACTCCTATGCTCATACTGCGTCTTTCTGCTCACCGCGACACATCAGCTGGAGATGATGCCGAGTCACGGTGTATGTTGCTCGTGGCCTTTACGCACTACCGCGGCGAAGCTGACGAAGAACTCTATAGAGAAATCCCCGACTCTAACGGAGGTGCGTGACCGGAAGCGGCCATTGTCTTATGATCACGGGCGCGTCGACTCGGATGGGCGATGAAATACTGGTGTCCATGGTGATGATCTGCATTGCCGGGGCCTGACATACTTCGTCGATCTCATTGTCTTGGTACGCACAGCAGCATCCTTGGTGAGGCCAAACTTGGGATTTCTATCGGTTGTGCACTGGAGGTGGCTGTGAGTAATCCTTTCTCTCGTTGTGTCTCTACGAAGGTCCTGAAGCTCCACTTTGCATTACATTTTACTTATCGTGTCATCACTGTGTTCAGCACCGCCCGAGAATGATAGGAAAACTTCGTGGATAGAAGCTCTTGACAGCTAGCTTCTATCATGGGCGGGTGAGTTCGGATAAAGTAGTTGTTTTGATAGTTCGTTGCTCTGTGGCTTACTCGCGTATCTTCGCAAGACAGTGCCCAATGTGTCTTGCTCCTCATTCGGGGAGCGTGCGCATCTCTGTCGACGTGAAGTGGCATACCCATACCATCACGGTCCGGGAATTCTGAAGCTTCTCAAACAGACAACCGCGCTTCCTTGAGGATACTCTGTCTGTGCTGCGACATCGTTGCCTCGTAAGTGTGATAGAAATCACGTTCTAATGTGTCGACACTGACGTGCGCTCTCAGGAGGAGTGCTGACCTGGAAGGATGTCCGATGCGGGAGGCTCGGCACACCTCTCGTAAGGCATTGCAGATACTTAAACTGCCTGACGGCTGCAATGTAAGGTATGTCCTTCCCTTCGGTATTTCCATGCAATCCTAACGTACCAAAGTCGCTATCCTCTGTCGATTTTCTTCTTCGTGGAACGCGCGGCCCTTTGACATGGAAACACTCGAACGGGTACACCTTCACCGTCCTAAGCAGCAGCCCGTCCCGAGAGACACTTTGATGGGTGATATGCCGCCGTGCGCGGTGCCATGTATACAGTCGGATGAGTCCAACACTGGGTGCTCCAGGTGCGTGATACTCATCTCGTCGACCCTAGACGCGCCACTCCCTGCTGCGTATGATAACTTTTCCCATTGTATTTTTGCGGTGCGGAAAGCTGCAGACGCACTGACATGCGATATTTTCAGCAGCGACGATGCATGTCTCTGCGCCGACATCGACTTCCTGCAATCCTCTCTTACTTGCGCAGTAAAATCATGCTCGGGCAACGATGTGCAAGCGGTAGCAAACACAATCAATACAGTGTGTAATGCCGCATTGAAAGCTCCTCATGACGGTACGTGTATGTGCAATGTAACAGTTCACATAAGACACTGACAGTATGACACAGGTTCTGGTGTGCCCACGCGCGGCGATACGGCTACCACGGCGTCATCCACAACTACAAGCGGATCTACTTCTACCGTCATCTCTTCGTCCGCAGGCACCGAGACGCACACGTCTACCTCGCAAAAGGTCGCACAACACTCCACGGATACTGATCCAGCAAGTATTACTCCCACTTCCACGACGGCTACTTCTACCGCGGACGGCGATTCTCAGATTTCCACGTCCTCGTTCTCCCTCACTCACAGCTCGCTCACTACTCCAACGTCCGAGCTCACCGCGTCAGCGATCTCCCCGTCCTTTGTCGCACAATCATCGCAGGCGGTGTCAAGTTCATCTACTGCTATGGCGGCACCCATACCTCCGTCTTCAACAGACCTATTCTCCACATCCACATCCTCCGCTGACGCGTCGACCGGGGAAGGGCACTCCCACAACCTTATTATCGCACTCTCCTCCGTTCTTGGAGTTTTTGTTCTCGTCGCAACGGTGCTCGCATACTTTCTATGGAACCGGAGAAGACACCAAGCCCGGAGCGCGGATGCGAGCCACGAGAACGGAGGACGCGAGCCTCGAAATAGATCAACACCAGAGGAGGAGAGCTCCGCAAAAGGTAGTAGCGGTTCTCGGGGAGCGGCAACCGTCTCGGACGGCGACAGCTCTACCGTCATCGATGCCTACGCGACCACCAGCCTCGCGGGTGAACTCGGTTCGCCTCTCTCCGCTACGTCGCCGCCATTCTTTCCAAGCTCTCACGAAGTCGTATCCTCGCAGAAGACGAGCGACAGTCTGGGCTCAGCCGGTGGAACACGAGGCGAGCACCACAGCAAGCACGCATCCCACGGCACCCGAGGGGAGCCAGCATTGCCTCTAGGGAGCGCTATGTCTTCTCCTTCGCAGCAGATACCTGGCGTGCTTGGTAGAGACGAGATAGTGCCGCGCGAACCATGGGCGTCGGACGAGCGCGAGGAAGAACCGCCGCCATACGAGCCGCGGACGCAGGAGGGATGATTGCGCACTCGGGATGGACATCGACGTACGTATTTAGCACTTCTACGCGCTATCTGATTGTATCGGCCTCGGTGTATCGAGAATCTCGCGCCTCCGGGTCTTCCCATGTGGCGACTGAGCCGGGCGAGCTTGTTCGCCTGCCGTCGCGGTGGTCGTTAGCATGCAGCTATGCCATCCGTCGCCGTTGGGCGTATGGAGTCCAAGCAGGTAGCGGAATGTCGTGCGCGGAGCATATAAGACCCCCCCAGTTGTTTTCACTGCCTATCTACCCATACATATCACCCCAGAGACATTGTACTCATTTCTTCGCCCGACAGAAGACATGCTCCTTCTCCCTTACCTTCTCATGTCCGTAGCATCTGTCGTCCTCGGGCGCAAGATAGGAACACTCAGCGCGCGTGACGACGTCTCGCAGTGCGCCATAAACTGCATCGTTCAATCAGGCTTCTCCGAAGGCTGCACAGACTTGTACGTTCGCACATTTTGTGCATGACAAATTTACAATCCGACTGCTCACTACTTCTCGGCTTACAGCACGAATCTGCAATGCATATGCACGAACGGACTCTTCCTACAAGCGGCGCTCGCATGCGTGCAGGACCAATGCTCAGCGGACGACGTGCAGACGGCATTCCAGCTGTACAAAGATGAGTGCGGCGCTTCTGCGGGTGAGCTATTCTCGCGGTGGCCGTGCCTTCGCCCCGGGCGCTGATCGTGTTCGGGTGAAGATGGAACTGCACCCGCGATGCCTACCACGACCGGGAACTCGTCGGTGGTTGGTGGAAACTTTTCTTCAAGATTGGCTTTACCCTCCGACGCAATTTCCGCGACTGTGCTCACCACTTCCATTACCCCTACTTCGAGTAACGGCACGTCGTCTGCTCCGGCCGGCTGATCGGTTTCGTCCGTTTCTCAGTCGCCCGCACGACCATCCCTTGATTCATCTGCTTCCTCTGTATCGCCCTCTACCGCAGCACCCCAAACGACGAATGGGTCTCCCATCACACTTCCCACCGCCGTCACGGAAGCCAGTCCAACCAGTCCACCAAACCCCGCCCCAGCTACGGCGACCCCAGCAGTTTCAATCCAAGAGGCGAGCGTCGCCTCTTCCGCAACACCCACTTCCAACACAGGACAAAGAACGATTTCGTTTGGGTGGTCGGACGTCCAGGCGCGGGTAGCGGCGATAGGAGGACTCGCTGCTCTCTCGACGCTCGCCGGGACCCTCATGCTGTGATAGCGCGATCACGTGGTCGTGTCAAGGGACGGTGTGTTATCCGCCTGTGGGCCCATATGTCAATACACGGGATATGTGCTAATTGATATACAATCTTCTCTCCACCATTTCCAGCCGCGCATCTGATTGAGTACGTCGGGGATAGAGGTCGTAGCCTGGTAGGGTACCCCGAGTCCTTTGTCATACCCTTCCAAGTCGCACTTTGATGTGTTACTTTCATAGAGCATGGAAATGTCCTCGCTTCTTGTTGAAAAAAGATTCAAATGGGCCTGCTGACATCAGTAAAAGATTAGATAGCAATAAAATGCCGCTGCTGGAGATGTGCGTCGCGCCGTAGCAAATGACAGTTCATCATCGTTGGGCATACATGGGCTTCTACGCGTGGCAAGACATGGATTGGTGCCTTCTCGCTCTTATACCGAATGCTGTTCCTCCTAAACTTCTTCATTGTGTTCTTTCTCATAGCCGCTGCAACATTTTCAGGGCTAAGAGCCTGGGTTGTGACAACCGACTCCGACACTGCGACATCGACTCCAGCCGAAACCTAGGTCTCTCTTTCATCCTGTACCGTACAATGTGTCCATCAAGAGGAGGCTCAGGGAGGTTGTACCGATGCGTGAGTCTCACTTATAGTGATATTTCGCAAGGTCTATGGTTGTACTACCTTGACAGGGCATTGATTTCCGCTACGATTTGCCAGGGAATCACGACTTCAATATTGCCCTCGCTTGTATGCGGAGCAAATGCCCGCAGGACAGAATCGCCTCGGGTCTGCAAGAATACCAACAGCAATGCAACTTAAGCAGCTTCTCCCTGGCAAGTAAGTAATTTCGCTGTATCTAACATTTCGTATTCAAAGAATTGTGGTGTCCTTTATGCATTGTCTTCCTTGCTATATACCGGAGCGGATAGTGCTGATATGCCTATCTCTCTCCCCTCCGCCCAACAGTGCCCCAGGCATTGGCAACTTCATTGGGGCTCCGTGCGTCCTCTACACGGCTGTCGGCATCTGAGTCCAAGACATCGGGCCCTGGTCACGTTGACTCAGCCTCCGTCTCCACGTCTTCAAGCAACGGCCAAGACACTATTCATAGCGTGTCTGCTTCTTCGAACACAATCGTGCGCGCCTCGATCACAAACAGCGGCGCGTCTAGCATGTCGAGAGGTGCGGATCTATACAGTTTCTGCGAGAATAGGCCGCGCCATTCTCCCTTGGAATGCCATGAACCCTTCTGGCCTGAAGGGCAATGACGCTGCCATCGCATTTATCTTTCTTGTCCTTTACGTAGGATATTTGATGAGCAATGCTAACGCGAAGCTTTACACACAGTATCAGCAACAACGACTGCACAGGCAAACGGTGCTACTGAACTTGAAAGCACTGCATCGTCCTCCACGTTCACTGCATCCGACACAACGGTCAACCCCGCGTCCCCCGAGTCTACCTCAGCTCTCCCCAGAAGTTCAGTGCTCGCCAGAAGCCATGCGCATCCGTACATGGGGCTTCTCGTTGCACTTCTCCTCGCCCTTGCGATAACCTTCTTCGTGGCGCTCGCATTCCTCTATAAGCGGACCCGTCTTCGCCATCAAAAACGTTCAGCGTCAGGTCAGCATCGCTCTTCACCGCCACCGTCGCATTCTCTCCCGACCTCCACTGCACCACGACTCGAAGACAGCCAATCAACACCTTTTACAAAGCTACCCCAGGAGCGGAGAAACTCGGAGCCGAATGTCTTTGCTGCCGCCGACGTCTTCACTCCCTCCCCAGTATAAAGTCGTGGTTCTCTGTCGACAAGAGCTCATACACCCTACGACGGCCCAGCCAACGCTGAACTCCCCGACGGGAGCGAGGCTGGCACGGACGAAGCCATGATGTCCATCCCTTGGGCACTCGGAGAACGCCTTCTCGCCGTTCTAGGGGGAAGGCATGGATGGTCGCGGAATGGTTCCGCACTCCTCGCTCCTGCGAGCTCGGAAATCACCGCAACAATGATCACCTCACCCTCCGTCACCCAAGCATCGTAGGCAGTGCCATTCTCATCTGCTGTTACGCGGTTACCATCAGTTTGTCCTCGACCGCTCTATTCGCCTCCTCATCGGCATCTGTGGCTGACGCCTCAGCCGATATGGCGGGAGGGCACTCGCAGGACCTGATCATCGCATTCTTCTCCGTTTTCAGAGTATTGTATGTGTAAATGAGGTAGCTATGGTCCAAGTGCCGTGCGTGGAGCTGTGCGTTGCATGTCGATGCTTGCAACGTTGACAGTTCATTGTCTGCCGACACGCAAGTCAGGCTTCCGCTCATGTCGGGGCATTATATATAATGGTATGTAAACCATATCCCCATTCATCCCCGCCCCTTCACCTTCACTCGTTTGAACGCTACGGATCATTCATCCAAGACCCTTGTGTCTCCTTGTTCGCATGCTGAATGTTGTTCCACCTGAACTTCATGAGGTTCTCCCCTGTAGCCACCCCGATGCTGCCGTGGGTGAGGGCCTTAAGCAGGACATCCGGTACTACAACATCAAATCCTTCCGAAGCGCAGGCGTCTCATTCAACTTGTACCTCGGACTGCTTCGACCAAGGGATGTTCATCAGCAGTTGTCTCGATCCGTGAGTGTCAGTTTTACCGAAGTGCGACGAGGTCGATGGTTGTGCTAGAGTTACAGGCCATTGATATTGGAATACAATTTCTAGGGAAGAACAGCTACAGTGTTTCTGTGGCAGCCAATTATTCATCGATGCGACCCTCGCTTGTATGCAGAGCACATGCCCGCAAGACATTCCGTCGGCCTTGCAAGAGTACCAACAGAAATGCAACGCAAGCCACCTATCCCCCGCAAGTGAGTAATGACATTATTTCCAGCATGTTGCGTTCAAAGCTCGCCGGAGCGGACAATGCTGACCTACCTTTCTCACCTCCGATAGTGCCTTCGACATCGCTACTTTCATCTGCGCCCGCCGCGTCATCCACAGGGTCACCCGCGACTCCAGATCAAGTCAACTCAACCCCTGTCGCCACGTCTTCAAACGACGGCCCACAGACCATCCCTAGCGTATCAGCCTCGTCAAATGAAATCGGACCCGTCTCGATCACCACTACGTCCACCGCCTCTGGATTTCAGACGACCTCGAGTTTTCAACATAATGGTAGCACCGGTGGGTACACCATCTCCAAAGGTGCGGTTCTCTACCATTTTTACGGGAAAAGACCGCGCCGTTTGCCTCCGGAGTGCTAAGCACTCTTCTCGCCTGCCTAAAAGGCGTGTATGCTATCGTGTTTCTCTTCCTCTCTGCTGGATACTTGATAGGCTATGCTGACGCAACGTTCTTAATATCAGAAACAGCCACTGCATTCTCAGACAGTGCTACTGGAGAAAGTACTGCATCGTTCTCCACGTACATCGCATCGGACACAGCGCTTTCAACCAACAGCCCGTCCCCCGCCGTGTCCACCTCAACTCCCCGGAGCAATGCAATACTACCAATCAGCGATGCGCAACAATACTTGGGGCTGCTCATTTCATTTCCTCTCACCCTCGTATTAATATTCATCATGGCGTTCGCATTCCTCTATAGGCGGACTCGCCTCCGCCGCCAAGAACGTTCAGCGTCGCTTCAGCCTCACGCTTCACCGCCACCGTCATATTCTCCTCCGACTGTAGTTGCTCCACAACTTGAAGGCAGCCAACCGACTCCTTCTACAGATCTATGCCAGGGGCGGAGAATTTTGGAAGCGAATACGGAGTTCAACGGACGGCGCGAGTCCATTCGTGTACTGACCCATCTAGATCATACCGTCCTCGCCGCCGCCGGTGTATTCACCCCCTCTCTTGTGCACAGACGGCCCTCTCCTCGAGCCAGAACTCATGCACCTCACGATTACCCAGAAAACGTGAATCGTCAAGACGGGAGAGAGACTGGTTCAGACGAGCGCATGATGCTTATCCCTTGGTCATTAGGAGAACGCCTCCTCGCGGGCGCATGGGGCAGGCCTGAAGGGTCGAGGAATGGCTCCTCGGTGGGATCGGAGACACTACCTCCGTATGAAGAGCGGGACGCGAGGATATGAGTAGCGTACCGGTGGATGGGGACTAGGATATTATGCCAGAGTCCCAGAGACCTGCGGCTGTGGACAATTGGCAGTATGGCCGACGGTATTCTCAAATTCGACGATGTCAAGTGGTGTACGTACAGACTAGACGCGATTGTATCATGCCGCCCGCATGCTGTATTGGTTGAATATGGTGTTATGTACGTAGACCACGAAGCTGAACATCTAGCCCTAGGTCATGCTTGTGGAACGCAGCACAGCGAATTTGCAGGGGGAAAGGAAGAGGAATCCGGAGGACCGCCTATCCAGCGCAGGCAGCTCCAGGTTGAGACCCCAGGAACCCCTCGCTTCGTATACAGCACCGACGCGCGTCGAAGCGCATCCATCGTGTCTCTCTTTCCGCCATCTCCGAGTCGCTCAACCCTCCCCTCCCTGCTTTTCCTCTCCCTCAACGCGTTCCGAACGTGTTCACAAGAGCCTTGAGGTCGCCGCACGTGTTTACTTCATGGTGTCTTTAAGACCCGAGCTGGATTCTTTTCTGCCGCAGCTGCCACATCATAGTATACTGCGAGCCCGAATGGAGCCCAGGTGATGCGGCGGTACTGATACGGCGGCAACCCACCAAAGCCTGAGGTCTGCTGAGGGCACGCGGAGGTGAGGGTGGATGGCCCAAAGCTCACTGCTTGGATTGAGACGACGGGATCCGAGGGAATTTTGTTTGATGGGGACGACTCACTACGGCGCATCAAATGCGTGCAATTTTGACAGCTCATCATAACGGCACGCGGCCGATCTTCTGCCCGTAGCCGAGCTGCATATATAAATGTACGTCTCTCAAAGATCCCCTCATCTTTGTCGCCTCATGTATGTGTGCCTAACGAGTCTCGAAAGCTTTCAGGACCGCGTGGCAACACAGAGCGATGATGTTCATCGAAAACCTCGCTGTGCTCTCCATCGCCGTCGCCGCAGCGGCGTTCGCATGGGTGAGAGCGCTCGACACGGCGTCTGGCACCTCCACGCTACCGATCCCGACTACCATCACATCATGCATTCAACAATGCTTCGACCAAGCAGAACTGCAAAGCGGATGCAACGGGTACGTTCCATTCAAGGGACCTTGAGAGATCTCAAGCACGTACTAAGGTGCACGTGTTTGACTCTTAGGCCCAATGACACAGTACCGTGCCTCTGTTCAAGTGCTGCGTATCTCCATGTTGCGCTCGCCTGCCTTCAGGCGGCATGCCCGCCAGACATCGAATCGGCACTGCAGACATATACAGAGGATTGCAATCTCAGCCCCTCGGCCTCAGGTGCATATCGTCCACTCTGGCATGTTGCATACATCACGTCCTCGCCTCCCCACGCTGGCAAAACGCTGATCCGTCTATCCCCACCCAGGGTCTGCGTCGATTGCTTCGACTACGATCGACCCGTCCACCACCAGCGTCTCGAGCCCATCCTCGACATCTGAGTCCAAGACGGACAGCTCCAGCCCCCCTGGCGCTACTGCCACGACCTCGTCGATGGCCCAAAACTCGCAGACGGGTGGGAGTAGTGGTGCGTTCACGATTTCAGAAGCTGCGTATATCGGCGCGGGAGCGCGGGAGAATAGGCGCCTTCGCATGTCGAACGCCCTTCCTTCCCCGAGCAGCAGCAGCGCCGCTTTGCTGGCCTTTCGTACCGGATCTCTGACAGCGCTGACATGCCTATCTCCATACAGCGTCCGCAACAGCCTCTGCATCGGCCACCAGCAGCGAACCCCTGACCGGCAGCCTGAGTGCGGAGTCAACGGGCACTCATACACGTCCCTCGAAGGGGCTAGTCATCGCCCTTCCTATCGTCCTCGCAGTAGCCGTCATTGCGGCCCTCGCGCTCCTCTGGAAGTGGGCCCGTCGGCGCCGCCAGCAACGCGCCGCGATATTCCAGCCCCACTCCTTACCTCTCCCGTCTGAGTTGCCCTCTCCCGCGATTGCCACGAGCCCAACACTCAAAGGTGGCGAAAGCCCTATCGTTCTCGCTCCCCCACACATCAGCGTCGCCCCTTCGGTCGACACGCATACCAGCCCCCCATCGCAAAACGGAATACAGTCGACGGGCGACGACGCGCAGCGCGAAGGCGGGAGAGAGGCGGGTGCGGGGGACTCGGAGCGCGTGATGGTTCTTCCTTGGTCCCTAGGAGAACGCGTCCTCGCGCTTTTGGGAGGCCGGCATGGAGAGGGAACGAGGAACGGCTCCGTCGTGGGGACCGAGGCGCTCCCTCCGTATGAGGAGCGAGACGCAAGGATGTGACATGGCACTGCGAGGGACGGGTACGGCTTTGTGGCGGGTTTGACCTCATGTCGTACGTCCCAAATACATTGCATCATGCCGCGCGAAAGTTGTCTAGGTTGAATGGTAGGAACTTGGGTATGTTTGATCGCGCCGTGTATCTTTCTCCGACGTCGGACTGAACTTGAAAGTCTGCGTCTAGGTCATACCTGCAGCGCGCCCCGTGTCTGCGGTGGGAAACGGAAGAAAGGATACTATCGAGTTGTACGCGCGCACTATCGTTTACTGACAGTAGTGGCAGGAGCCATGGATCCATTCGAATTCGCGCGGGCAGGAAGGTTCAGGCTAAGACCCCGGGAACCCCCACACCTCGTATTTAAGAACCGCGCGCGTCGGAGCACCTCCTACGTGTCACCTTCAACCTCGCGTGACTCTCCGAGTCCTCTTTTCTGTTAAAGGTACACCCGACGACCACATTATAGGGGAATGAGACTCGAAAGGTAGCCACTATCAAGATGAACAGTTTTGGTTGCGTCCATCTTTAGCACGTCCAACGTGAACTCATCCTTGCAGACTACCGGATCTCCGAAGTACTGCCATGCGCTGCGGGAACAGCCGTAGAACACGAACAAGGACAGACGGGCTAGAAGGGTCCTCATTTAGAGGTACGTACTGCCGCAATGGACTTCTCGAGATGGGAAGCTGACGGGGATGCAGTAACGACACGTCCGATGCCTGCGACTTTGACAGTTCATCATCGCCGCACGCATGAACCCCTGTTAGTGGCAGGCCTATATATACGCCTTCCATGAGTCGCTCGAACCTCCCCCGCTCGTCCCTATCGCCCCATCTACGCGCTCCGAACGTGCTCACGGTCTCTACACTCGTTTTCTTCGTAATGTTTTCCAAGAACCTCGCTGGACTCTTTTTCGCGGTCGCCGCAACGTTCGCCGTGTGCGCCAAAGCAGACGATTCAGCACCACCCGCCGCGACCTCGCTTCCCTCTGGAATACCCATACCGACTACTGTTACGCAGTGCGCTCAGAGCTGCATTTCCCAAGCAGCGCTACAGAACGGCTGTGCTGACCCGTGAGTAACGTCTCCACCGGTACTCGTTGAGGTCGGGGTCGTACTGCGTTGTATTGACGCCTTTGATGCTTTGTTAGATCGGCAGAGGTTACTTGTATCTGTAAAAACCCGCTGTTCATCCAGGGCGCACTCCAGTGTGTCCAAAAGGGATGCCCACCGGAGGATAGCGTTACGGCTCTGCAAGCGTATGAACAGATATGCGGCGCTCCCGCCTCAGGTAAGTACCTCTCTCCTGCTACAGCGTTCTTCATATATCACGTCTCTGCCGCCGCGTCCTTCCATGCATCCTTGCACATCCCCTCCTTTGCATGATGATCACCCTCACTCTTCGCCTTCCAAAGTGCATACCTGACAGGCGGCGCTGACCTCCCTACCTCCACGCAGGGCCTGCGACCGCCGTTCCAACCGCGACCGGTTTCTCAACACTCTCCAGCCCCGCCTCGTCCTCCGCGTCAGGGAGCGCATCTGCGTCCGACCACATCTCCGCCAACTCCACCGACTCGTCGAAGCACAGTGGCCACCAGACCTCCTCCGGCGCGACCTCAGCATCGTCGGGTGTCTCCCAAAGCACCCTCACCACCGTCAGTGTCTCGAGTTCCCTCACCGTGACACCCGCTGGCTCGACGACCACCGTTCTGCCGACTACCCCGACCTCGCTCGAGGCAGCAGCCAACGCGAGCAGCGGGAGCGCGTCGGGCACAGACGCGTCCTCCTCCGGAGTCCCGAGCGCCCCGCCGGCCCCGAGCAGCAGTGCCCCCGCCGCGAGCCAGACGAAGAACGCGGCGACGGCGAGGCGCATTATCGGCGGCGGGTCCGGAATGGGCGGGGTGATGGGCGTGGGTGTCGCGATCCTTGGAGTTGCGTTTGGGGCTGGTTTTGTTCTTTGAATCTGAACTTCGGGATACCAGTGAGGTCGGTCTTGTTGTATTTTGGGGCGTGCGCGCGTCGTGATACCCTTATAGCTTCGGATTCTTGGTCGGGAATGGTGTTTGTGTTGAGTGAAGGATACTCCTATTGTTGCATATCCTGCAGAATCTGTCTTTACGATGTTCCACACGTATATTTATGTCCCTCGTACTGCGTGGCCCGCCGTAATACTACTTTCGAAGTTGCTCCAAAGCTGCGGCTGGAAACTCGGCATCAACATGTATAGCTCATTACTCTATCTTGTGTCACAAAACTGCGTACAGGTGGGACTTTTCCATATTTGAACCATGCAACGGGGTATAAATCCTGGATGCCTTGAAGAAAGGTGGGTATGTGCCGTCGATGGTCGCTTCGTTCGGCTTGGGCCGAGCAGCCCGAAAGGTGCTTTCCCACGGTACCTCGCACCAGCGCTAAACGGCTGCTGGACGAGCGTCGAACACGCAGTTTTTTCTTCCCTCCATCTTCCATCTGTATCTGCGCAGCGATACGCCTCAGGTGAGACTGTGAGTTGAACAACTTCTGGTAAAGCTACTGTGCTCACAGCGCCTCGAAGATGTGTCTAATCTGGCAGTTGACTGATCTCGGCGACTGCAACTTGTCGTGTCATCAAATTGTCGCCACCTTTGACCAGCGGCGTTTTCCTAGGCCTGTTCTAACTCTGGGACTTGCCTTTCATGTTTTGGCGCAATAGAGCTCTCTCTGGACATGAGAAGATGTTGGTCTGGCTGGTCGAGAGTTGACATTGAGGACGAACGCCGCCACGAGGCTCAAGCCGCAGTCGCGTCGTACGCGTTGCAGGTCTTTCCATTCCTAAGGCCCTCGTCAAATATTTACACTCGACTGCCGCTCTGGGGTCAAAGATGACTCGAGGGCGGCAAACAGAGCTTGACGTGCAACGCAGTACCGCTATGGGCGCGATGCACCGAGGCAAGCAGTCCGAGCGTCGCCCGACTCGTCGCCCCTTCCTTTTCCTCATACGACTTGCAACTTGACCCATTTCCCGCCGCATTTGCATGTCTGAACTTCGTGGAGAGCTACTGAATGCGAGTGAGGCTTCGTGTCAAGCACTAGCTACCACTTGCGACGATGCCAGCAAGTTGTCTGGGCGGAAGACCGTCTCTGCTACTGAAACACACGAATGCGCTATACCGGTGCGTATGCAGTCTATGCTCTGTCCCGTAGGTATATTGAACCACAGAATGTATACTAGCATGTCCAGAATGACTCAGAGGGAGCAGAAGGGCGGCCCAAAATCCCTGCTGAAGTCACTCCTCTGGTGCGTCACGTATATTCTATCGACGCTCGATGAAGTACGCTTACACGTCTGCAATGTGATTAGGATATGTACCTCAAGAGCTGCTCGGTGCATACAGAAGAGCGCAAGGCCGCCGAGTGGGAAAATGCTGCGGAAATGGTGAAGACGTACAGCGACGAGATGGTGGCACGCTGGAACAAGGAGATCGACACTTACCTGGTCTACGTGCGTATGCAAACTCTTCGCAGGCATCTATGTGGCTCACACAACGCATAACTCACAGGCCGGCCTCTTCTCCGCCATACTCACGGCGTTCAACGTTCAGTCGTACTTGCTACTTCAACCCGCTGCACCCGATCCGTCTATCGCTATCCTGCAGCAAATCTCCTCGCAACTAGGGAGCTTTTCAATCAACTTACCATTCGTGAATTCGACCCAATCGACCAGCGCCAATCGTCTCAACACCGGTGCCGGTGCTGCACCACCCATCCCGCGCTGGGCGGTCTGGCTGAACACGCTGTGGTTCTCAAGCCTCATCCTCTCGCTCACCTCCGCCTCCGTAGGAATCATGGTAAAGCAGTGGCTGAACGAGTACACGAGCGGCGTCTCCGGGACCTCCCGCCACGCCGCCCGCGTGCGCCAGCACCGTCTCAACAACCTCAAGCAATGGCGCGTAGAGGACATCGTCGGTACCGTGCCCGTGTTGCTGCAACTCGCGCTTGCCTTTTTTCTCGCGGGGCTCCTCGTGCTCCTCTGGACTCTGCATGTTACTGTGGCAGCGGTCGCGTCGGCGCTTGTGGGCCTCCTGGCGGCGTTCACCGTGGCGACCTCGCTGCTCCCGCTCTTCTGTCGCAGCTGCGCATATCTCTCTCCTCAGGCGCGCGCTTTGGAATCTGTCTGGAGGCCCGGTCGCTTTCTTTTCTGGGCGTATAGGTTTCCCTGTATTCTCGGAGGCTTGTACCGAAATGCACTGCTTCAAGTTGCAAACGCCACGTCATTCACACTACGAAGTATACGCTCTACTCTCACGACCTTGCCCAGTCGACTCCTCGAGCGACGCACGAACACCCTCCTGCGATGGTTCTCGAAGAGTTGTACCGACGACACGCCCAGGCAAACATGGAGGGGCCGAGAGCAGTCCGAGATCAGCCGACTCGCGGCCGACATCGACAGACAAATGCTCCTCGAGGCGTATACCGCCACCCTCCACCCCGACGCGCTCTCCGCCGCGACCGTTTGCCTCATGGGTTTCAGCAGTGCGCACACCGTCGAATACTTCCGGCAGCTTCACGCGTCCGTGCGGGCGCACTTTGGGTCTCAGGCAGGCGCGATCGATGGGCCGCTAGGCTGGGAAACCCCGCATCTGCCCCTATGGCTCAATGTCCTCCTGTGCGCGCTCATGGAAGAGGGGTCGCCCTTGTCGGAGGAGGAGACGGCATCTCTGAGCGTGTACATCAGTGGAGGGAGCTGGCCCGCCCGGATGCACGTTGGGGAAGCAGCTTGGGCGATATCGACGCTGTACTCGATCATGGAGGACAAGGACGCGCAGCATCGTCCGGAGTGTCCCGACGAACACCGGCTTCTTCGGTTGCGCGGACTGTTGATAGGCAACGCTGCTCGAAAAGAGGCCCCGCTCACGAACGTGTTCCTGCAAGGTGAGCCGGGTGTGCCAGGGAAAGATCGCGCTTGATCAAGAACTGACCATACTGTCGAAAAGACGTCTCTCGTGCGTATCGGCGCGTCCGCCTTAATCAGCCGTCCACCACCAACATGTCTGCCTTCGACGCGCACGCGGGGTACTTGCACAGCGTCAATATGTTCCTCGCGTGCGCTGCCCCAGCTTTCAAATATCTTCCCCTCTCCGACGACCTCCGCGCCATTCGCACTTACGCGGAAGACGTTGTCACCGACTTCGTGCGCACGCTATGCACGCTGCTCGAAACCGACCGGACGCGAAGCCTACAGAGCACGATCGACACGAATGGTCTGATGAACGTCCTACTTAAGCTCTACCGGCTCAGAAACAGCGTGCTGGCGCAGCTTGTCTCTGATGAGCTCGTCCCGGATATTGTGCGAATGGTCGACATGCTTGCGGAGGCGCCGTCTGACGGGCAGTCGAATCTAATAGAGGACGTGAAAGCTTGCGCGCGCGATTTTCGAGAGCGGGTTCTTCACGTTAAGGACACGCCTGTGCCCAGGTAAGTACACTTGTATCCAATCATATGCGTGCTTCTGACGATGTACGTTTTCCCCACAGGGCAGTTCTCGCCAAAGTCGACATCAACTAAGCAGGTCCACAATCAAAGCTGAGTAGAGGCTAGAGGATTCAGTTCAACGGGTCTGGACGTATGCTGCCCCAGAACGCATGTAGAGAGCGTGAGTATTTGTATAACGATCTTCGCCGAGGACGCCGAAACATGGAATTACGTGTTACGCGGAATCTGGGTATGACCCCGTGTCAGTGCCCCTTTTCCCGCGGTGCACGTTGTCTCCCCATCCGATAGCGTCGATGTGTCTGCGGCGGCTTCAAGCATTAGCCAGCGTGTTCGCATACTTCCACCACTGTGCTGGTGATCTGCTCTGCCCGTTCTCTTTGACCGTCTAGTTATTCACACATCCTTGACATGGACCATTCCTCCACCAGCGCAGAGGGGGCACCGGCAAGTGGAGGTACCGCCGTGAGTGGCTGTCGTCTTATTTTTGTTTTCGCCTCTCAATGTTCCCGACCCTGTGCTGATAGAAACTGCCGCCTGATACAACAAAGCGACAGAAGGGACGACCTGCGGTCCCCGGACCCGTCAGCTTCCTGGTACGCCCTGTATACCAGCTCCCTGCATCTGACATCGTCTGAAAGCGGACCTCTACGTCTAGGACGTCCTCAAGATGCGTAGTAAAGTGTACACTCAAGAGGAGAAATCAAAGGCTTGGTCAGATGCGGCAGGGATGGTGCAGATACATAGTGACGACATGATACGGCGGTGGAACCAAGAAATCGACACCTACCTTGTGTTTGTATGTCGACCGCTCACTCCCCAAGTAGTCATTGTTTGGCTGATTGATCCATCACAGGCAGGCTTGTTCTCCGCGATTCTAACCGCGTTCAATGTGCAGTCATATCTTCTACTTCAGCCCGCTGCGCCGGATCCATCCTTCGTCGTGTTGCAGCAAATATCTGCACAGCTCGGCAGCTTCTCCGTCAGCCCGCACTTCGTAAACTCAACCCAGCCCCCCAGCACGAGCCCTTCCGACGTCGATGCCCGCACCCCGCCGCGTGTCCCGCGCTGGGCGGTATGGCTCAATTCACTATGGTTCTCTGGGCTCATCCTTTCGCTAGCCTCTGCCGCCATCGGTATCATGGCTAAGCAGTGGTTGAACGAGTACACCAGCGGCCTGTCCGGCACTTCCCGCACCACTGCACGCATACGCCAGCACAGGTTGAACAACCTGATGAAATGGCACGTCGACGACATTGTGGGGACGATACCCGTGCTTCTCCAGCTCGCGCTCCTGTGCTTCCTCGCGGGTCTCCTCGTCCTCCTGTGGGGCTTGCACAGCACTGTGGCGGCGATCGCGTCCATGCTCGTCGGGCTTCTCTCATCCTTCATCCTTATCACGACGGTGTGTCCGCTCTTTGAGGACACCTGCGCGTACCTCTCCCCTCAGGCGCGCGCACTCGAATCTATCCCGCGACCTGCGTACGTTATCTACTGGACACGCAGGCTCCCACCAGCCGTGTGGAGCATGTGCAAGAAGGTGACACCTACAGGCGCGGTAACGCAGGCCCTAAGGGCCCTCGTTTCGGCCTTCCTGTCGACGTACAAGAATCGTGTCGAGCGGCCTGCGCGACTTCTATTGAAGTGGGTATCCGACAGTAGTGCGACCTACGTTCCTAGGAAGACGCGGCAGGGCCGGGAATGGTCGCTTGTCTCGAAACTCGAGGAGGACTTGGACAGGCAGACTCTTCTCATGGCGTACGATACCACGCTCCATCCTGACGCCATCTCCGCTGCAAGTGTATGCCTCATGGACCTACCCAGCACGCAAGTCATTCTCTACTGGCAACAGCTTCAAACATCCGCCGCGGAACATTTTGGTGCTGAATCCAAACGCGCTACGGAGTTGATAAGCCCGTTTGAGAATGAGTTCCTGTGGCTTCATATTCTCATCTGTGTAGCTCAACAACACAACGCTCTACCAGAGATGATTCACGTGAAGTTCCTCTACATCCGCCGGCGGATGTTGAATATTTGAATCTTCAAGCAGCTGAAGCGGACTGGACATACTACGCCTTGCGCTCGCTATACGACCAGGAATTAGAGAAGAGTGACTTGCTCATGCAATCTACGAATCCCGACCAATGGATTATCGATCTCAAAATGAGCCGTATGATCGAACTTGCCCTCGGGCGCGACATCCCTTGGGGGGCCGTCGTTATTCAAGGTGATACGCTTGCACACCATGCCGAGCCTCAGCACATGCTAACTCGATCTTTTGAAAAGGTGTTACCCACGCATATCGGTGTCTCCGACTCAGATCTTTGGACCTCTCAAAGGCGTCCAATGACAAGATCGTTTATAGGGAGTATTTCAGGAGCGTCACCGTGTTCCTGCATCTGGCCGATAGGTTCATCACAAGACTCGTCTCCGCGTCCAATCACGGATCCCACGAAGTAAAGACAATTCGGACATACGCACGGGACGTGCTCGAAGAGTTGATGCACGACGTACTGACTATGGAGTACTACCTTCGAATCAAGGCCAGAAAGCCATATGCTTGGGATTATGGTGAGAGTAAATCTCTCGAGGAGCTTATGGATGGCCTCATCTGGTCTGCATCCGACGACCTACTGAGATGTCTACCCGATGGATTTGTTGAACACCTCATGCACGTCGCGAACACTATCGAGGTGGTGGTGGACTCTTGCGAGGGTATACCCAGGTTCTCCAAAGGTCTCCGTCCCAGGTGGCTCAATCTTCATCGTAAACACGCCATTCGACTACAGACGAGAATAGTTGCCTTTCATGGGGACCCTCTCGCAAGGTACGCGTGCTCAATCGTTGTGTAGAAATCCATGCTTATCATTTGTTGCACTCGCAGGCCTCTTACCGAACATCCATCGACCGAACTGCGTGTAGGTCGCCCTGAGGCCACATCCAATGACGTCGCAGCTCCACTCCACAATGTCCCCATCGTGGACACCCCGAACGATTCCGCACTGGGACCCGCGGGAGCTGAAGACACTCCGAATACCCATGCGTCTCCAACGGATCCCTCGGAGACGGGTCTGTAGTGCGTTGATCCCTCACATTCGGCAAGGCTCCTTCAAAGTCCATGGCGGCCGTCTCTCTTCACCTGTTGTCAAGCTGGAATCATTCCTGCGACTCGGTCTTTTCGGCGCCCAACACCACTTCCTGTAATCATGCGCCTCCTACAACAGGCCCGCTATGTCCTACAACAACCCCGATTCCGATGACCTTTCTTCTAAACTGCACGGCGTATCTCGACGACGACCGTCGTATCGACAAGTGTAACTGTGTATCAACGTCCCCAACATCTCCTGACGGCTATACCTCATATCGCACATCGCGCGCCCTGGCGTTTTGCTCCCGTTCTGGTGCACCAATACTCTGTGCGTTCCGCTTCTATGCGCACACACTGGATCCAGATAGACGGGCACTGTTAGCTAACCATTCGCCTTTTAGTGCCCCACGATGGCGTCCGCCTCCTAAATCTGGAATCCTCGCTCATGAACGCTCATCAGCGCTCATTCATTCCAATTCGTCTCCTTAGATTCCTCTTTGTGCGGTGTGCTCCCCAATTCTCCTCATTCTCCCGCGTTCTGTGCACTTCCTCTCAGAAAGCACCTTCGTCTTCGTTTGAACCCATAGCTTTACCCTTCGCAGAGTCCGCACCATTGATAGGCCACGCGCGACACTAGATTTGCACGCGGCACCTGTTGAAAAAATTTTGGATTTGGCAGCCAAGAATCCTCGGACCATCTTCTCTCTGTTACTCACACGCGTAGATATCTATTGCTTTCTTTCCTTCTCCGAGTTCCAGCTACATACACGCTACAGCAGATTGGGCACGCACTCGGATTACAGTCACCAATATGCATGGCTTTTGTCTAAATTTTAATCATTCCCTTCCTCATTCTTGCACTGAAACAACGTGCCACCCCTCACACACGGTCACGGTATCCCGCTTGTACCCGCCTCGACTCGTCCCACATGTACCACCTCACATCTCAAATGTGGATTTTCTGACCATGTAACGACAGATCTAACAGTAGACCGCTCACATTATCTACCTAGCATCCAAGACGTATCCGAGCTCTATAAGACTGTCGTTGAGAGCAGCAAGGAAGTGCACGAACCGAGGCGGAGGCGGCCGGCGTTCAGTAGACACGTGTAGCGGACTTTGAATCAAAGATCTGAGATCGGGTTTGTCGGAGAAAAGGCGCCCGCATGCAATATGCAACCGTCGCCTCTTAAGATCTCTAGCATTCTTACTCTCTCTAGCACTAGGCAACTCTCAGATGACTATACGAGAATCCAATCGTGCACGTCCTACTACGGGATAAATAACTCTTAACCCTCCCGGCTTCAACTGGCAAGGACATCGTGCTTACTGGTGAATCGTGACATGTCGGAGTCGCAGGCAAGTAAACCACAACTTGAATGCTTGGATATATGTTTTAGTCAGTGTAACAAGTATACAGGGCAGTTATACGCGTCGCAAAATTCTCGCGGAAAAGCGTATGTTGTCTCCCTATCAATAAGCTTACAATCAAACACTCCGGCGCCCCCATCCAGGCTCTCACAAGTCACGCCTCAAGGTTTTTCTTCCTTGACACGCTTTCTTCAGGCTGACTGTCCCACGGTAGACATCGTCGAAACGAATCTGAGTCCACCATGCCCGCCATACTCATCACCAGCGTGCCCGCGACGCTCAGGGCGCCGCAGAAGACGATGAGGTTGCGGAAGTGCTTCTCGTCCGTCGTCTTCAGCAGAGCTCCGCCCGTGGGCGTGCCAACAAGTGAGGCGACAGCAACAACCATGTATACCGAGCCTGTACGAGACGCGTCAGATCTCAGACGGGAAGCTTTCAGGGAGGAGCTGGCATACCTAGGCGAGCACCCAGCTTCTCGCGAGGCGAGATAGATGCAATGTACGTCGGCAGGAGGGAGACGAACGCGCCTGTAGCGAGATTAGAATGCTAGGTACGTAAGTTGCAATGCAGTGGACGTACCTGAGAAAAGACCGTACAGTGCCGCGAACGCGATAATCGACGCTGAGCTGCGCGACGGCAGCCACAGTCCAAGCAACAGGACACTACATATCGCGGCCGCAGGGACGAACACCTTTAGACTGTGTGCGCGAGAAGGTCGATGAGCACTTTCAGCAGTGGGTTATCAGCAAAGACACTTACGGCCCGGTCTTGTCCGCGATGTACCCGGGCAGAATCCGCGACGGGATGTTCGTCGCATTCATAATCGCGAGGAGGTACTTCGCGATGTGCGGCGGGACTCCACGGAAGTCGGCATAGATCTTGATGTAAAAGTACGGGATGAAGAATCCGTAGAACAACCTGCGAAAAATCAACGGTAAGTACCTCCCAATCCACGAAACCGTCTCCCCAAAGACATCGCACTCACAAAAACGCGCCGATAGCCGCCAAGGCGTACCGCGGGTCGCGGAACCCGCCGAGGTCGATTGCGGTACGGAAGGAGAGTTGACCCGAGTGCGGCAGCCGCGTGCGGATGGTAACACAAGAGACGACGAGGCAGGCGAGGAGAATGAAGCCGACGATGCGGACGGCCCAGCCGAACCCGACGATGGGGATCAGCCTTTCGAGGATGATGGGAAGAACGACGCCGCCGCTTGCGCTGCCTCCGGTGGTGAGCCCGATTGCAAGCGCGCGCCGTTTCTTGAACCAGTGCCCGAGGACGGCGACGGCGGGGTTGAACCTGTGCAAAGGCGGCCGTTGTCAACGACATTATACTGAGGGATATAAGTCCCGGAAACGCACAACAACGCGATACCAAAACCGAAGAGGACGCCGTGTGAGAAAAAGACCTGGTACGCTTGGTTCTCCTCGCACAGCGACATCATCATGAGCGAGAAGACGGTGATGAATGTTCCTGCAGGGATCAGGTACTGTTCGACAGCGGTCGGTCAGCTTGAGCTCATTGGCGACGAAAGGCGAGGGTGCTGACCTTCGTTCCATAGGCGTCGAACACCCTTCCGGTGAGGGTTCCAACGGCATACAGGAAGAAGATCTGCAGGGATCCGATGAAGGCGACGGTGGATGACGAAGAATCCGGGAGCAATGTTGCTTCGTAGTAGTCCTGGAACGTCCCCTGTCACAGGCGAGCCACAGAGGTCAGCTCTGCTTTTGCGAAGACCCACATACCGACACTGACATATGAGTTCACCATCCCCGCAGACGCAAACAACGCGAGGCACGCGCCGAGGACGACGGCCCAGGCATCTTTCCCGCCATCCGGGAAGTCCTCGCTCGCGCTGTCTTGCAGCGCAAGCGGGTCATTGGGCCGCATAACCGACTCGCCGGCCACTGTCTCCGTATCCGTCTCCATGCTTGACTGGTCTGCGAACTACCTGAAACAGTTTCCTAAGTCAGCCATGGCGGAAGAAGAGCAATAACCTTACGACTCCGCCACGTTCGAGAAGGTGGATGAGAGTCCGAGAGGGTCACACGCAAGGGGCGGATGAGGTCTGTCAGGTGGGTGGTATGTGCTTCGCAGACGACTGGTTCTTGTTTCCGGGTGAGTACCCCGCAAAGAATATAACCTGGAAGCCGAGCGCTGACACTCTCTGAGGCCTGGAGCAGTGACAAGGCCATGGTCCGTGAAATCTCACGATGCTCGGCGTGGTAGCGGGACAACATATCAGACCTGAGCGCCCGAGGACACGGAGAGTTTATGTGTGGGTCTGATAAGCGGTGCGTATTCAAAGAAATCCCGCTCAGTCGGTGAATCCTATCTTTGTGTTGCGTCTCTGAGTACACTCGGCTGACTGTGAGACAGCGCTTGTATACCTATCGCCCGTGGCATGCCGCGTCGCCAACGCTTGCCTAACAGAAGATGCGGCGGTGCCGTGCGCGCGTTCTCCGCTCCCTTGGTTCAAAAGAAGCCGCGCGACCCCCTAATACCGCCGTTTGGTTACGAGAGGACTAGGCGGCGACATTGATCAACCGGCGATCCCTTCGTAGCGGGCGGGCTTCTCCTGGCGTGCACAGTCGTGCTGTGCAGGGCCGCCCCAAGATGGCGGGGCCCGCCAGGACTCATAATTGGCTGACGGACGCAAGCCTATCTCGTCAGCCTCGGGTTCTTCGGAGCGAGAAAAGATGTACGCCATACAAAGTGAGCTCCGATGGAGTCGCAGCCTGACTGGGCAGGGGGATCGCTGTGATCTTACGAAACCAGGTGCCGTTCTGCCTGGGAGAGTACACACTTCACAGAACGCTGCGCACGCCTCGCCTCTGAGTCGGCCCTCTTGGCCCATCGTCAGCGAAGATGCAAATAGAGTATTGAAGGAGGGCGACCCGCACCGCCGCCCATGCAACCCCAACTTGTTGCCCTGCCAATTCGGCAAGTCACAAGTCACACTAGAGTCTGGCGCTGGCCTAATTCTCTCACATCGCACCATGACGAAGAATGTTCAAAGCAAGCTTGAAGGCGAAACCACTGCGCCTGCGCCCAGTACGTAGGCGCGCACGCCTCAGGGAGGAATCAGTAGGAAATCAGCGGCTAGATCCTTCCTATGAGCCCAGAAAACACCACACCGCGTGCGGGGTAGGTCCCCACCGCGCATCGTCCTTCGAAAATAGGGCGGTGCTTGAGGACGGGTGCTGGCCTAGAACATCGCCAAACCGTACCCGATAGACCGCTCGGCGCGACAAAATGCGCCCTGACGGCATGCAATGCATCGTACCGCACAACAGGCCCGCGGAGAAACTCTTTCTGCGTACGTGGTCAAAATTTTGGTGCTTCTACTGGCAGTCATCTCGACCCTTACCGAGTATCTCGGACGCAGGACCTGTCTCCGCTGTCAATCGCCGAAGTGATCGTGTGCGAGGCCGTCCGGTGGTAAGGTGGGTCCTCGTCACTTCGCTGGTTTTCTTAAAGACATAGTACGGATGCAGGTATGTAATCGCTTGCCTACAGAATATCTCGGCGTTCCTCAGAAGATGAAACAGAAGCCAATGATATCCTCCGGCGTTCTCATGACCGTACTTTGCACGCAGGATAACTCGCTGCTTTTTTTGGTCCGCTGCATTGCCAGATTCTGGGGTGTGCCCCACGTTCAGTGTCCTCGTGGACACAATGCTCCGGCCGTCTCGTACGCAAGCCTGCCTTTGGTTTCCAAGTCGTTCCCTTCGGCAAGATCTCAGTAGTGGTGTCGCGGTATCTGCTGACCCTGTGATGAGTATATCTTTCTAGGACGCGCTCAGCATTCGCCCCCACTCCCACCTCCCACGCGCGCGTCCACACATTTCTACTTTTCCCGAGTTGCTCTCTGGTACGACCGATCCACGACAATCGCGCTCGTACTCTCCACTCCGAACATTAGCCAGAGAAAAGGTGCGTGACAGGGTCCACAGTTAGACGTTCATCAGTCTGCTGGAGTTGCTGTTGACATTCACCGGTTGCTCTAGACATGCCGATCCCTCAGCTCGTGCCATCGAAGGGTGAATCTTATGACCCCGCCGAGAGACCGCCCCCGTTTGGATACGCCCTCAAGAAGTACATCCCGCTCGATCAAGACTATGTGAATCTGAACCCTGGTGAGTCTCTATGTAGACTCCAGAGTCACCTGTCCGCTGATTGCGGCCTTGTTCTAGGGTCGTGGGGGACGGTGCCCCTTCCGGTGCTCTTCGCGGCGACGCGTCTAGGATACGAGATAGAGAGGAACCCCGACAAGATGTACCGGCAACTGTTCCACCCGTTGATCGTGAAGGCCAGGTGTGTCATGTCCAGAGGAACTTCCTGACCGTACCCTGATGTTCGTGTCGTTTGAGGGAAAGCATTGCGAACCTCGTAGGCGCGGACAGGGATGAGATCGTCTTCGCTCCTAACGCTACCCTCGCCCTTAACACTGTCCTACGGAACTTCGAGTGGCGCCAGGGCGACCTCATTGTCGGCGGTGCGTGTGGCTACTATGCGGTATCACTTTGCCATTCGCTGACGCATTTAACAGCCACTACGCTATACGGTGGCGTTGCCAACACTATCCGCTACCTCGCCGACCGCTCCGAACACCCACACCCCGAGCTATGCCTCATCGAATACACCTTCCCGCTCACGCATGCGGAGATCATCGCACTTTTTCGCTCGAAGCTCCGCGAGTTCAAGGCGCAACACACCGCCTCTGGGACGCGGTTCACCGACGTTCCGCCGCTGTCCCCAGGGTACACGGAGGATGTAGGGGAGAGGAAGAACAAAATCGTCGTCGTTCTGGACGCGATCACCGCAGCGCCCGCGGCGCTCATGCCGTGGAAGGAGATGGTACGTATCTGCAGAGAGGAGGGCGCATGGGCGGTCGTCGATGCGGCACACAGTATCGGACAAGAGGTTCGTGGTCGCGTTCGCACCGTTTCTCGTTTGTCCTGACGTCCCGACCCCCTATTCACCGATAGCCGGACATTAACCTCAGCGCAGCGAAGCCGGACTTCTGGGTCACGGACTGCCATAAATGGCTGTACGCCAAACGGGCTTGCGCGGTACTCTATGTGCCCATGCGGTGGGTCTACGACACCGCTTTTCGAAGCTGCCGAGTCGCCGGCGGTGCTGACTCTACGCTTTGCGGCGCAGCAACCAACACATCATCAAGTCCTCTATCCCGACATCGCACGAGTACGTGCCCGCTGGGAGCGCAGCGGCGCGGGAGAAGGGCACGAACTTCGTGATGCAGCACGGATGTACGATACCTCATACCGCGCACCTTCATACTCAGCGCTCAGGACTAACACTGTCTACGTATAGGGACCGGCACCCCGGACCATACGGCCTACGCCTCCGTACCCGATGGTGAGCACTGGCTTCGGACCGATGTGAAAGCCTTGACTTATGTTCTTCCTCAGCGCTAGCCTTCCGCGAGTGGCTCGGCGGCGAGAAGGCCATCAACAACTATTGCCATCAACTCGCGCTGGACGGCGGAGAGAGGCTCGCTCGGGCTTTGGGCACCCGTGTCTTGGACCAGACCGGGGAGCTTACGCTGAACATGGTGGGCCCGAAAGCCCGTTTTCTCGCCACTCGCTCGCCACTAACATCGCGAGGTGGCGTCTAGACAAACGTGCGCCTTCCTCTCCCTATCGAGAAGATCCGTGGGGAGATATACACGCCGGAGACGATCGCACGTATCAATGTGTACATGCGCGACAAGCTCCTGGACGAGTGGGGGACGTATGTCGTGCACTTCTTCCACGCAGGCGCGTGGTGGTGCCGCTGCAGCCCGCAAGTGTTCAACGAGGTACACTGCAATATCTCTCCCAAAACATTATCCGTGCTAACGCGCTAGCTTCGTAATAGCTCGCAGACTTCGACTACCTCGGGAACGCACTTCTCGCCGTTTGCGAGGAGATCGCGGAGGTGTTCAACTTGACCAAGTAAAGCCCAGGCCGCAGAATACCCTGGGCTGGTGGCCAGGGCAACGCCTTGTGTGTATGAGTACTGCGAGCTGAACGAGGCACATCCGCGTGCCGTCAACGTTTTCTATTCTTGCTTCTTGATCCCGATGTATAGTATACGCTTCAGCAGCTCACGCCTCGACCTCCTCTGTACAGTAGTATATATATGTCCCTTGTCCTCAGTTCCCGGGTTTCTCATGTAGCCGTCTCGCTCTCTGCCATATTATGTATCGCAGCTGTCTATGAATCCACCAAGGTCACCGCTAAATTAGCGGCTCGCTCGTGCAGCTTGTCTTCTTCGATGGCCTCGCGCTCAGCCCACGCATTTGCGATCTATCTTGCTCGTTAGCAGCCGGACACGCACACCCAGTATTCCAGCACCACGACTCACGTTATACCCGTAGATGAATCCACGGCCCTCCGCCTGCTGCCAATTGCGCTCCGTTGTCTCCGCAACATACTCGTCGTCGCCGATGTCTGGCTTCTGCGTCTTGATGTCCGCGACGTTGGACGCGAACGTGTCTAGCACACCGTACTGAATGCAGGAGCGTAAGCGCTACCAAACCGGCGTCAAGCTGCTTGCATACCAGTTCTTTGTATCGCGGCGCCCGGACAGTGTCGAACAACTCTAAGGCGTAGTTGAGGTTCTGGCTGCGTCTGCGGGAGAAGTCGATAGCGTGCTTGAGCGCGTACGCGTCCTCGAACGCGAATGCCGCGCCGGAGCCTGCACTATGTTAGCAACAACTCGGCCATTTCGTACCCTCTACCGCGTACCGAAAGCGCCAGAAAGTGCTGCGGAGAAGGGTCAGTCTATGTGCAATGTGGAGTAGGTACATGCCCGACTCACGATGTGACGCGTCCCCGATCAATACGATACGTCCATTGTGGGTGACCGAGGCCAGTCGCGGGCCGCCGAACATGGCGAACTCGAGCCACTCGTCGGGTGCGTCGATGACCTTGCGCAGCAGTGGACAGTAGCTCTAGACCCACATAATCGTGAGCTCCGTACGCTAGCTTGACATTAACGGATGAGAAAAAAAGGTACCTGGTAATGCGGGACGACCTGCTCCCGTGGGACGGTCTGCCCCCAACTGACCTTGTTACCGTGCTCCTCCGACTCGACCGCGCGGGTCGCAATCTCGAACAGGCCGTTGTCGAGCACGTTTGTATAGATGTGCGTGTCGCGCGTGTGCCAGAAGCACGACGCGTGCGGGAGGTCCGGGAGCAGGTGCGCGACCTGTTCTTGATGAATGAGGACGCGGTAGGCGACCCGGCCCGTGTATGTGAGTTTGTGTTCTGGGAACGCGTATTGACGGACGACCTGTGCTCAGTCAGTAACTAGCACTGTCAGGACGATGAGACCGTGCTCACTGAGCGAATGCCGTCGGCGCCCACAATTAGGTCAAAGGGTCCGGCTGTTGTTCCATCCGCGAACTCGAGGGATACTCCGTCGGCACTTTCCCGGATATCAACGAGCTTTTTGGACAATTGGACGAGGCCGGGAGGTATTTGGCTGAGAAGCGCGTTCTGGAGTTTGTACCGCTCAATTCGGACCGCAGGCGGTTTGTCCGGATCACCTGAAGAGACGTCAGCTGATGGCGTGGTACCATTGGGTAGCGAAAGAGATACCACTATGGTGGCGTTGAGCTAGCAGCTCTCCGGTCCTCCCGTTTCTGTTATAGCGTTAGCATATGCAACTCTCGAAGGAGCTCGAAGGATACTCACCGGTGCTCTACTAGAAGCTTTCCCTGCACACCTCGCTGCACGAACTGCTCGAGCTTGTGCGCCGCGCCAAGGTCCTGAAGAAGCCTCCAAGTGTTCTCGTTCAAACTGATGCCCTGAAGTACGCATGCCAAGTCAGATCACAGTCGCCGATCTCGCGTCCTTACACACTCACTGCGCCAACTTCGCGGAGCTCACGCGCCTGATCAAACACACTCAACTCAACGTCCTTGAGCCTCGATAGCTGGATCGTCGCAGCGAGACCGCCCGGGCCGGCGCCTACAATCGCGACGCGCAAGGGTTTGGGCGAGAGGGTGATGGTCATGCTGGCAGAAGTACGAGGGTCGGCGAAGGGTGTACGATATGCTCATGCATAGGATAGAGCTGCTTTATCGACCCTGGACGCGTACAGGCTAGACATGGCGCTGATGAAGCGCACGGTCGACGCCATATCGCGTTACATGGCGTCATAGACCGGTACCTAAGTATGGTACTGTTCAGCAGTCAGACAGGCGAACTTGAACTTTGTTTGAGCTGGACTTGCCTCTTGCTTCCAAGCATTCATTTGGTGTGCAATCGACGGATGGTCGTAGCAGGTTGTGGTAGTTCAAAACGAGACGCGCCGGAAATACCCGGCCACATAACAGTGCTAAGCGCCCTCCATTCACACTTCAGAGCCATGAAAGATTTGAGCTTCACTTCCAACTTGCCGACACATTTACCTCGCGCGCGGGTAGATAGCAATAATACGCATGCGATGCATTAAAGTATAGAAAGCAAGAACAGCGGCTCCGCGCACTGCAAGAGCCGCATACAGGACGATCCATCCTCCTACACACATCCACCTCCGAGTCTCCGAGCCGGAGTCCATGGTGATAGTACGTAGCGATAGCTAGGAGAGCGGTAACGACGACGGTCTACTAGAGTCCATCGGAAACAGAGCACAAGAGCGTCCATGAGCTTCACGCTCAGAGCACGAGGCCCGCGCCCGCGAGCACGCCGACAATAGCGACGCCCGCCGCAGCCGCCGCCGAGCCAAGCTCAAGGGGACGGACCGCGCCCGCCGCGTTCGGGCTGCCCGACGCAGAACTGCTGCTGCCGCTCGCGCCAGCGCTCGTCGCGGAACTCCCGCTAGAGCCCGAAGGAGCAGCAGGGATCGAGAACGACGCGGTCGAGCTGGGCAGGGGCAGCGCCGCGGAGGAGCCGCTCACACCGGGCACTGACGCGGTAGCGGTGCCAGAGACGGGGTCCGTGCCGATGGTGGCGGAGCCCGCGGGGTCGGAGGCGAGCGTGTCGGTGCCGGAGACGGGGGCGGTTGCAGTCCCAGTCGCGAGCGGGTCCGACACGGTGCCCACAGCGGTGCCAGTCACAGCAGTTGAGGCGAGGGTGTCGGTCGGGACGGCGCTGTCGGTCGCGAGCACGGTGTCTAGAGGACATTAGTATGAAAGCAAGTCGGAGAGAAAGGAGACAAACGTACCAGTGGAGGCGCCAGCATCCGTAGTCGCAGTGTCTACTTGGGGGAGGGCGAAGACACTCGTGGTGGCGAGGACGAGAGAGAGAGCGACGAGCTTCATGTTGGCGAACATTTTGGTATGAGACGGGTACGGGTCGCGGTTTAAGGAGTGCGAAGTGGACGGTGAGGGAGGGTGTGGATGCGTAAGGGGGAAGGACGTTGTATGTAGCTCGCCGTTTTCGGACGGCGTGCATATATACGCGGCTTGACAGGCGGCCGCAGCGCATGAGCAGCAACGGGGTGACTTCGCGTAGTGGGGACGAAGACACACGAGCGCCACGCAACGGCGAGGAACACCGGTCGGGCAGCGCCCTTGAGCAGATTTGGGCACCAGAAACGCAGACCGTGTGCGCGGAGGGTGTTCCGAAGCTGGGACGAGTGGAGTCGCTTCGTTGCGTGAGCGATGGGTGGAGCGGTGCGGTGCGCGCAGCAGACCCCCAGAGTTGCGGCCGGAGGCCTAGATGGGCGTCAGTTGGCACTCGCGCGCAACTCACCATCTTCGCGTTCACAGGTGTGCTGTGATGCACTCCAACGCCAGCAGGAAGACGAGCGGTTCCGGGGAGAATTGGGGGCACCAAACGTCACTGCACAGCTCACGCGGGCGGTGATGCCCAACGGGCGTGATTCTGTGTCGTAAACGGGACCTGAGGTGATCATGAGATGTGAGATGTTCTCACCTACTTTGAGTATGTCTCGTTCGTGAGGCTGCAGCGCGCAATGTTGTCGACGACTTTGCCAGACCTGAGACCGGAAACTCGGAAAACTCGGAAACGACGTCGACATAGCAGGAAGAGGAGAGTTGTGGGCGCCTGTTCGCAAGCGCGCAAGGCGCCGAAGGTCGAGACTAATCTTATCAGATTAGACTGCCGGAATATTCCGAGTACGCCCGTTGTTGATCTCGGCAAGAAATCCATCTGGAATTAATTGCAGGAATCCGCTCTCACCAGGACTCTCATTTTAGTTGTGGCGTCATCGCTGCGGTAAGCATGCATATTGCTCTTTCCGTACCGCAGGGCGATATTAAATCACAACATGGACCCACAGGTGTAACTCAGAGGCTTTTGACCGTGAGTTTCAAAATCATATGCAACCGTCCTCCACCGTGTCATGTCCACTCGATTCCCGCTTTGTTTGCACAGGCAATACGCCTGAGCTTGCATGCTCACTACATATCGTAGCTCTACGCCCAACGCGGGCGAGGAGTTTGGAGTGTAGCTGGGTCGCCTGGTTGCGCAGAGCGGCTAGTTTCCTTGATCGCGTCGTGTGTCATATATTGGCACACATCACCAGGCATTCTTTTGTCTATATACTAGATCTGTGAGAGTGACTCTCACTGAGACCAACGATTCTCATTGAGAGTGGGTGGTAACAGTGAGAGTCACTGAGTCAAGAACCAATGTGGTCAGATCGTGCGACACGTCATATTGCCGCGTTCACGATGTGTTGCGCTGCGCTCGTCGAGTGCGAAGACTGGGTGCTCTGCATCACAGAAAAGTAGCTCTGGGCATGCCTGCAGACGTACCTCGGGCTTGTCGCGCGCAATATCCAGCACATGTGGCGCGCGTTGACCGCAGGAACCGATGACTGCCGCCCTGACATGACCGTTGGGCCACATACACCGCATCCAGATTGCCAGTGTCTTCGTTGACTCATATCAAGCCCACACGTTGAGTCCGATTGCATGAAACACTCCAGAAGATGAGTCACACGAGTGTCCCTGTGATGTGTAGCTTACAGCGGTACACTCCGATATGCCAGAGGTATTGTTTCGAGTGGGAGTCGTTTGTCTCCATCAGAGGCACTCTCGCTGCTCTGTTCGTCACTCCATTTTTGTCCGCTCTGCAAGAGAAGGGTCCCCTCACCAGCAGTTGCGTGCGAACCGCCGCTCATAACAATTGCGTATTATCTAGATGCAACCCTCCTCGTCCACATCTACTTCGTCGAACGGCAGTCCCGCCATCAGTCTTCCTTACGAGCTGCTCCTCCAGATCTTCCTAGACGCCGTACCATGTCTACACGAGTATGACCCTTCTGTATCCCAAGGATTTCGATCTTCATGGCTCAGCAAATCCCTCCGAACCAAGAAGGCACTCCCGCTTGTCTGCCGTGCCTGGAACGCCCCCGCTACAGATATTCTCTATTCCGACATCGTCCTCCGCCGCATGGGCCAGATTCCTGCACTGGCGGAAGCTCTGCGTGTAAGCTCACCAACTCACGAGTTTGTCGTATTCCCCATCCTGTCAAGTCTTCGTTGGGTGCTGACTCTTGACCGTTCAGCACATCAGCAACGCACGCAGATGCTAGCAATGCCGATTCGGCACCTGGAAGAGACCTAGCGGCACTCATCAGGCGTATCCGCATGGACACGCTTATGCTGCCCGACAAATATGCAGCCGTCGTCATGAACGACCTCGCATACATCCTCACGCGTGCCACACGACTGGCCGCCTTCGAATTTCACCCGGGGTCGACTTACTCCCTTCGCTGCGCCGTCGTCGAGTACGACCCGGATACCGCAATGGAGTTTTCCCCCGGCTGGATATTCCGGTGCTCCCATGTTCACCCTGCCTGCTTGCAAACCCCCACAACCAACCCCGTTGCGGACGCATTCTATGCGCATCTTGCGTCTAGCATGCGCGAGCTTGATCTGATGTCGAGCGAAGCTATCCACACGATTTGGGGATGCAGCGGGGCATTGATGCATATCCACGACATCCTACGCGCCTCTGCGAGCACACTAGTATCCCTCAAGCTCGGTGGACTCGTGATCGACGACCGCTTTCGCGGACTCGACGCGCTCTACGCGGCCCCGCTCATCCTTCCTGTGCTCGAGGAGCTCTACCTCCGCCACGAAGACAGCACGCTCATGGACTATGTGTGTCGCGCCTGGGTCCTCCCCCGCCTCACGCGCTTCACCCTTCTGCTCTGCCCGCCCGCGTGGCCACACGCCCTCCTCGCCGCGCACGGCCAACATCTCCGGTACCTGCACCTCTACCCCGGCAGACTTGTCGAGCCCGGAAAACTCGTCAGCTACGAGCTCGCGTCCTCCAAGCTCGCGCAGCAGTGCCCCGAGCTGCAGCACCTCATCCTGCCCTCGCGCCCCGCCGTCCCGATGGCGCTGCGCCACCCCGCGCTGCGCCACATCGACTTTTGGAGCGAAACCATAACAGGCCGCAAGCTGGAGGGCATCGCCATCGGGCGCCTCCCGCTCCCCTACAACATCGCAGACGTCCTGCACGCGGCGGTGCTCGACCGCGAGCGGACTGTGCTCCCCGCGCTCCGCACCGTGCGCGTTCTGCTCCTGAGCAACCCGCAGCGCGGGTTCATGGCCGTGCACGTGCCTGCACTCCGACACGCGGACTGGCCGCTGGTGTGCCACCCAGACGCGCTCGTCGGGCCCATGGCGGAGGATGGCAGGCGGCTCGAGGTGTTTGCGGGCGCGTGGGCGGTGCAGACGCCATGGGGCGTGCTCTCGCTCTGCCACCCGCTGTTTCACCAGAGTCGGGCGTGGCCTCCGAATGAGCAGGAGGATGATCTGCCGGACGGCGTGGGGGTGGACGACGGAATGTTGCGCGCGGTGTTGGACGAGCAGGATTTGGAGTTTAGTCCGGAGAATATTGACGCGAACTACGTTGCGCCAGCGGAAGACGAAGATTCCGATTATGTTTCCGACGAGGGATGCACAGAGGAAGATTCGGATAGCGACGGGGAGAGGGATGAGGACCGTGACCGTGCGGAGCTGCTGGCGGGTTTCCGGAGGGGGCAGGTCGTGAGTACACCCTTGGAGTCTGATCAGTGAGTGACTGGACTACTCGTTGGAGAACGCTCTGACCTCCTTTCGGCGCACTTAGGGAGGACTCGGACGAAGAGCTGTAATAGTTGTCATGGGAGAAAGGGAGCTGAATAGAACCGGCCTGAGTGGTCATACGACGTAAGCCCTATCCGTATATTCGTTATAACAGCCAAACGTTCTGCAGGGTAGGCTTCGAGAATTTACATATCCAAAGATGTACCTTACAAATGCAATCCGAGGCGCTTTCGCGACCTGACATCGCTAGTCGTCCTCGCATGACGGAGTACCTACTTCTTTCCCCGCTTTTTTCACTCACTTCTCGGTTTCTAATCATCTGTACAGATTCCAGTTGTCAGTATCGCGCCCATTGGATGCGACAAGATAGAAACAAAAACTTACTCGTCGAATTCCGATAACACTCCTGCTTGCAAGCCTCTCCGGAACGCTTCCAGTACCATATCGCGATCGATTTGCGGGGCACGGTCTGTGAGGTCATCGCGGACCTGGAGTTCCGTGAGCTCCGCGTCGTCCCACTCCTCCAACTCAGAGTCTGACTCTGATTCGGACTCTTCTTCCTGCAGGACGTAGTCCGCGTCTGCCGCAGCCTCGCTGTACGCGATCCCCTGCTCTTCCAACACTGCCCGCAGCGCAGCGCGGGCCGGTTGGACACCGCCCAGAAAATCCTCCTCGCCTGTTCCCTCGCTGAGCTCGCCACCCAGAGGACCATCGTCATCGTCATCCTCGCCCATGTTGGCCAGGACCGCGCTCATCCTCCCTCCGAACAGCGGGTTGTCCAGCGCGAGGACGCCCCAGTCCATCTGCACGACCCACGCGCTCGAAACCAAGTGGCAGCGCACCTGCAGCTCCTCCGCGCCATCTTCCAGCTCGGGCGCTGCCTCCGGGTCACACACGGTTGGCCACTCGGCGTGCGTCTGAGCGGGGTTGGGCTGCCCAGCGAGAAGCAGGCGCACGCCGCGCAGTGCAGGGAGGGCGCATCCGCTTTTGTTGAGGACGACCGCACGCAGGGCCGCACTGGGATCCAACGGGTGTGGGGTAGCGTCCTCACCACCGTCGACGGGAGTGATGAGACGGTCCATCGTCGCGCTCCATACGTCGAGGTAGTGCAAGCACGGGTGGCGGAGCGGAAGGGGCTCCCAGGGTAGCGCGGGGAGGACGAAGTGCCGGAGTTCGGCACATTGCTCTGCGAGCTTGGTGGGTGCGCAGAGCGCCATAAGATCATCGCCGGAGTGCTCTATGATGTCGGGGAAGAGGTGAAGGTACAGGAGCCGCCGCCCGTGCACCGTGAGCAGGCTGTCTGGCCATGCTGGCCGACAGCGCAGCAGGGTGAGCCGCGTGAGACGAGGCAGAACCCATGCCCTGCACACGTACTCTGTGAAGGCATCATCTCCGGGGCACATATACAGCTCCTGGAGAGCGGGAAAGACAAGCGGTGCGGCGTACAGCTCGTCAAGCGTGCCAAACCGGTCCACGCGAAGTATACCGAGCTTGAGTGAGACGAGTGTGGTTGCTGTAGAGCGGAGGATGTCATGGATGTGGATGATAATCTCGCTGCACTCCCAGGCGAGGTTCATGTAGCCTGAAGATATCAAGTTGAGCTCGCGGATGCCCGAACGGAGCCGCGCCTGGAAAGCGTCTGCGACTGGGTTCGGAGGAGCGGGCTGATCGCCGCGATCGACGTGCGTGCACCGAAACATCCATCCCGGGTTGAACTCGGCGAGAAAGTTCCCGGCGCGCTGCTCGGTGTCGTCGTGGATGCGGTATGCGCCGTTTGGGTGGAACTCGAAGGCCGCGAGGCGTGTAGACCGATTGAGGACGTACGCGAGGTCGGTTTGGACGGCTACGGAGCACGAGGAGATGACGACCAAGTTGTCCATACGGATGCGTTTGATGAGCATCGCGAGGTCTCTCTCAGCGGAAGTGTGCCCGTCCTGAGTCTCGGAGACAGTAGGGGCGGTCCTGTGCGGAACACGAGCGTCAGAAAGAAGTCGACCGCTAGCAGATGCGGTGGACGCAAAACGCGTACGTACGTGCGCAGTGTCTCTGCGAGCGCGACAATTTGCCCCATGCGCCGAAGGACAACGTCGGTATATAGAACTTCGGTAGCGGGTGCGTGCCACGCCCGGCATACCAGTGGAAGCGACTTCTTCGTCCGCAGACATCTGAGCAGCCAAGACGAGTTGGGCCCCTGGACTATGGAAGGATCGCACTCGTGTGGCTGCGGTATGCTGTTGGTAAAAATTTCGAGCAGGATCTCGTGCGGTAAAAACGTAGCAGGACTACGCGATGGCATAATCTTCACAGATGCGGTCAGCGAGTGGAGAATTTCGGTAATGAGGTTTTGCACTGTACTTGTTCTTCCATATCTTTTGCTGATTAACGTGTCAGGATCCGCAAAAAGTGGGCTCTAGGATGTAACAGAGACGATGACGATGACGGCGATGAAGGTGTGGATGAAGGGGCTGACGCTGGCGGAGAGATGGCTCGTTGAACGCGGGCAATTATAGTTTACTGAAGATGACGCGTTGCGATGCAGTGCCTTGGAGACTTTAATCAGGGACCGGTCAAAAGCGGGACAAAAACGCACACGGCCTAGCAGAAGAGGCTGAAAAGCGTGTCTGCAGTGGATTCTTACTCCTCCGGCCTAAGGCACTGACCGGTGACCTCGTGGCTCGTGCCTGGCGCGCTAAGACGTGCCTCAAGCTAGTAGGAGAGTCGTCAACTTTGCCAACAGGTTGTACATACGGATCCCACGTCTCGAAGGAGAAGACTACCTGCGCAGAACATCAGTGCTGCGCTCGTCGAACGATATGAGCCAGAAGCCCGTGAATCTTACTCGTCGAATACTGGCTGCACTCCTGGCTCATCGCCTATGTGAAGTTCTGGGCCTTCCGTCGAGGAACCCGTGTCATCCCACTCTCCAGAGTCCGAGTCTGATTCAGACTCTTCTTCTAGCGGGACATAATTCGCGTCCGCCGCAGTGTCGCTGTACGCGAGCCCTTGCTCTTCCAACAGCGCCCGGAGCGCGTCTCGGCCTGGCTGGAGACCATCCAGCAGATCCTCCTCATCCGTGCCCTCGTCCAGTTCTCCGTCCAGCGACCCGTCTTCGTCGCCCGGGTTCGAGCCAAAGCCCATATTCGCCAGGACCGCGCTCCTCCTGCCCCTGAAGAACGGATTGTCGAGGGAGAGCACGCCCCACGCCGTCTGCACGACCCACGCGCTCGAAAACACGTGGTAGCGCATCGGTACTGGCCCTGCCGCACTGTTCTCCCGTAGGAGGGCTTCCGGGTGGCATACCAACGGCCATTCGCGATGCGTGTTTGAGGTTGCGAGGTGCGCTGCGAGGAGCACGCGCACGCCGCGGAGGGCGGGGAGCGTGCACTGGCTTTCGTCAAGCACGGCCGCACGCACGGCTGCGCCGGGATCCTTGGGGGCACCGTGAGTAGGGGAGGCCAGGATCCGTTCCAAACTCTGGCTCCATACATCGAGGTAGCGCAAAGACGGGTGTCGGAGTTGGAGCGGTTCCCGAAGCAGGGCTGGGAGGACGAGGTGTAGGAGCTGGGGACAGCGCACTATGAGTGTGGCGGGTTGCAGCGCGCGAATTGCGGTTGTGGTATGCCTGGGAGTGTCTATCGTGGTAGGAAAGACGTGCAGATACTGTAGTCGCTGACCGTGCGCCGCAAGCAAATTGTCTGGCCACACCATCCGGCAGCGCACCATGGTAAGGCGCGTGAGACGGGGCAGCACCCAGCCTCTAGAAACGTACTCGGAAAACAGGAGGCTCCCCGGGCATATGTGAAGCTCCTCGAGCACAGGGAAGACCAGCGGCACGGCGCACAGATTGTTAACGGTTTCCTCCCGAACGACATCGAGCGCGCCGAGCTTGAGTACGACCAGCGTGCTTGCAGCAGAGCGGAGGACGTGGTGGATACGAACGGCCGTCTCGTCGCATTCCCAGTCGAGGAAAACGGTTTGTGTCGACATCAAGTCTAGCTCGCGAATGCCCGATCGAAGGCGAGTGCGGAAGGCATCCACAACTGGATCGGGAGGTACGTGCTGGCTGCAGAGATCAACATGGGTACGCCCGAACATCCATCCAGGGCTGACCTCGTCTAGAATGTTGGTGTCGTCGTGGATGCGAAATGCTGGATGCGGCTGAAAATCAAAGGCCACGAGCCGCGTACACCGAGCGAAGACGTACGCGAGGCCGTCCGGTATGGCGTCGGGGCATGGGGAAATGACGATCAAACTGTCGATTCGGATGCGTTTGATCAGCGTCGCTAAGTCTCTTTCAGAGGGCGGGCCCACTTCCTGAGTGGTACAAATATCAGAGGCCATCCTATGCCAGGGTAGGGCGTTGCAATTAGTATGCTCAACGAGCGCGATCCATGCGGAAGGGGGGGGAGGGGCATACCAGCCTAACGTTTCTGCAAGCGCGACGATCTGTCCCACGCGCCGAAAGACGATGTCGGAGTACAGGACCTCTGTAGCGGGAGGATTCCACGCGCGACACACGAGCGGAAGCGACTTCTTCGTACGTAGGCATTGGCGCAGCCAAGACGAGTTGGATCCCTGGATTATCGAAGGATCGTACTCGTGTGGCGGCGGGGTGCTTTTCGAGAAGATCTCTAAGAGGATCTCGTGCGGTAAAGCAGCAGCGCTAAAGAACGTCGACGGCGCGCCCTTCACAACCGCGGTCAGCCAACGCAGGGAACTAAGAAGTATATCTTGTTCTACACCTGCATTTGCATATGCGCAAATAAGTGGCGCGCTGAACGCCGGGAGTATAATCCTGCGCAGAGTGAGAGCCCGTATGAGTAAAGGAGCCCACTTTTGCCACGTGGCGGTGTGTGTTGATGCGGCTAGGCCCACCTGACTGTACTGCGTGTGATACACTTCAGTATGAGAGACGGGAGGTGTATGAAACGGACCTTTGTGGTCTCGTTTCCTCTTGTGGTGGGAAGAGAGAGCGTGTCGATATTTGCGACTACGCGAGCAGCCAGTGCCGGGGGAAGCGCCCGGCGCGGTGGGCCGCCGCCCGCCTCCCGGCACGGGAGTTGCAACGTCAAAGTACGCTCTTTGGTTTTTCTGGGTAGAACTGGTACACCGCCGTTGAATAGTCCAAAGCTACACAAGCACATTCATAACATGACGGCGCGCGAAACGCATGGCACCCGGTCTTACTGAGTTACTCTCGACCGTCCGCTATCTCATTAGTGCGCCTCAGCACCCTCGCGAGACCCACGAGCCTCCTCAGGCTCCAGACGGCGTTCGTACGGCGGTGGCTCCCCCCGGTCCTCCAACTCTTCCTCTTCAACCTCCATCAACACCGTCACAAAGCGCGGCGTCCGTAGCGCACTGGTGCGCCGAGCGGAGGCGAGCGGCGAAGAGTCGGAAGGTACCAGCGCTGACGGGGCAGGTAGACCCGGGGGAAGCGGTCTAGGGTCCACATCGCGCGATTCTCCCAGCCCGTGGCTATCCCGGCGCGCAGGTGTCTTCTCGATGTCCCCCTGGTCCACGTCCGGACGTGTCCGTGGAGGAGAACCCGCGCTGCCGCCAACGGCGGCCCTAGTCGACGCCATAGAGTCGTACCAAGAGGAGCTCTCCCTCTGTGCTGACGGCGCCATGTCGGCCTGGTGGGAGCTCAAGCCACTGGGTGCTGACAGGGGGCGTGTTTGCTCGTGCGATGCGTATGGAGGAGTTTGAGGGGCCTCAGTGCTTGGCGACAGAAGGACTGTACCGCAGATGTGGATTGTGGAGATCGGGCGGTCCAACGGGGTGGGTGTGGCGGTGGACGGCGGGCGGCCCTCCGCGATGGTTTCGAACTCTTCACGCGTAGAGGCACGAAGATGGTTGTCCGTCCGTGTCGAAGCGGCACTGTCGTTTCCAGTGGCATTTGGGACGACGTGGCTGGCGACGCGTTGTCGACGTTGGCGACGGCGTAGACAGAAGAGCGCAAAGATGGCGGCGAGGATGCCTACCCCTAGGCATACTGCTAAGGCTACCGAAGCTTTTGATGACAAGCTATGTGAGCCCGAGTCGTTCTCAGTGGGAGGCGGGGTCGTAGAGCCGGAGGGACGCATAGTACCGACGTCAGGCATTCCACTAGACGCAGACGAGGAGGCATCCGATGGTGTTTGGTAGGTCGTTGGGAGGGATTGTAGCATTACGGACGCGGAGACGGAGGTAGCAGGATATGGAGTTGCAAACGAGCTGTTCTGGGCTGAGAGGACTGGGACGGGCACCGTGGACGTGTTATCGTCCCATGCCGTACTCGGTTGCGGCTCCGGAGGACATACGACGTAGGCAGAGACATCGGTGTTCGTCGTGTAGACAGACGCAATTGGCTGCGGAGAGGTGGTGCTCTGCGTAAGAGCAGTAGAAGACGGCACAGTTATTGTCGTCGTGCGCAGGGTTGGAGACGAGACCATCGTCAGGGTGTCGGAAGAAGCGTGGGCTGCAACAGGAACGATTCATCAGTAAATGGCGGAGACAAGACGTGCATTGCAGGGCCGCGAGAGCTGAAACCAAAACATAAGACTTACTAGTCGTACTGCCACCATTGCAATCCTGCGACAGCTGCGATGAATCCGACTCGGGGCATCGAACTTGCATGCAAAAGAACGCATTCTGTCGTGCGAGGGGATCGTGACATACACACTGAACTATGGTGGTGCTATTGAAAGACGGACATGAGTCAGGTTAAGGTTATCGAGACGAGACAAGGAGAAATGCCTCTGATCGCAGGGTACGTACTCGGAGCACTGAAGATCCGCGCATGCGTTTCCCAGACAATCCGTTCCACAGCTCGTAAAGTCGTCCAGGCTGCCGTCGACTGTTCTTCTCCGGGACCCGATGTCGTAGACCGCATGCAGAACACCTGACGGGCTTGTGGCGGACATGGTGCCGGTCGCAATGGAATAGCTCGAAACTCCTGGCACTCAAGGGGATCATTCGAGTCGGGAATGAAGGGCTACCGATCGTCCTCATAAACTCCAGGTCAAGCTGTCTTATAGAGGGATCAGTACGATGGAAGCACCAGCGATGGGGACGACGGCTTACTACGATTATCTAGCAGCATCAGTGTCATAGCTAGACAGCTTGAAGTGAACGGTGGGCTCATGTCGTCTTGTAAGTCTTCAGCTTACGCACTAGCACCACCGGTTGAGCTTCTGCGCGCCAGAAATTCATGCGGTGTTCATGGAAACACGGCCCTTAAGTCTCCTGCATCTGCCACCGGAACCGAAGAAGATAAGTTTCCGCAGCGTTCGCGGATGAGGCCTAACACATGCGTGAGCCGTGGATCTCGACGGTCCCGCTGCAGCTTCCATTGAGGCCTACTCGCAGTCGCTCGCTATGCGTTTCCTTCGAGGATGCACTGCGAACCGCGTATGTTCCCCCGAGGCTGTGTGCGACCTCCGAAAACACCGAGTTCATCGAGTAATGGATACGCGCGCTGCGCGATGGGACCTCTCTGGCGGCAACATCTTTAGTTTAGGCAGAGTGTCAACGTTGCCACGATACCTACGGTGAGGGGAAGGCTGAGATATCGCAGCAGTGACTATGCCGGGGCCCGGAAGGAGTTGTCTTCTGCTGCACGCGTGACACTGGGTTCAAGTAACATGCAAATATTAGCGGCTTCCATGACATGTGTAGAATTGTCAAACGTACGCGGGTGGGATTTTCTGAGCGTATGAAAGATATGTAGGCTTATGGCCTTAAGTAACGCGGTCTTTGGACGATGATTGAACAAGCATGGGCACATAGTTCATAATGCGGCGACCCATCGCCATCGCGCGCGAACTCGACATGCCCGTCGAGTGAGGGGAGAACTCACTATGCTTCATTTGTATCTCTTTCAAGTGCAGGCGTCGCACGCTTCTAGCTGACCAAGGTGTGTACTAGTGCTGGAGAGATAGCTAGGTGCTAGACGTTGGTCGTCAAAATGAAGAGGGAAGCGATTCTCGATCCGGCTGCTCTGTCCACACAAGCGCCCATGCGGGTGTAGCCGGCTTGGGGATTTCCGGGCCGCCCCGTGCATCAAGTTTCGAGTTCGACGCGTCTCCCTCTTGTTTTTCAAAGACGATATGGATGTCGTTGCGCACGGTAAGTCCAACAGGAAATTGAGCGGCACACGCTCATACATTTGTAGATTCTCCCCTCGTTGTCAGTGCTCGGTGAGCGCCAAGCACTCCCGCCGAATCCGTACACTGTCGATGTTCTCTATCGATATCTCTGGCGCTTCTGTCCTGGACTGCGTTGACCCTGCGCAGTGACTATTCCTTCGGAATACGACCGCACCTGAAGCCTGCGTACTCCTGGTGCCGCTCGCTTGGCCTCGCAGGCATTCTTCTCGATCTGGCTGTCGCACTCATGTACTGGGCCTGTCAGCTCCGCGCGGGAGAAGCTCTCTACGGTATCAAGCACATTCCAGGGCGAGCACCAAGGTATTTGGGTATGTCTTTGCTCAGGCGCCTGACGTAGCAATCTATCACATCTTTGGCTTTTCCCCGACCGGTTTCGAGCAGAACTCTCGTCGTACACATACTCGCCTGGGGCTCGCTTGCACAAATGATTGCGGGAGCTTTCTTGCGACGTCACCATACCTGCTTGAAGGGATGGCAGTCGTCACACCGACCCTGAGGACGGACAATCTACTTCTTTGTCAGACACCGGACAGTTTCTTCGCGCGTGCGCAGACAGAGCACTAGCCCAAAGTACAGGTAAACGACCGGCAGGGATAACGAACGTGGGGTATAACAGAGACCAAAACATAAGCGGAATCCGCGCCTCGCTCTCCGCTCAACACCATTACAGATACATAGCTCTCTTCTCTTAGACAGCGCTCTCAGATAATCCACGCCGCGGCGAGGAGCACTACACCTGCCCCAAGCACGCTGCACCCCGCCCGCGCGGCACCGTTCACAGTCGGGTTCAGCGCGGAGCCCGACCCGGACGCGTTGGCGTCCGCGCTCGTGACGGTGACAGTAACCTCTGTCCCAGCCGTGTCGCTCGATACCACGCGCGGGTTCGAGGTCGAAGTGGGAGAAGGCGTTGCCGCCGGGGTCGTGCTGGCCTGGACCGTCGCGGAGGTGGTCGCCGCCGCGGAAGCAGAAGGCGCGGGCTGAGCGACCAACGACGACGATGCGGCGGGCGCGGTGCCAGCAGGAGCCTGCGACGCCGAGGACGACGAGGCGAGGACGGGCGGGAGGATGCTGGGCACTGCGAGGGCGGGCGTGAGTACGCGGTCACGTGGCCGTGATGGAGCTTGACAGGGAAGGCGATGGCGATAGCCAAGGCGACGGCGGGGGCGGGAAGAAGGGGCGGGGACTCACGGGAGCCAAAGCCTGCGCAAGTGTTCTCGTAAAGCGCGAAAACACTGTTCACTTCGGTGGGGCAGGCGCGCTGGACGCACTTGTCCACGGATGCCGCCAGTACGAGTTGGGTGCAGAAACAGAGCGTGTCGGAGCTAGTGAAGGGGAGTTAGATCGGTCGGAGTCTACACAGTGGAGAAGTGGAGGACGTGAAGTCGAAGGAGATGAGGTGGACTCACAGGCTCTTGCAGCCGCCCTGCTTCAGCGCATCGTCGATGCACTTGGTAACGCACGCTGAGGTCGGAGCGGTGGCTGAAGTTGGCGCGGGGCCCGGCGCCGGGAGAAGCGAGCGTCCATTCTGAGGGCTATCGTTCGGAAGGTCCCGAGAAGCCGCTACATAGAGCATGGAGAGCAGAAAGAGCGAACAGAGGTTGAGCTTCTGTGAGAGCTGCATGTTTTACAAGGGCCCAAGAGGGGACGGCGGGACTAGGAGCGAGAGGGAGAGAGAAAGGAGCGCGGAGACGAGCGAGGCGTTGCCGCTGTCTGTACCTTCTGGGAAGATCGCGATCGAGCAGTACAAGGCGGTATATCAACGGCCATATGGACTCTGTCCGACGTAGCACGCTAGCGGCGGGCAGAGCTTGCGATGAGATCATGCCACATAGTTGCCACATGCCAAAGTCCCGCCAGCATCGAGATATGCCGTGGGTTTGCCATTGTCGTAGGCGAAGACCGCTCCTTTGTACGCCGAGCTTCATAGTCTTGCAAGCTTGCCATCCTATCGTCTAAGGGTACAGTAGTGCAGTGAGATGTTTGATACGAGATGAACGAAAGAGGAGTGTTCCCATCACTCATCGCGGGGGTTTTCGTGCAAGTCTTTCACACATTATCGCCACGTGTGTATTAGCGCTCGTTACTTCCTGTCTGCCAGTGGGCGAGAATGCTCTTTCTACCTCACTCCTCGACTGCCACGCGCCTTTCGATTCGGAGACGTGGATTTACGATAATGCACTTACGCTCAGCGCCTGTTTTGTTGGATTCGAGCTTTGCGAAACTTGGTGACGTGGAGAACGCGCCTTGCGAAGTATTATCGGAGTGCCGGAGCGCCAGCAGCGACTCTTGCAAGTCCGTGTTTTCGCGGTAGCACCCACACCCCAATATGTTATGCAGGTGAGTGTGTACATCTTTTGAATGGTGATCTGAAACTGTTGTACATAGAACGTTATCAGACTGGACTGCGTAGCCGTTTTGCATGGCTTGTTTACGAAGGTCTCCTGGAAGAGCAATGCAGTCTGTCAAAACCCCACTGTTGCACGAAGGCACAGTAAGAGTACTCACTGTTCGAAGTCCGGGTTGCCTTTCACTTGAGTGATAGCCTCTCTCAGACTCTGCCCAAAGCTCCGCATATCCTCCACCCAGTAATCGTCTTCGAGTTCACGTTCAGGGGCCGCCGCTAGTATGTCGGCCACACGCAAGACGTCTGGGACAACGTCATCGTGAATGCACCGCAGCACATCATCGCATGCCTCCTTCGCGAGTCTCCACAGCGTGTTCCAGAGAGCGTCCGCGTCGAAGGTGTCCCTGAGACCTCGCACCCCGTGTGCCGCCAGCACGTCAAGAAGAACTCGGGTGAGTTCAGTAAGAACATCTTGCGTGTGGATGCGAACGATCTCCAGGTCTTCGCTAGGAAGGGATGACATCAAAGCTCGGTTCGCGCACCGCAAGAACCAATCGGTGCTCTTGATGTAATTTGTAGGTGCCGTTTTCGAATCGTCTGGGGAGGGAGGCCCTGCGAGTTGCAGCTGGGTGAGTCGCGCGATGCGGTACACCCCGACGACAGCTGCTGGATGAGGCAATCAGTACGTGGAAATCAAAACTCGAGAAGGGATGGACTAACCGTGCGTCAGTACCCTCGCTATAGAGGTTTCCCGGCAGGCAAGATAATGAACAACGGATATGAGTGTCTCAGGTAGCTGATCGCCCTCCGCGAACGGTCTCCACCTCGGATCCTTGTCGTCAATATGGTCTATGACGGCGCATATGGTGGATATCGCCCACTTTGCGTCAGCAGCCTGCATGCTGGGCGACCAGAACGCGCGCGTCAAGTAGCCACTCAACGCCGCCGTCTCGTTTTCCGACATCGGCACTTCATGTCCTTGTAGGAGTCCGCACAGGAAGATATGGATCCATAGGACCTTGTGCGAGTTGTCCAGACCAAGAGGGCCGCCCTCCGACTCCGCCACCGCGCCAAAATGCTCCTGGATGGATCCGTGCAGCTTCCGGAAATACCGGAGGACCAACATGCCTCGCAGATCCATAAGACATACCGTGGCTGCGGAAAGGGCGTCGGGGTGTAGAGTAGAGCTGTACGCCTCGACGAGGATTTGTATGTCCAACTCGTCCGCGATCGCGCTGACTGCCGACCGCTCTCGGCCCTGCCATGTCTGCCTGGAGGTATGGTCCTCAGTGCTATCGGAGACCCACTGCATGAGGGTTTGAGCAGGTCGCTCAAAGCACCTGTCGTAGATCAGTCGAAGGGCAGTGATGAGGCTCTCTAGCGCATAACCCACTGCAGCTCGCGGATGTGTGTGGAGGACCGCTCGTAGAGCAGCCGGTAGACGGTATGCCCGGTATACGATACGACCTGGCTTCCAGAGTGATTCGAGCGCGCGTACTTGGGGAGATAAATACGCAGAGTTGTTGTTGGAGAGCGGGAGAAGCGTGGTGACGACGGTAAAGATGGCAAGGAGACCGACAAGGGTGGTTGTCGTGATAGCGACCGCATGGTGAAGCGTCCAAACGAGGCTAAGGAGTCCGGCGAGAAAACAGGAGACGGCGAGCTGAAGTAGAACCGGGATGATGCCGACGATATCCTCTACATGCCAGGCTTTGAGGTTGTTCAACCGGTACTAACGCAGTCGCGCGACCGGACGGGAAGTCCCGGAGAGGCCGCTGCTGTACTCGTTCAACCACTGTTTGACCGCGATGCCGATGAAGGCTGAAGCGAGGCTGAGGATTAACCCCGAGAACCATAGAACGTTCTGCCATATGGCCCACCGCGGGACGGGTGGGGGGGGCGTCCGCGAGGCGGCCACCTATATCTGAAAGCTGAGTACAATCAGCGGGGAGAGTATTGATTCGCTGTACGGAGCGCTGTTGGATGGGAGTGATGGAGGCATCCGAGGCTGACGGTTGAAGTAGGAGGTAGGACTGCACGTTGAATGCGGTGAGGATCGCGGAGAAGAGACCCGCCTTTCAGGTGTTCTCAGTAAGTAGGCGCGATTGCAGAGCCATCAAGTAGGTCATTGACGTACCAGAACGAGATACGTGTCAATTTCCTTGTTCCACCTCTCCACCATGCCATCGCTGTATCTTTGCACCATTCCCGCAGCGTCTTGCCAGGCTTTCGTTTTGTGCTCTTCTGTGTATATTTGATTGCGTGTAAGATACATGTCCTGTGTGCAGATCGGCGTTAAGGCATGGACGTCTTAAACCGAGTATGATGCGTTAAACGTACCCAAACGCGGATTTTGGGTGGAATATCGGGCCTCGCTCTTGCAACTCCTCCCGTCTAATAGGTCGGGAAATTTATCAACATGAGACAAGAGAGTCAAACATATAGTGCAAACTACGCACCGTCTGGACTTCGTCTGCGCCGAGCAAACCCTCGCGCTTAGATGGACCAGTGAGCGACTGCCGGCGAGACGTCGAGTTCGAGTTCCTCGTCAACTCATTCATATCGGGTGGGCATTCCGACATAGGAAGAGATGCGTGTGTGTTACAAATATGAGAAGGAGGGTGCGGGTATTGCAGCAGGGCCTGTCGAGGGAGTACTAGAACGTATGGTGCCACCATGCGTTGCAGTAGCTTGAAGGGTGTGCCAGACGGGACCCGACTGCTCAAAATGCACTCTGAGCCCCGTATCGCATGCCGAATCATACATCATAATTCTGGACAGTTATCAGGGTGTAGAGGGGCGAAGAACGCGAGAGAAAACACATACCTCAGGCTTCCCGCTCTGCTCGGTGAAGACCGATATCGCACCATGTCCTGCGGGTTGGGATACAATTTCCGCGTGGGTCGGGAGCGCCCCGCACATGTGCCGAGTTGTGCCTTCCCATTGGTGGGCCTCGCAGTTGTGGGTGCCAGGTATGTAAACGTTACTGAATTCCATCAAGCGCTGATCATCACGGATGATGTATGGTCAATGAATACGGCAGAGTTCCGATAGTAAATGAGCGTCGCAAGATTTAAGTTATATACACAATAATGAGCAATTCGCCGTCATTTGGAGAGCTAGCGCTCGAGAGTTAAAGTTGACCTGATCGGGTGCCTGAGACGAGAGGGGTACAGAGAGCATAATCGAGGTTGCGGTGTTGTTCGGTCGAGGGGGCGCTCCTACGCTGCTCCGTGACGAACAGCGTGGAGGGATGGAGAAGGCGGTGGCCGTGCGACAAGCACGTATGCAATGGCATTTACTGAGATGAGCCGGTAGTCACGATGCCGACGTCGTCTCAGGCGCGGATTCCTCCGCCGTCGCTTTCTGTATGATTAACAATTAGCTTCCCTTGTTTTTGGCGCATAAGAAGTGCTAGTTGACATACGATGTGAAAGCCACAGCCTTTCAAGTAGAGGCAGAAGTACGAATCGGTGGCCTTCATGAAATCGTAGTCAGCGCAAGTGTCAGTGGCCTTGCGCTTCGTATCCCTGCGATGCTACCCAGGTTTTCCACCGTGGACCTCTAGTAGCACCGGGCTAAAACGATGAACGTAGAAGATGTAACGCGCACCCACAATTTCTCTGGGAGAGAACCGACCTCTTCTAAGCGACGACGAGGGTTGAAGACTCGGTGTAGCTTGAGCGTGACACTCCGGCTGGGACAGTACTTGTGAAAGAGGAACATGAACGCGGAGCGCTTATGTTGGGCGGAACGGTCGGTATATGCCCGGCAAGCGCCTGTGGTATTAGTCGGCCGAGATCACCGGAGGCTCACTCACCGTGACACCAGAAGGACTCGAAGATGCCGCCACAAAACCAAAATCAGAGGGAAGACAGTACAGATCTGGAAAGAGAATGCATGATGTTTGAAGAGATGTGGGACGAATGCGAGTAATGTACACGGTAGCAAGATACTTAACGTGGCACAACTTAGGCCTGGGTGGACCGACTTAACCTCCGGGCGTGGTGACGACAGGGGTTCCTTGGACTACCGGAGATATCTGAAGAGGTGTCCTGCGGGAATGGGAATATCATCAATACTTGCTGGCGGACGTAGACTTGGGGAGTAGATACATACTTTTGCTCAGACTCGCCCTTTACCCGAACGACCAGCTCTTTAAACTCGCGAGCGCGCGCCTGGATGATCTCTACCTGCCATCCTAGTCCATACCCCGAAGCGACCGAGAGCGTGTCCGCCATACGCAGTACGTCTAGAACGAGTTCGTTGGGTACGCATCGCTCCACAAGACCCGGGGAGAGGCAGCAGAGTCGATAGACCACGTCCCAGAGACTATTGGTGTCGATATTGGTTCGCTGGTCTGGACGTGCGAACAGGTCGTTCAGGGTGCGCGTTAGCTCGTGCAGGATGTCTTGCGTGTAGTCGACCACAGTTTGCATGTCATCAGGGAGGATCGAGCCGGGCGAGGTGAACGCGCGGTCGGACCATCCCAAGAATGCGTGAACGCGCCGCATGTGCTCGCCGTGAGCCGCTGGGGAGTCGTATACAGACGCCTCGATGATCAGCGATGCACTGACACGGACGCGGCGATACGCCTGCGAGACAGCTTGTCCCAGGCATATTATCAGCGCGCGCAACTTCAAACGCGAGCGAGAATAGGTGGACTCACCATGGAGCAGCGCCGTCCCCAACGTGATCCCACGACTGCCGACCAGGCTGAGCAAGTAGTCTCGCTCGCTGAGCAGCCGTTCCCCGTCGAGAAACGCCAGTCGCCCGTCCGCAGAATGATCGATCAGCGAGGAGAGCGTGCAGAGCGCCCACTCCACCTCGGCCACGTGCATGCCGTCCGCCCAGAACCCGTTGTCGATGTACGTTCCCAGCGCAGACGACTCTTCCTGCGTGAGAGGCGACTCGTCCTGCAGCAGAACACAAAGCAGGACGTGCAACCAGAGCAGCTGACACTGGTTTCCCCACCCCAGGGGGCCGTCCTTCGCGTCCGCTCCCACGCCGAAGTGCTCGCGCACGGATCCATAAAGCCGCTGGAAGTACCCTAGCACGTCGCGGTCGCCGAAGTCCATCAGACACACGGTGGCCGCGGAGAGCGCATCGGGATGGAGGGTTGAGTGGTACGCGTCGACCAGGATCTGTGTGTCCAGGTCAAGGCCTTGTCGGGTTATAGCCGACCGCTCGCGTCCCTGCCATGTCGGTTTCGGTTGCTGCCACGAGTCATGAACGATGCACGCAATATGCCGACAGATGAAGGCTTCGAATTCTGTGATAGCTGTACAGATGCAGGGAGGAAGCCATCGGGTATGCCACCGGCGGGGGTGGATGGTGATGGAGTCGTCAGTGATAGCGGCACTGGTGAGGGACGAGCACATCCAGTGGATGAACCGCTTGGGTTGCCAGATGGAATATAAGACTCGGATATGGGGAGACACATAAGCGCAGGTGCTGTCGAAGAGTGGGAGCAGTGTGGTCGACAGTATGAAGACGCCGAGAAGGCCGATCAGGGAAGAGGCGACACCGGCCACGGTATGGTGGAGGTGCCACAGAAGAACGAGAAGTCCCGCGAAGAAACATGCTAAGGCAAACTGGAGCAGCACAGGGATGAGGACAACGACGCCCTCCACGTGCCATCTCTTCAGGTTATCAAGGCGGTACTGACGTGCCCGAGCGACTTGGCGAGAGGTTCCGGGAAGCCCGATCTTGTACTCGTTCAACCATTGCTTTACCATGATGCCGATCGAGGCGGAGGTAAGGCTGAGAATCAAGCTTGAGAACCATAGCGCATTGAGCCATACCGCCCATGGAGGTACGGGGGGGTTGGAGTCCACGTCATCGCGCTGCTGGGGATTCGATGACTGTGTGGGGTCCACGAGATGCAAAGAGATGCGCTGCAGAATCGCAAGAGTGGGGTCCGGTGCCAAGGGCTGGAGTAGCAGGTACGACTGCGCATTGAAACCAGTCACGATCGCGGAGAACAACCCGGCCTTCCCGATACCCGTGTAAGTGAGTAAACGGTCCGTGCAGCGCGAGACGATTGAGAGCACATACGTAGACGAGATACGTGTCTATCTCCTTGTTCCACTTGTCGACCATCTCGTCGCTGTATTGTTTCACCATTCCTGCCGCCTCGGACCATGCTTGCGTCTTCTGCTCTTGCACGTATATGTGACCGTGTTGCTGATATAGTTCCTATATATGGTAGCGCTTAGCTTCCGAAACCAAGACGGAACGCAGGTCGTACCTTGGGAGTTGTCTCTGGTGGTATGTCAGGTCGAAGTGACGCCATAGTTGCCAGACGCGGTGTTCAATAACCTGGATGGAGGCGGTACGAGGGGTATGTGGAGGTAGAGGCTCAAGGAGTGGGATTCCGCAGCAAGAGCGGTATACAACCCGCAAGATTCCCACATCTGACAGCTTATATAGGCTTCTGAATGCTCCAAGTAGGCGTTAGAAGAGCACCTGCGGCAGGAAGCTGGCTATCGGCCTGATGCCATGTCATACGCCATGTTAGGGTTCAATCCGAGCTTGTCTATGCACCGCATCGTCAATGAAGGCGGCCATGATAATCTACGACATGGGTTGGCATGAGCGACATTGCGATGCTGAATGAGCCGGCACTAGTCGATTTGAAAGGAATGCGCAGCATGTGAACGACAAAACAGAAAAATCCTCGTTTGACGGCGTTGAGCCTAGAAAAGAAAATCTCCTGGAGTCAAATTTAACTGGGTGGGATACAAAAGCTCGACACACTTTTGATGCAATACCAGAATGATCCGACTAACAATAGCGGTACATACTATGTAGAAAGGTGAACCTAAACCGACAACAGGGGTGGATTTTCAAGGAGTTATACAAGGACGCGTCTAAACACTGGGAACTACGCGAACAACATCAGCATTTTCATGACGTCGTCTGTCAAATCAACACTCACCAGGCGGTATATCAAGGAACGGCTCGCGCAGGTACCAGGCTCCTATGACACGGACCATCTCGTCAGACCCCTTTTCATCGTACGTAGTAAATAACAAGTGGGCGTACTGTCACCGGTCAACGTCTTCTCGTTATGAGTCTGACCATCACCGAGCCAGTAGAAGCGATTCTGGACCGGGTCAGCGGCCTCATAGTTGTAATCCTCCCACCGGGGGTACGCGAGCGATTTGAGCGCGTGCAGCGTAGAGCCTCCAAGGCGGTCAGCTAACATGGAATGGCTATCGCGGCGATGTGTGGACACACCTGGCCAGAGCCCAGCAACCCGCCCTTCTTCCAGGCCCATCTTGTACCACGAGCGACACTTCTCGCTGTACACCGTCTGTGGGCCGACGTCACCATCTTCATCAAAGACAGGATGCGCGCTCGCGTACCTTCGGGAAATACGCCTAGCACACGTCGCAATCAAAATCTAAACGTCTGCTCAACGACGCATCATCGACGTACCTCAAGGTACTGGTCAAAGTCATGCAGCGCCTCCGGCTTGACCTCGATGCTCTTCAGGCGCTCGCGCTGCAACTTCGCGGTTGCCTGGACCGCGTACATCACCTGGTACTCAATGAGCGCAAGCAGCGAGCCGGAGCCGACGCCCGAGTTCGGCCCGAACGAGATGAACATGTTCGGGAATCCGTCGACTGCGACGGAGAGGTACGAGACCGGGTGCGGCAGCCACCGGTCGTTGATGTCGACCCCACCGCGCCCGACTATCTTGAGCGGTAGCTGGAAGGACGTATCGTAACCTACGACCCAGTGGATTAGATATTGCGTTATTCACCGAACGGGAAGTGGAGAGGGCGCCGTGAATACCTGTGGCGCAGAAGAGTACATCCAGGTCCTGGTGCTTGCCGTCGGCGGTCTCAATCCCCTTCTCTGTGATACGCTTGATTGGCGCGGATATGAACTCGACCTACAAACCCGGTACAGCGACACATCAGCCAGTGGTCAGGAAACGCCTCCCACCGTTGCTACCCACGTTATCTTCGCACAAGGCTTCCAGGTATCCGGGGCCTGGGGTGAGCCGCCTACACGCCACCGGAAAGTCTGGAATAACTGGTTCCGGAGCAGAAGGTTAGCGCGCGAGAAGCAGGTGCAAAAGCGGCAGGGCCCAAATGCGTACGCTTCTCTGCAATCCAGGGCCGCTTCGCGAGCTTCCTCTCCATGTTCTCACGGAACAGGGCCTGTGCTTGCATCTGCATAGGCGAGCCTCGTAGAGTCGACGAATGCAGGCTCTGTGCGTGTTCAGTCAATAGCTGCGCGGTGTGCAAAGCGACAAGCTCGGGCGCACGTTGATCTCGGTCTCGAGCCTGAGCCTAAAGTTATTGTAGAACTCCGGGTCGCTCTTGAAGCGCTCGATCTCTTCTGGCGTGAACCTATCTATTCGTGTAGGTTAGCTTCGCCGCAGTCATATCCAAACCAAGAAGCGGGGAACTCACAGTCCTCCGCCGTCTTGGAGTCGCGGCTCAGAAGCTCCGCGAACGTGTTACCCGCGAAGGGCACCGCGAGCCATGTCTTTCCGCGCACGTAGTTCACGAGCGTGTGCACGCGGGGCTGCAGCGCTGGGACGAGTTGCAGTGCGCTCGACCCCTATGTGGTGTGATGAGCGGCGCGGCGAAAACGTCGTAAGATGGAGCTTAACACACCAGGCCGATGACGCCGACGTTCTTGCCCTCCCACGCCTTGGCAACCTCCTGCCACGTCTTGTCGTTAGGGTCGAAGCCCGCGCTGTGGTGCAGCTCGCCCTTGAAGTCCTGCAGCCCGTCGATGTCCGGCCACTTCCACCGACTGAGCGAGCCGAGCGCAGTAAGCAGCACATCCGCGCTGTCTTCGATCTCCTCGGGCACACCGGTCTCGGGGTTGGGTCGGCGCACGCGGACGTGCCACTTGCCTGCAGATTCGTCGTACTGCGCGTGAATGACTTCGTGCTGGAGCTTTATGTAGCGCATGAGCTTGTACTTGTCCACGACACCTTGCAGGTAGTCGCGAATCTCGGGACCGGGTGCGTAAAACGCCGACCAGTCTTTCTGTGGGTCGGGTGTCAGCCACTGTGATACTGACGATTTGGACGACGTACCTTCTCTGCAAACGTGAGCTGATACTGTACGAAAGTTAGCTCCCGCTGAGAGGACTGTTCAACGAGTCGCGTACACAGTGCGCCGGAATGTCGCATGCGAGCCCTCTACGACCTATACATCAGCGCGTGATCAAAATCGGAGCCGCACCGAACTTACGGGTACTTGTTGTTGTACCACGTCCCGCCGACGCCTGCGCTCTTCTCGTAGATCGTCAAGTCTACGTTCGGTATCTTCTGAGGGAACCTGCCCGTCGGGCCATTCAGTTCATGTTACCGAACCGTTGGAATGGTAGGATCGACTCACCGTACGCCAGCCGTAATACCGCTGAAGCCTGCGCCGATAACAATGACCTTTACAGGCTTGTACTCGTCGATGCAGAAGTCACCCAGCGTATGCAGCTGGGGGTCCGCATCAGAGCTGGAGGGGTGTGAGTGCGAAAATCCGTTGCTGGACATGATAATGCGAATAGGGGGTAGATTGGGATAAGCTGCGAAGAGCGTCCCGTGAGCGCGTATATATACCGTGCAGTCCCCCGCTACACTTTTGGACGTTTGCGATCAGAGGTACGAATACGGAAGAACATATGTGCCTACGCCCATCGTGTTCCCATGACCTGCTGCGAAGCTCCGCCAAACGAAGGGCGTCCAAACCTAACTTGTGCCAGAAGCCGCCATCGTGAGAAGTCATGGGAACGTCCTGGGGCCGTCCCGCCGGCATCATCTCCCTCCCGTGCTCGCGGGCAGGACACGGGTGCGACGATCTGGAGCTGCGCACGGTTGTGTAGGAACACGCACCAACAATCGGTCCTAGAACGCACCGCTGGGCCATATCCTCGCCCAAACGATGCTACAGCGAGGTGCATTTAGTCATCGAGTGGACGAGGAGCTCAAGATGCTGACAGGGGACCATCGCCGGCGCGAGACCGAGCACGTCGTTCTGTACATCACATCAATAAATATGGCTGTTGCTGACCTCGAAAGCGATTGTCGAGACCAAAGTATGTTAATCCAGAGGTACATGCGTATGTTACTCAATGCGCGCGTTGGTAAGCACTGAAGCATGTTCGCGTAATGAGTATGCACTCACGATACGGCAAGTTCTAACGTACCGAGGCGCACCGACGGGAAGTACAGGTTCGCAATGAAGCAGTGGCGTAGGTCCCGACCAGATATACATCCCATCGTTGAAATTCATCAACCACGAGCGCGCCGGCTCAACAAATTCAGCAGTATTTCCTCAAACAATGTGCAGTCACTGATCAAGACAATCGTTTCACACGAGTCAGTAATATTTTGATAGTACTCTGAACGATCCGCATGCGATGGGATACTCACCATCAGCGCGTAGACATTCGCTACCGTAGTACCGTGACGATCTGGTTACGGAACTTCCAGTTGTGCCAGTAATTCAGTGCGAGTTCGATGCACCGCTAGCCGCATAGCCTCGGGTGGACATCAGCGTAGGTTGGAGGCACACATGGATGAACCCCGACAGTTGAAGCCCTCAAGCGACAAGTTCCAAGCGAGCCCAAGTTCAAGTAGTGTTCAACGTTGCAGACGCCTCCGGATCGAGCAAGAGGCCTAAGAGCCTGCCCTAAGTCTCGGGCGCTTATCCAAATGCGCGATGGGGCCCGTTGGCGCCCATTCACAACGGTGGATGCTCTGTCTAACTCTCAATGTTGCCGCTGGGGACGCCACCATACTATGGCACTCCTGGAACTTTCTTGAGGTAGCGAGAAATGGTTCATCAAAGACATAATGTTGCGATACAGAAGGTGCGATGACCAAAAGAAACGGATGACGGGGACACTCATTCCTACACCACCGCGAACTGCCAGTGCAAACTAAGTACTCAAAAGTTTGGACGACGCGCATGGTGTACATGACATTGATAAAAGTACGCCTCATTCACAAATGATATACACAAGTTTAATAATCGATAAGAAAATAGACTAGCCTCTCTGCCTTGTCGCCGTCGTGCGCGGGTCAAAGGTGTACGTCGGCACCGTCGCGGTGGTAAACTCGGTGGCCGTGCTGGTCACCGTGCGCGTCCCCGGCACAATCTCCGTCTCGGTCGACGTCGACGAAACCGAGCGGGTGCTGGTAACCACTGGCGTCGTCGTCGTCCTCTCCACCGAGGTGCGGGTGCCGGTAGAGGTCGTCGTAGAGGTGGACGTAACGGTGCTAGTGCGCGTGACGGTGGTGGGCGAAGTGGTCGTCGTGGTCGTCGTGCTGGTGGACGTCTGCGTCACCGTGCTAGACTCCGTGGTGGTCGTGTCGTCGCGCTTGTCGTTTCTAGCGGCCAAGGTCACGGTGGCGAACACGGTGGTCGTGTCGACAAAGAAGGTGGGAATGTATGTCGTCACGGTTCTAGTCGACTGAGCGCTGCATGCTGTAGGAGAGTTGAGCTCGGGTGACACAGACGACCACAAGGATCACTCACAATCAGCTCCCACCCCGGTGGAAGCGGCAAGCGCGACGGCGAGCAGGGATATGATCTTCGACGACAGCATATCGCGCTGGTGCGGGGTGCGAAGGGTAGTGGCGGCGTATGTGCCACGATCGATGAGAGGGGGCGATGAACTTCCTGGTGGGTGACCGTTCAGGTTCTTATACCGCTGTTCAAAATCGATGCTCACCGCGGCGGCCATGAACTTATAGCATGACTGCACTCTCAGCGGACAGGCGAAGCACGTCATCGCCAGCCGAGCGTTGTCTTTGCTTGCCCTGATCATAGGACGCCCTTCCCGCCGCACTCGATGACAGGCTCCGCGCACGGTCGACGCACGCTCCTGACCCCGCATGGCTCGGCGATGGCAGCCGTGGACGTGCCACTCCAGGTCCCGTCTCGAGCGATACATCCGCAGGCCCGTGCACGACACTCTCAATCACGCCAAGAAAGGAAAGAATCCTCCTGGAGTTGTAGCACACCCCCCGCGCGTACGTTCAGACCTACGTCTGCGATGGAGTAGGACCCTGCATTCAACGAACGAAATGTTTGCGGGGCGAGGCGCCCCTTAGATTATTGGAGTATGTTGCCGCTTCCGTTGCGATACTTTGCTGACGAGCCCCTTTCCAGCCTCGTCGCTCGATTTCCGCGTCCGCTCCAACCTTCGGTACCGACGTACCCCAGCCCGTCCCAGCACCGAATGCTTGTGTCGAGCCCACTGCACTGTTATTTTCATGCGCAAGCCATTTCGATCCTGATCGGCCGCGTTCGTCATCGCAATAGGAGCTCCGCCCCGCTGGACCCGCCCACTTCCAAATCGAGGCGGCCTGCCGCCCCCGAGAGAACCCGCCCCATATTACCCTATCCGGACATTGGTGACTCGGACGAGTACTCGCCGCTTTCCTTCGTGCCGTTGGGACTGCGATCCTGCAAAGCGTACTGCTGGGATACATTGTCGCCATATCTTGCGCTGCATTGATCACCAAGTTGTCAGAGCAGCCGCTTGCGGGTTTGAATTGGTGGGTCGTTTCCCCCTAAAACGCCCCAACTACCGCTGAGCGCTGACAGCGAGTGACCAGCATCCGCCTCAGCCACTGTCAACGTTCGAACGCATCCGCCCGCCGCTCGACATGATGCGTCTGCCCCCGGGCTCATGTGGTTGACGGACAGCATACGGAACGCTTGGCCACCACGTCAGTGGTGCAAGGGATCTAGGACTTGGCGGCAGGATAGATCACGAAAGAGACGTGCGGCGGACCCTGTCGGCCATGACGCTGGCACCGCTTCGTCGGCCTGCTTCTCGCCACAGCACGTCATCTGAAGGTGCGTGTTCCTTCCGAGTGTACGCGCATCTTAGCTTGCACGAGTGCGGTTCTCAGCGAAGGCAGGCCCACGCACGGGCGATCCATATATATAAGCCAGAACTGCCATTGGGAAGATTCCAAAACGCTTCTTCCCTCTTTCGTCAGTTCACTTGCACGCCTTCCATCCTCCGCATCATGCCCTCCATGAAGCTTGCCATCGTCGGTGCGCTCGCTGCTCTCTTCGTCGGCGTCCAGGCTCAAGGTAAGCATTTTGGCCTGACATGCTCTTCGCCTGCTGACCCATCTCAGCCTACCCAGGTTATCCGGGCTACGCGGGCTATCCCCCTTACCCCGGCTACCCCAACAACGGTCAGGGCACTACCTCAATCCCAACGACGAGCCTCTCCAGCTCGTCCACCAGCTCGAGCTCGAGCTCGTCGACGTCGACGAGCCACTCCAGGTCGCGCCACTCGACCTCGTCGTGCCCGACCGCGTCCACCGTGACCCGCACCATCTCGCCCACCTTCACCTACACCATCACCGAGCGCGCGACCGTCACCGTCGCCCCCGCGCGCAAGCGCGAGCCGCGCCACCCGCACGGCGTGCTCCTCCCCCGCCTGGAGATCACCATCACCGTTCTCGAGACGACGACTTCGCCGGCCACCGCCACCGCGACGCGCACGCTGACGTCCACGGAGACTGACACGGCGACCTCGACGCGCACGCGCACGAGCACCTCGCGCACGACGGAGACGGACACGTCCACGAGCACTATTACGCGCACCTCGACGTCGGTCACTACCACCACTGTGCCCGTCACTCGCTCGCGCACGGTGACTAGCTTCGAGACGGAGACGGCTACGCGCACGATCACTCGCACCAGCACGGTTGGCGAGACGACGGTTAACAGAGCAGGTGGGAGGATGCGCGCCGTAGAGACTGGGGCGTAGACGTTGATGTAGAGATCATATTCTTTGACTCAAACGACTTGTAGCCCGCCTCTAAATTGTATATTATTGTCCAACAATTACAAACGCTGTTCTCTTCATGGCTATTTGTGAAACGGTCGAAACGTAGAATCATATCAAGGAAGGTCTGAGTCGTAATCGTCGCTGTACATGCTGCTTGTACTCCGAGAACCTGAATCACTATCATCGTCGGAGTCCAAGTACCCGCCAACGTAATCTGCTTCAGCAACGTCAGCGCTGTACGCCAGACCCTGCTCTTCCAGCACCGCGTTCAGCATATCCTCGTCCGGCTGCATCTCATCAGGCAACTCCAAATGCATATCCACGTCCATCGTCTCCCCATCGCCAACAGTCACTTCTGATCCGAGCGACGAGTCGTCCGATCTCTCCGCCTCGCTGCATGGGTACGTCCCTTTACGAAGGCACAAGTCGCGCGAGGGCGATAGCACGCCCCACCGTGTCTGCACGGCCCAGTTTCCCAAGAAGACACGGAAAAACACGTCCTCGTCCGACCCGTCAAACGCGGCCGGATGGCACACGATCGGCCAGTCCGGGTGACGTTCCGGCGCGAGGAGGTTCGACGCGAGCCCTGCGGGCTCATAGCACGAGAGTAGCATGCGCACACACCGCAAGCTCGGCAGCCGTGCGAGTTCCTCGTCCACGACCACCGCGCGGAGCAGCGCTGCGATATTGGGTGGGATGTGCGCGTCCTCCTCGTAGCCGGTCTCGTTCGCCCATACGTCGATGTAGCGCAGGGTGGGGTGGTGCAGGGGAAGGGGATGCGCGGGCTTGCTGGCGAGGACGACGTGCTCAAGCACCGGGCACAGCTCCGCCAGTAGGAGCGCGGTATCGTCGCTAGACCTTGCGAACTCGTCCGGCCACCCGAGAAGCCCGGGGTAGATATGTAGGTACCGCAGTTGGCGGCCGTGAGTACGAAGTACCTCATCGGGAGGCTCCGTTCGCCACGACTCGCACTGTAGCAGCGTGAGCTTTTGAAGACGAGGCAGGACCCACGCCGTGCACATGTAGTGCGAGACGCCAGGGAGGCTGTAGTACACGTAGAGTTCTTCTAGCGCATCGAACACCAATACAGGTCGGTGAAAATCGAAGTCATGGTCGAGGAAGAATCGCCCTAGCCGAAGAGATACCAGGGTGTTGACGGCAACACCGAGGAGTGGATGGATGTCCCCGATATGCAGCTCGCACCTCCAGCAGCGATCGACGGGATCAGACGAGAGCACGTCCAGCGCGCGTAGGCTAGAGCTGAGTCGCTCCCGAAAGGCGCCGTTGACCGAGCTCTCTGGGAGTAGCATGAGCTGAGATTCTTGGTTTTCGTCAACAACCATCACCAGTGGGAGCAGCCAGGAAGGCGTACATTCCACCAGCTGATACTCTGCAAGTTGGTTGGCGTATTCTAACATGGAAAATGCGGAGCTGGTGTGGAAATGGCAGGTGGAAAGCCTAGTGCAGCGAAGGAGAATGAACGCCAGATCCTGTTTAACGGCATCGACGTCCTGGGCAAGAACGGGGAACGCGTCCATTCCAATGTGCCTTATCAGGCTAGAGAGATCGCGCTCGCGTACCCCATGTTCGTGAGAGCCGGGGTCCGTGACGCATGAGCGCAAAGTGTTCGCAAGAGCTTGGACGACCCCTACGCGACGGAGGGTGATGTCGAAATACAATACCTCTGTGGCAGGGCCATTCCAGGCGCGGCATACGCAAGGGAGCGACCTCCTGGTCCCAAGCAACAGCCGGCTCCAAGAGGAGTTCCTGCCTTGTGAGATTGAGTGGTCGTATTCGTGCGAGGCGGGGATACTGGCGAAGAATATTTGTAGGAGAATCTCGCACGGGAGAACCGCCGCGTTGTTTGCTCTAGGGAGGGGCAAATCCACGGTGTCATAATCCTAGGTAACAACATCGTCGTCAGTTAATGGTGAGAGGCTGAGTAATGCACCGTTTCAAATCATACCAGCAGTTGCGCCATTCTCAAGGTTGGAAATTGAAAACGCGAAGAATGAAGCCAGCGGCACAGCCCGTCGCAAGTATAAGAAACCCCAAGACCAACGTAGGTACATACGACACCAGAGTAATAAGATATCACGCGTCGACGAGATGAGGGTCAGGAGGAGAGGGCCACTACCGATTGCCGCCCGTTGCCTTCCTTTTGTTTTTGTATATTTGGCTGTTAACGCGGTTCAACCAGGACCCCCGCCTATGCCGCCAAAGGTCCGATCGCAAAACCCTCGGATTTGACCACATTTATCAGCATACCTTTTCGGGATTATATACAGCATGATTATGGTACATACCCCTTTGACGGTCGTTTTTATCAGCATGGCGATCGGACCTCGTGCAGCATAAGGGTTCGATTTGTCTAGTCTCCTGGGTAGACGCAGGCTCCAACCAGCCGCTGCTTCGAGGTAAGGGGCTAATCCAAGTAGCGTAGACATATTTATTCCGACATACCCAGGCCAGCGCTTATCCGTACAAATACATCACGTGCAAACTCTCCCAACCTTAATTCCCCTTACTTCTCAGCAGCGGCTGGCTTCAAATACGAACAAACAACGGGGCTCGGTGGTCGAGTGCCCGCATTCGACCCCATTTGGAGTGCCATCAACCGGGGGCGCTTCTGAATTGTCGTATTTCTAGTTCTCGCGCATCGTCGCGCATCATCGCGCCGCGTCGCGCGTCGTCCGCTCTCTGCTCGCCCTGCTCTTCCGCTTGTATAGACGTCTCCTATGCCCTCCGCGAGTGGAGTTTAATACAAAGTAGTAGTGTATGCGTAGATCGCGCTGAACGCGTTGCACCTGGTCCCTCTTAGGACTGTGGAAACTGCTCCTCAGCGGTATCAACCCCTTCTGGCTCCGCTTCAGAATTAAACCGTCCCCCACGTCGGTATGACTGCGAAGCATGTCAACGGGGGTTTTGATGAGTTTATAGACACCCACAAGTGGCATTTGAGGACAAGCAAGCCGCAGCTTTGTGGACGCGTAGAATTGCAGCCCGCGTACGAGTTCTGATTGCTTACATGGTCGTGTTCCTCGTCAAACGGACATTGTGTGGCTTCGCGTTTCCCAAATCACACTTTCACAGTGCGTTTAGTCCGCGAAGATATTTTTAAACCGGACACAGTAAGTTTTGTGGTGTTTCCGGGTGCGGTATGTCTGTAGGCATTCCAGTGTCTTGTGTTTCGCGCAAAGCCCCGCGTCTCCCAAAAGTCCATCGCAAACAGATGAGATTGTTTCACCGGATGCTATACTTATATCTCAATAGCTACAGTCCGCCAAGTATGAGGACGCGAGCGGAGAGCTCGCTGCGCAGACGACGCGCGACGCGGCGCGATGATGCGCGACGATGCGCGAGAACTAGAAATACGACAATTCAGAAGCGCCCCCGGTTGATGGCACTCCAAATGGGGTCGAATGCGGGCACTCGACCACCGAGCCCCGTTGTTTGTTCGTGTTTGAAGCCAGCCGCTGCTGAGAGGTAAGGGGAATTAAGGTTGGGAGAGTTTGCACGTGATGTATTTGTACGGATAAGCGCTGGCCTGGGTATGTCGGAATAAATATGTCTACGCTACTTGGATTAGCCCCTTACCTCGAAGCAGCGGCTGGTTGGAGCCTGGGGTAGACGTACCGTGGAGCAAGCTCAACAGACCGTTTTGTCCAGCATATGGAGATCGTACCCCCAAATGCGAGCCCAGTGCTGCCCAGTGGGTACCGTTCTGCTCAGTCTTCCTCGACAGCCGCCGGCAGATACAGGTAGGCCGGCCGGGCAGCTGCCTCTTTTGTCAGCATACTAACGGATCGGACCTGCGGCGCCCTAAGGCCCATTATACAGCACATATTATCGGACATAGCTAGCCATAAGGGCCCAATATACCGCATAATTATCGGACATAAGGCCCCTTTATAGGCCATTTTGTACAGCACTATTATCGGACCTCTTGCAGCATAGGCGGGGGTCCTGTTCAACCGCGCGACGAACCTGACGAAGGCTTCTCTGGAGCGTCGATACCACAAACTTGACTGAAAACAGGAACCAAGCCCACATAACCAACATGTCAGCTCGCGAAAAAGAGGTGTGCTGGCTACTAGATGCCTCCGAGATTGTAGCTGAAGATGCCGACTCTTGATAGTCCTCGTCTCTTCAAGCAACGGATGGCACACGATCCGCGTTCCTTGACCTCCCAGACGAGATTCTACTTCAGATCTTCCGGGATATCCCGCTTGTCAGATATGAATGCGACCCCTCTGTCCTCCATGTCGGCCATAGCCCCTGGCTGGAAGCTCTCCGGACAATGAAAGCTCTCACACTCGTTTCCAAGGCGGCCTTGGGCCCCGCTAGGACGGTCCTTTACGAGGACATTGTACTTCGTCGAATGGGTCAGATACCAGCACTCGCCCGCACCCTGCAAGCCTCACGCGAACATGCACTCCCCGGCGACGTCGCACACTTGGTACGATCTATCCGGATCGACCAGTGTCCTATCTTGGTATCGTGCAAACAGGCGATATACGATAGCCTCGGCGTCATCCTGGAAAGATGTTCTCAGCTCCGCTCGTTTACATATCATCCTCACCGTCAATTCCCCTTCGTAGACTACGTCGCCGGGAAACCCGATGCTTTCGCGGCAGACGGGTTCTTCAACCCTATATGGCTCGTAACGCGAAGCGGACCACTTCTACGACCTCTTTCGACGACCCTCAGAACTCTCGACCTTTCTATCCCCTTCTCCGAGAAGACACTTATCGCAATCCATGGTCTCCTCGGCAGCGCGTCCGCGCTCGCCTCACTGAAGCTTTCCGCGACCAGTTTCGTACGCCGCTTCGACGTCTTGGGACCTATAAACATGCCCGTAATCCGACTTCCCACCCTCACGAGCCTGGAGATCGAAGGAAACCATCCAAGGCTTCCGGAATATATCGCATCCCGATGGGAAATGCCCCAGCTTAGGGAACTCACGCTCCTCAGATGCAGCGCATATCCCACCACTCTCTTCCACACCCTCGGGGCTCATCTCACCTTCATCCACATCTACTTCCTTCATCTCTGGACTGGTAACCCAGACGCCATCCCCTCGTTCAGCAAGGAGCAAATCGAGAATCTCCCGCGCTTATGTCCCGCGCTCGTGCATCTAATCATCCCCGACCCGCAGTGTGGCCCCCTAACCCTCCGCTCGTCCACCCTCCAATTCCTAGATGTCTGGGTCGCGAGCGTGGACACCTCCGCGCTTTCTTCTCCCGAGCTCGCGTGCGTCGCGGCGCGCGATCGACTTCTCAGTCCCGCGAGCGACGTCCCGGCTCTATCTCGCGCGCGACTACTGTTAACGACATTTGTTCCTTGGCACTCTCAGTCGATGCTGAGGAGCAAGGGTCGCCAGCCGGATTGGCCGCGCATTTGCCATCCGACCCTTATCCCGCGCGATTCACACGAAGTCCTGTTCTTTCGCTTTCCCGGGACCTGGGTCGCGCAGTTCGCCTGGGGTTTCGGATACGCAGAGCACCCCCAAATGGTGTTGCCTAATCCTACGGCACTCGGCGACTCGCCGCGAGCAGGGACACCCGATTCGACGCTAGAGGACGCTGAAAGCTCTTCCGACGAGTATGTTGTCAACAGCTCTTCCGAAGACTCTGACTCGGACTCCGATCAAGGAGGCGTGGATGATCTGGAGAATCTGGACTTGGACCCCCCAAACTACCAACAGTACCCCGCCGTCCTTCGATTCCACGATCTTAATAATATCGACGCCGAGCCCCAACTCGACTCTCCAGCCATTCTCGACATGTTCGCGCGTAGCCACGACACGCAGTACCACGCGGATGCACTCTGGGATCCGGATGACTGACCGTTGACTCAGTAGCACTGCGAGCGACTTACAATACTAGCATATGCGGCACTTCGGACTCGCTTTCGCTTCTCTTTGTCTATATTTGTTTGGTCTGTTATGCGACTGAGTGTTAAGCGGATTGGGGCTCCTCTACAATCCGCTAACACTACTACCAATTTCAAGCAGTCGTTCTTCATGAACATGTCACAGCCCTCTGACCAGACCGTGCCTTCTGCTGAGGGCTCGGACTACCCACAAAAGGTCTGCATCGGTGTTCTAGCTTTACTACTACCAGCACCGTCTAACTTCGAACGATAGATAATTTCAAATCAGCGACAAGACGAGACCGAGGAGCTCGATCTCCTTGTAACTCAGCTTCTCGCTCTCGAAGCAACGGTATGTCACTTCGCAGTCTCTTTTGAGGGCCACAGAGGACCAGTGCGACAGCTAATGTCGACTTTCACCACACAGTCTACGCCTGTGCAAGTGACAGACGAATCAGATAGCACGAGAGTCGTGTTTACTAGCCTCCCGAACGAAATCATACTACACATCTTCAAGGAGACGACGCCTCCATGGCACGAATACGATCCCTCCACCATTCAAGGAGCTCATAACCCATGGCTTGAGGCACTCCGGACCAGGAAGGCCCTCTCACTCGTATCCAAGTCTACTCTTGGCCCGGCCAGGATAGTTCTCTACGGAGACATCGTGATACGTCGCATGGGCCAGATACCAGCACTTGCTCGCACTCTGCGGGTCACTGGTGACGGTACCTTCCACGGCGATGTCGCACACCTCGTGCGATCAATCCGCATCGAGCAATGTCCTGTCCTGGCGACGTACAAACAAACGATACGCGAATGCGTCAGCGTCATCCTGAAACGATGCACTCAACTCCGGTCGTTCTCGTATCACCCCCACCCCGCGTTCCCCTTTATAGACAACGTGCCCGAACTCGACCCCGAAGTTGTGGACGGATACTACTACAACCCTATGTGGCTCGTATCCCGAGATGGGCCACTCCTGCATCCTTTGTCATCGACGTTGAAAAGCCTCGTTCTTACTATCCCTCTCTCCCAGACCACGGTCACAGCGGTCCATCACCTCTTCCACAACACATATACACTGTCCTCCCTAGTGCTCGCTGCAACCGAAATCGAGCGCGACTTGAACCTCCCGGAGCTTATGCGCTTTCCCGTCATCCGGATGCATTCCCTCTGCTCCTTAGAGATCGATGCGGGCTATCCGGACCTTCTGGAATATGTCGTCTCCCGATGGGAAATACCCTGCCTCACGCAGCTCACTCTCCTCCGATGCACCGAATACCCCACTTCTTTCCTCCACACATTCGCGGCACATCTCACCTTCCTCCACTTCTACGTCTGCACCCGCCGAGCCATCCGTTCATTTAGCCAGGACCAGATCGAGAACCTACCGCGCGTATGCCCCGCACTCGTACACCTGGTGATCCCCGAGCTGCAGTGCGGACCGCTGACGCTCCACTCATCCACCCTGCAATTCCTCGACGTGTGGGCCGTCAGCGTGAGGGCCTCGACGCTGTCTTCCTCCGAACACGCATGCGCTGTAGTGCGCGCCCGGCTGCTTAACCCTGCGAGCCACGTTCCATACCTCCATTGCGCCCGGCTCCTGTTGACGGTGTACACCTCGTATCCGAGGAGCGACCTGCCTTCACTGGAGACTTGTTTCCGCGGCCCTGACTGGCCGCGCATCTGCCACCCAACCCTCGTCTCGACCAGGTCGCATGGCCCTCTCTTCATACGCTTTTCTGGGACATGGGTTGCGCAGTTCGCATGGGGTCTCGGGTCCGCGGATCACCCCAAAGTAAGACGTCGCAAGGACGAGGAGGGGTACACGGAAAACTGGCCCTCCATCAATCCTGCGCTGCGCATGGACGACTGGTTCAATCGGGTGCTCCGGGAAAGTGATCGCAACGTAGGCATAGCGCATGACTCCGACTCGGACTCTGACGACTCTGACGATGAAAAACGTGGGGTGGATGCCGAAGAGGCCCTCCTGCGATCTCAGCAATACGACTCTCACGAGTCAGACTCCGGCTCCGATGGGGAGTCGGCTTCTGGGGACGACCGCGAGGATCCTGAAGCCATCTTAGACGAGTTTACGCGCAGTCAGAACACTCGGTATCACATGCACTCACTCTTGGACACAAATTGATGGCGATAGACCACATACCTTCCGTACTCTACTGGCAGTGTATCCCTCCCCCACCGGCAGGAGCTATCAGTGTAGCGGTATAAGTTCGCAGCAATCCGGGAGAGCGCCATGAAACTGATCATACATGTCTCGGCCATCTTACAATGTATATACACTGTTCCTGTAAGTTGGTAAACCTGGTTTCTTGTCCTCGTCGTCAGCGGCATCATGTGCTCAAACAGGAATCGCCGTGGTGTAAGCCCAGACCGACCCAGGGGAACGTCTGATGTCCGTCACCTTCCAGCCCGCCAACAACGCCAGCTCAGACATCTCGCTGACCGTGCGCTCCTTCGCCCCGAACATACCCATCATCTGCCACTCGCATCGTCAGCTCGCAGCACGCGTGCCGGGGCCCACAGTAAGACGTACCATGATATCGATCAAGTACCCGTGAATGTTCGCTACCCCCAAGTTCGGCAGGATAGGGGAGTCTTCGCCAACGAACGCGCCGTCGTCGTCGCACGCGTAAGGGAGGAGCATGTCGCCGATGAGGAGCTTGGTGTTCGGCCCCGCCGCGGAGCGCAAGAGGCCGAGCATCCTATGATGTGATATGCGTAAGGTGTGACGACGACTGGCTACAAGGCTATTCACTTTTTGGAGTCTTCGTCTTGCCAGTCGTGCAGAACGAGCCGGAGCAGGAAGACATTAGGCGCCTTCCCAGACGCGAGTGGCTCCCATGGTGCGAAAAGGTCACGAGCGCGGAACGACATTCGTCCAGACTCGAACAACGGTGCGTACTTCGGACCCCACGACTGCGAGGTCCAATTGAGTGAGCGCTGCTTCGCAGACAGGACACAGGAGGGGCACACATACCGCAGGTGCGATCTCGACGACTTGCGGCCTATCCTCCACTACCACTCTGACATGAGGATGGGCCTGCGCGACAGTCAGGGAGGTAGAACCAATCCCTCCTCCGACATCGACGAGGACGGAATCGGGCGGCAAGTCCGCCCATGGGAATCCTGCGCCACGGCTCCTCAGCAACTGCAACAGCCAATCGTACGCGACTCGACTCACCAAAGAGAACGCCCTCCTTCGTCTCCCACTGCCGCGTCCCGGTCATCGCATGCCCGAAGCGCTCCAGTCGGCTACGGTTCTCCGGGAGCTCCAGCCATGGGAAATAGCCGAGCTTCGTGTCGAAGGCGAGGTTGAAAGGCGCGACGTACGACACGGCGGTGCTTTCGTCCTTCGCACTCGACTCCGTAGCCTGGGCGTGGTCGAATCCACCTTTCGCATCTACGACGAGGCTACCTGCTCTAGTGTCCGGGAGGAACCACTCCGTCATGTACGCCATAAACTTGAAGGCCTCGTCTCCGCTGCATGTCGGACCGGGTAAGTATCATTGAGCCGATAAATATTCCGGCGGAACGCGTAACTCACGTGACACCAACAAAGGCAGCTACGCCGTCGGTGTCGAGGTGTTTCTTGCTCGGCCTACGCGATAATCAGATTGGGGTACAGGTACGCAGCATATCAGGACTCACTCGGCACGCAGCTGCTCGACAGTCTTGCCAGTATCGATGTACGAAGACCGCCTATTGTTCGCAAACGTATCAGGGGCTACCTCCTGCAGCCAATGTGACGTAGCAAGTAGTCTCAGAACATGGCCTGGCACGCTACGGTCAGGAATCCTCCGTGATACGCAACGAGTAGGCCACCAACCTAGTCTAGCCGGAGTGAAAATGGCGGGGTCCGGATGGGCGTTTTGGGGGCGCAGTTCCGCAACCGCACGGTGGATATCACGTACGTGCAGCCCTTGGGGACCCGCCTCCCGAAGGATCTCGGGGATGTGAGCGGCCTCTAGGAAGCGAATGGCCGCAGACAGTTGACCCTAAGTAGAGACGTGAGAACGACCAAGGAGAGACGGAAGGAATCAGTCTTACAGCCTGAATGGCTTCCATGAGCCCGTACCACGGCTTGTTGACCGTAGCGCTGAGTTGGCCGCATGCCGCGACGATCTTCTTCGATGCAAGCGACACGGCCGGGTCGTCATCCAGCTGGTGTGCGAGCGACTCTTCCTCCGAGTGCGTAGCAGAGGTGTAGTACGGATCTTCGAGGCGGGGGAAGTGCAAGGGCTCGGACTGAGATCGGTCGGCGTAGATGCGCTCGAGGTCATCGATCGCATTGCCGATGGAGGCATGAAGTGCTCGGAGGGCGGAGAAGCTCATACTGGGCCGCTGATGAGCTACGTAGTGCGTCTGGACAGTCGCATTTATATGCCTCGCAAAGCGCCTGGGGAGCAATATGTCAGGCAGTGGTGCGGCCGCTTGTTCGGTATTCCACACTTGCAGCGAGCGTTTAATATGCCGCAGATAAGACACCTAGACACGAAGTTGGATCTTCTAATGCAGCGCGAGCGTCGCTGAAAACGTACTGAGATGGTCACGCGCATCGCCAAAGCGGCAGTGCCTGTTCTGCCATGTTGCGAGGCTTCTACGCGTGCCTGTTACCCCATCTGGATTGTCAACGAAGGGCCTCATTCTACCCCTTCTCGTACACAAACGAAGGAACCGCGCGGACTTCGCTTATGCGGGTGGTCACACGGGCAGCGCCGTCCGATGATAGCTTGCTTCTCAGAAGCAAGAAGCAACGGCGTTGACGCGTGATGACGCACTGCATGTTTGTACGAGAGCCGCGCGAGACTGAAGAAACATACCACCGGTGCACCTCACATGCTCATTACTCAGCGGAGCGACTCAATAGCCCCTACGCCGAGGTACGAGGAAATGGCGAAGGTTAGAATGTATAGCATTGGGTCCAAAGCGTGAAGATTAGACGCATCACAACATCTTCAAATCCGAGGGAGACGCGCATGTCAGCTGCAGATTATCGAACTGGATGCATCACTCACAGCTCTATATGCGGGCATGGGTATCTATGGGTTCTTGCTGTCCACCAAGGTCTGTGCACCCCCAGGAAGCTTCACGGGCACAGGTGCAACGGTGCCAGGCGCGAGAGGTTCCTTGGACTGTGACGGTTCTCCAAGCATATGCCGAACCGCTGTCGAATTCAGCAGCTTCGCGTAGCGGGGTTGGATGAAAAGCGCGCTGGAAGCTTGTGTTAGAAACCATGTGCAATTGGAAACACGTCAGAATCTATACACAACACACCTTGCTTCCACTAGGACGTTACCCGCCATGTCCTCGACCGTTCCGGATACACGCGCTTTGCGGCCCTGCGCCTCGTCAAGTCTTACCTTGATGACAATAAATTGGTGGGCGAGGGTGGGCGCCTTGTAGTTGATGTTCAGGTTGGCGGTCACGCCCACTTTCTCCGGGAGGTTCAGCAATGCCTGTGGTATGGCATAAACATGACGTTTTGCGGATGGGAAATCACGCAAGTCACTCACCACGCGTGCCAGGCTCTCATCCAGCAGTGTCGCAAGCAGTCCTCCATGTATCACACCTTCATGTCCACACAGCGCCCGACCGACATGGATGAATATCCAGTTCTCCGACGCGTCGTGGCGAGAGCGGACCAGCGGAGGGACAGCGAGCTTCCCAGGGCCCTTCAGCGTCCCAGCCGTCAGGCTGTTCACGCGGCGCTCCTCCGGTAGGTTGAGATACGGTCGCGCCTCGTACCATTGATCCTTGTCCGGCCGCGCGCGGTGTGCCTCCAGCAGGGGGAGGTGGTTGAGTTCCTCTTCGAGCTCCGCGATGTGCACGAGTGCTGCGGGGTCGTCAGGGCGGATTGGGGGCGGCGCAGTTCGTGGCGACAGCAGGTGCGCGAATTCTGGAGGGTAGAGCGCGCCAAGGTAGTAGGAGACCGTCGCAATAGTGCTTGCCCCAGCCAAGAGTCTGAAGTTCCTCCATAGCGGTGACGGGGAAGAAGAGGCTGTCGACGTCGACGACCGCCGCGCAGCAGGGGATGTTCTATGGCGGGCAGCGCTGGTAACATGGCGCCTGAGTGTGGAGAACATGGTGGTACGAGGACAGAGAGGGACAGGCTCGAACGATCATGCCTGCCGCCACCAGTACTGGCACAACGGTGATCGGCCCCATTCCGGTCCGGAGACTTTCGAGAGCGGTATTTGTACATGTTAGGATCCAAAGCTATTGGCCTCAAAGAAATTGCCATAAACGGACTACCTATCATCCTCATGTCGCCGTCGAAAGTGTTACACATAAGTTTTAAGATGAATACGAACCTCGTGAATGCCATCAGGTGGAGTACCTAAACAGTAATCTTTGCTAGAGCAATTCTATCTTCATTTTGCGGCCTTCTCTGCCTGGATCTCCGCCATCCTCTTCGCCCTCGCCGCACGCCACGCCGCCGCCATATGCAACACATCGTCCCAGCCCGACGGCTGCGGATCCGGCACAGCGACCAATATCTTCGGGAACATCGCCGAGATATACCTTCCCACCGCCTTCGGGTCCGCAATGCGATACGACTCCATCGTAAACAGATGCAGCAGTCCATGCGTCCCCATCTTGTATGGGGGCGGCGGGAGGGGCGCGGCACAATCGATGTGGCTCAGGATGAACGAGCGCAGGCGCGGACAGTGCTGCGCAAAGTGTGCGAGGGCGCGCACGGGGGGCGTCGCCCCGCCCGCTCGCGCGTTCCACATGAGCGCGAGGGAGTGCACCTTCGGCCACGCGCGCGCCATGCGCTCGAGGTCGCGCTCGGTTACTTGGTACCCGCTGCGTGGTGCGCGGACGGCGATGTGCTCGAGAGTTGGTATGCTGAGCAGTGGCTCGACGAGCTGCGCGAGCGTCTCGCGCGTGTTCCAGCGTGTAGTGATGTCGAGGACGCACGATGCGAGAGCGGGCGCGTGTCCGCGGGCGCGCAGGGCTTCGAGGGGACGGCGGTAGGTCTCGCTCAGTTCGGGGATCCCGTTGGGGTAGAAGATGGTGAGGCTGCGCAGCTCCTCCAAGGGATTCAACATGTTGAAGAGGCGCGTCAGGTGGGCGGAGGGGCTGGTAACTTCGAGGCTAGATAGATGGCGCAGGCCGACGATGGGCGTGTCGAGCTCCTGTGCGTTAAGGAGGAAATTGATGACGAGGCTCTCCAGTGCCTTCAAAGACGAGGCGATCGTGCGCACAAACTGCGCGTCCACAGGCGTATCGCGACAGTGGAAGCTCGTCAAGCGTGTGAACCGCGCGACCGGGGCAAGACACAGCGGGTGCACCGAGGTGATCAGCTCCAGAGTTTGCAGATGCGGGACGCGCTCGGCATACATCCCGAGCATCTTCTCGACGTGCTTGTCCCCAAGGCTCCTCGTGGACGGATCGCGCAATGCCGCCATCTTCTCGTTTCGGGGTATCCACTCGAGATCGTCGGGGAGGGTGATACAGTCGAGCACGATGTGGAGGAGCTCCAGCTTGTCCGTTCCCACAAGCAGTGCGGCGGTGTCTGTGGGGGATGCGGGGAGCCATGTGAGCTCCTTCAGCCCGGGGAGGAGTGGTGCACCGTTGTTCCACTTTGAGAGCTGGGAGACGATGTGCGGCGTGACAGACGCGATCTTGGGGAAGTTCAGGACGCGAACGCGCCGAGCGTATTGACTGAATCTAGCCCAGTCCTTGGGCGACAGCTCTCCCTTCAAAAGCTGGGTTTCGTTGGTTAGGGAGACGATTCTCGAGGACTTTACAGAGATCTGGAACTCACATACAAGGTATCGTCATTCGGGCCACCTCCTTGCCTGACAGGGCCCTTCCGCTTGACCTTCGTGGGAACAAAGCAGGACAGCAATCGCAAAAGAGGGACAAGGTTGTCCAGCCGCCACCAGAGCGCACTGAGCGCAGGATCGCAGAACGTTCGGCATACAAGGGAGCAGCGGAGAAGGGTCGATCGCAGGTCGACCTCCATCTCTAGCCGTTGGCCGAAGTCGACATCTGCCTCCTCGACGTCATCGACCATCGTCATAAACAGATGCGAGAGCACATCGGCGTGCAGCAGGGCGCGATGCGTGGCCATAAGGACGCTCATTGCAAGACGACAAATAGGCTGCACACAATTAAGGTTGGGGTGTAGAGCAATTGCAAAAGTTGCTGGCGATGATGGTGGTATGGGCGCAAAGTCGATCGTACCGTCGATCGTCGAGATGATCGTGGGGATGGATCTCGCTTAAGGCACGCGCGGGCATTCAACGTGCGTGTCACTTATGCCATCTATAATCGCGCGACATTGCATAAAAGGAGGGCTTATATCATCACTCGAATTTTATACAACAAGCACAATGTCTCTATTCGAGTCGGTCCGAGATCACTTGGGGCTGACAGTGACAGTGGGGACATTGTCCGTCACCGTAGTAGTGGTAGTCGCCGAGCTCGTCTTCGTCACCGGCACAGTCTCCGTCGTGCTCGCGAACTTCGTGCTCGTAACCGTGCTAGTCACCACCGGGTTCGTCGTCGTGCGCACAGTCGTCGTCGCCAGCACGGTGCTCGTCGTAGTAGTCGTCGTCGAGAACGTCGCCGTGCTCGTGACGGTCGCGGTCGCCGGCACGGTGGACGTGCGCGTCGCGGTGGTAGTGACGACCTTGGTGCTGGTCGAGGTGGAGGTGACCGTCTTCGGGGCCGCCGCGTCCGCTGCGCGCTTGGCGTTGGCGGGGACGGTGGTGGTGGCGAAGACCGTCTTGGTGGTGGTGACGGGGCGGGTGGAGGTTATGGTGGTTGTGCTGGCCTGGCACTTCGACGAAGCGGCAGCGCGAGCATCGAGGTCTGCGTCAAATAAGTAAGTTGGAATGGTGATGAAGTTGGGAAACCACGTACCGTTCACCGCACCGGCAGACGCGAGGAGCGCAGCGGAGAGGACAGCGATGATCTTAGCGGCGAGCATGATGAGATGATGTGGTATGGGAAGAGGAGTTGGTATGGGTGTGTGAGTTTGTAAGAGTGGGAGATGTTGGTGAGGATTGTGGGTGAACTGGCACCTCCTCTTATACACCACACGCACATCCGACGGTCTCAAAGGGCGGATACGGTACTCACCTTTGGGAAACGGACTTCGTCGAAACCTGTCCGAGTCTTTCCAGTGAGCATCCAGGAAATTGGCGGTCGACACTCACGGCGGCGACCTCGGACTCGGATACCCAGAGTGATCGCGCTATGATCGAGGAGTCACTGAGCGGACCGCGAAGGCGGGAACGTGGCGACGCACCGCCGTCGTGCCCCAATCGGGAAACCGTCGGTAGTCAACTCAGTGTGCCAGCCTGTGTCAGCCAATGGCGGCGAACCGATGTAGCTTTCCGACGTCTCGATCGCAACGTCAGACGCCCCTAACTGGCACCGCGGAAGAAGAGTGGCTGGGTATTGGCCTGTGTTGGCACTTCCGGCGCCCAAGTTATTGGTCTTGCGGCGTTCTAAGCGTGCGCACGCCAACAAGAGGTGTCAAATTCACCATGGTCGTTCCGAGTCCGTCCTTCCCATGTGGGCTACCACATGGCCGGGCGTGTTGTGCATGAAGCTGTCGGTATCCTCCGCTCTCTCGATCGCTGCCCACGAGGAGGGGAGCCGTCGCGGCTACCGCCCTGCAACGTCGGATGTCCGCATCCATGGGCCGCCGCCGCTTTCTGGTTGGGCTGTACAGACACGTTGTCCAGATCCACTGCCGCGATTCCGGGTAGGCCCGCGCCATGTGGGTGGCTGGCTCGTCGGATGTAGCGTGGACGAAGCACTCGGTGTTCTCGGTTCCCCCGATCGCTGCTCACGGAATGCGGAGCCGTCACGGCTACTCGCGGATAACCTCGTCCAGTACCATCGAGAGAAGCAGTCGGTACGGTTCGAGCGTGAAGCGTCGCCATCTCATCGGTCTTCACAGAACGCAAGTAGCTCGAGGACCGCGGATATGCTGGCTTTCTTGCATCCTGGTTGGGCAACGATGTCTTCTCATACTCGGATGTACCGTGAACGGCGATGGCGCCCAGCGGAGGTACGAATACGGAGGCACTGCGCACTGGGTGTCAGTGTCGGACCCATAGGCAGCACTAAGGATTTCGTACCTTCGCCGTGAAAACTGGACGCAGAGCGGAAGTGGCCTACGAAGCATATAAGCAGCAGGAATCTGCGTCTAATCCTCACCAACATCTTCATCCACTCATCCACTCAACCGCTCAACCACTCTCCTACCGCACCATCTTCATCATGCTCTCCACCACTCTCATCACCGCCTTCACCCTCTTCGCCACGGTGGCTCAGGTTCAGGGTGAGTCCGCCTCGCACACTTCGCACACTCACCCTTACTAACCTTCCCTCGCAGGCGCCACCATCCCCGCTCCCGCTGCCTCATCCACCGCGACCCCGTGCACGTCCGTCGTCTTCGTGACCAAGACCGCCATGCCCACCTCGGTCCTCACCGTCACCAAACACACCACGTCCACCGCCGTGCCCAAGGGCAAGCTCGTCAGCTCGCCCCAGGGCACCTACGTCCCCCGCCGCCGCGCCGACGTCACCCCCACCACCACCGTCACCGTCGTGAAGACGAGCACCGCGACGGACACCACGACGAAGACGGTCACGAGCACGTCGACGACCACGAGCACGCTGAAGACGACGCTGACGGCGACCAGCACGGCGAAGGTCACGTCGACGCAGACGCAGACGAGCACAGTCACGAGCCCGGTGACGAAGGTCGTAACCGCGACGGCCACTGGGACGCGTACTGCGACTGTTACGGCGTTCACCACCGACGCCGAGACTTCCACTGCAACCGTCACCACCACCGTTGGCGAGAAGACTGTTACAGAGGGCGATGTTGCTCGTCGGGCTCTGCCCACCGCCGCCTGATCTTGCATACCATGTTATATCTGTACACAATAGACGTCATCCACGAATGATACTTTGATTCCTAAACCACATTACGCGTGTTCTCAACTTAAAGCTCTATTCCTAATCTCACCTTGCTGGCTGCGGGTGCAGACACTCGAAGTTGTCATCTTGGTCGCCATCCTTTACACATTTCACACCCGGCTATGTTGAAGCGAGCCATTTTCGTGGCAAAGCCATCGAACAGCGCGACAAGGGTGAGAGCAAGAGCCCAAGGTGCCTTGATGTCGCCGGGCGTCGCAGGATGAGGCAGGAGGCGAAGAAGGGGCCCGAAAATAGCGGAACGATCGAGATCAGTCATTTAAACGCCAGCAGTCAGCAAGAACACGTCACGACTCGCGCGCCGTGTCCCGATATGGGTCTTTCACAACGACGACGACGATCGAGCACTCAGCTAAACGGAAAACGCGAGCACGACGCGCCGCACAGCCAAGCTCATCCACGCGCCATTATTCAGCGACTCGCCTCATCGGGCACACATCGCTGATCCAATGTTCTCGCGTCCTCGAGCAGGCGCCCGGGTCCGCGTCCGCCCCCTGGCCGCCTCTGCGTACTCCTTCAGCAGATAACGTCTATGATTGTGACGGGAAAGATGACGTGCCCTTCATCGATCGTGCGCGAGTATAAGAGCGGCGGTCCCTTGGACGTGTAGATCCCAACTCACCGGCACCCCGCACCTCCACACCTCCGAACCTCCTCGAACCTCCCCCGCACAACATCAACATGTCTGGCTCCGCTGCGTTCCTCGAGGCCGTCAAGGCCCGCCGTTCTATTTACACCATCGGCTCCGAGTCGACCATCTCCGACGAGAAGATTGAGGAGATCATCGCGACCGCTGTCAAGCACGCGCCCTCTTCCTTCAACGTCCAGTCCAGCCGCGTAAGTTCCTCCCTTCTTGCTCTCTCCTCATAAGTACTTCTGTATTTCCATTATCGGCATCATTGCACGGAAGGTTTCAAAATGCTTATGCATGACCCCCTGCGGGCTGCGGGTACACGGTTCACGGAACGTGACGCAGATGCGCGAGAGTCCTCCAACGGTGGACGGCAGCGGAGTGCGGAGTGCGAGCATAGACAGAGCCAGTTCTGCGCGCGAGGACGCCGCAGAAAAACGTCGGGTGGGCGCACTACGCCATAATTGTTCTTGTTTTGGGTTCTACCTGCATATATATGCGCGATAACGGTTTTGCAGAAGTCCTCGTAGCCTCTCCCCCGTACGCACACGCTGACCTCTATCCACGTTGACAGGCGGTCCTCCTCCTCGGCGACGAGCACAAGAAGCTCTGGGAGATCACGCTGAACGTGCTCAAGGGCATCGTACCCGCAGACCAGCTCCCCGCGACCGAGGGCAAGATCAACGGCTGCTTCGCCGCCGGCCACGGCACCGTCCTCTTCTTCGAGGACCAGGAGGGCGTCAAGGCCCTCCAGGCGCAGTACCCCACCTACCAGGACCGCTTCCCCGCCTGGTCCGAGCACGCCAGCGTACGTCCCCGCCCCTCTTTCCGCTTCCCCTTTCCCCAGAATTCCCTTGCGCCCCAGGAAGCAGGAGGGTAGGAGTAGAAGAGCAACGCTGACGCGCGCGCATATAGGGCATCCTGCAGTACATCGTGTGGACGGCGCTCGAGGCGGAGGGCCTCGGCGCGACGCTGCAGCACTACAACCCGCTCATCAGCGCGCAGGTGCTCGCAACGTGGGACCTGCCCACGTCCTGGGTCCTCGTCGCGCAGCTGCCGTTTGGCAAGCCGACCGCGCCCGCGGGCGAGAAGACGTTCGAGCCCGTCGAGGGCAAGCGGTTCCTGACTTTCGGGAAGAAGTAAATGTAGAGGATTCGGACATAGATGTGTGTCATGGATTTTGTAGAGCTATATATTGATCTTCTTTGAGGATAACCATAACACCGATGCAGCGTGAATACGAAGCGTAAGCCCCACGCACGCGGGAGAAGGTGACTACTGCGACGACATTCAACAAGTTGGCAAAAAGTCTTGGGATCCACGTTGTTGCTTTACGCATTTAGATTCAGCCCCGGCGTTGAAAGCGTGCGTTGTAAGGAGAGTTTAGAATCGTAATGTTCATTCATAGCTGAAGCACAGATCTAGAGATACGACATGACGTTCGCAATCAAGCCGCAGTGTACATGGCCCGACGCGCGACACCCTCCGTGACAGTGGTCTCTCCAACAGTGGTCGTCTCCGTCGCGGTAGAAGTCTCCGCGTCAGTGGTGAACGACGTAACAGTCGCGGTACGCGTGCCTGTCTCCGTCGCAGTAACGAACTTCGTCACCGGGCTGGTGATCGTGCTCGTCGCCGTGCTCGTCGACGTAACCCGCGCCGTGGTGGTCGCAGTGAGCGTCGTCTTCAGCGTGCTCGTCGTCGTCGACGTGCTCGTGACCGTCTTGATGGTCGTGCCCGTCGACGTGCTCGTCTTCACGACGGTGACGGTCGTGGTGGGCGTGACGACGGGGTCGCGCGCGGCGAGCGTGGCGTACGCGTCGCCGTGCGGGTTGTACTCGCCGCGCTTGCGCTCGGCGGCCGCGGTGACGGTTGTGGTCGCGGTCGTGGTGACCGTGGACGTCGGCCGCACGGTGGTGAACTTGACGGACGCGGCGGGGCACGGGGCGACGGCGCCCTGGTACGAGCCGCCGGGCGAGTAGCTCGGGTAGCCGGAGTAACCTGTGGATAGTGTCAGAGTTGCGCAACAGGGGAGAGAAGAAGGGACTTACCAGCCACTTGCGCGCTGAGGGCCGCGATGACGGAGAGGAGAGCGAAGGACTTGGTGGCGAACATGATGATGATGGAGTAGTGGAAGTGGTAGGGTGAGAAATGGTGATGCTAGAACCGGGAGGGAACTGCCAGCTTATATACGTGCAGCCCACTTCCGCACGTCCCGTTCAGGACATCAGCCCGGCGACTCAGTGCGGCCCCTGGCAGCCTACTTGGCCGCAGAAGTAGAAACCACTAAGGCAGATACCCTTGGGAGCGTGGACCGACACGCCGACCGAGTCCATGGGCGCACGTAAGGGAGTATTCCGCCGCGAGAAGCAGAGGTTAAACACAGCTTTCCGCGTGCGCCGTCGCGGAAACAGGCGATCCGACATAGCGATCCGACATAGCGAAGCAGATTCGCAACGACACACGATCGATCGAGGTACATCCGAGGTGTCTTTCCGTACCTACAACGGGAAGCGCACGCTCATCCGATTCTGGAGGAACCACGCACTTGGTTCCAGCGATGCGCGTGTCAGCCACATGTCCGAGATGTCCATACGCTCTCAGTCGGCGTTCGGTGGGGTTTCCTGAAGGCACATCCGATGGTCAGCCAGTTACTATGGTCAGCCGCAGTGCATTACTTCTCATTGGTCGGTTGACGGTAGCAGAGTTGCGCGCCGGTGCGGCCCAGTCGTATTCTAAATCGTGGATTACCATCCTCAAGAGCGCAGTGGTGGTCCGAGGTACATCTGCCAACAGAGGTCCATGCACCTCGGATGTAGCCAGATCCAAACGCTGTCTTGTCGTCGGCAACCTAGCAGAGGAAAGGAGTATTGAGAGTTTGGCGACTCGGAGTGCGGAAGAAAGCCTGAACCGGGCGCTTCGTCTCGCGGATGCCCCTCCGGGAGAAGCCGCCCCTCCGCGGACCGCCACCGGGAGTCTCGTCATCGAGGCCTGTGTCTTCTCCCGTCATCCATTGGCAACATGGATGCTCCTTATTCTAAGTTTCTCGCAGCCGCGCCAATGGGACGTGCATTGGTAGGACGCAGAGTCTCTCGACAAGTATGGGCCTCGGAGATGTGCAGATGGCTATAAGAGGCAGCCGTTTCTGTGCAGGTCCGTCACCAAACAACCCACCTACTCCTCAACCTCCCACTTCATACCATTACTCGTCATGTTCTCTTACAAGATCGTCGCTGTGCTCGCCACCATCGCCGCGGTCTGTGTTGGTGTCCAAGCTGAAGGTACGTCGATCGTCAGTCAAAAGTCTTCCCTATCTAACCTTTTCCCTCCCCGCAGCGCTTGAGGCTCGCGCATCCTCCAAGTGCCAAGCCAGTACAATCACCATAACCTCCACCCGCCCCGTTACCACCACCAAGACGGTGGCCGCCACCATGACCGTCCCCGCGAACGCTAAGCGCGCGGACGCTACTCCGAAGACGGTCACCTCGACCTCCACAAGCACCAAGGTCGTCACCACCACTGCGACCCGCACCTCGACCGTGAAGGCAACCGCAACTGTCACCAGCACGGCGACCTTCACTACCACCTCAACGACCACCAGCACCGCGCTCGCCACCACGACCGTGCGCACGACCACCAACCCCGTTGTGACCAGCACGGTTACGAGCACCAAGTTCGCGTCTACCACCGACACTGTCCCCGTCACTAAGACGAGCTCCACGACCACCACCACTACAGTGACCGACAATGTGCCCACTGTAACAGTCGCACAGTAGAGATTTGTCATTCACCCGCAGTAGTCCGCTTTACTTGTAACATCCGCTTTATTTAAATTCAACCCAATCACATACCTACTCGTAACAACCGTCTCTCTTCGCGCCCACCAGTTTTTCCAACCGAACGAAATTAGGCACATAGTCTGTTGGTAACAACAAGTCGGCAATCTGCCATATATTCTCGTGTAATTGAACGCCTTGCGTACATCACTCCTTTCCATGTTGGGTGCTGGCCAGTCCATATGCGGATAGGCCTTAGCACTGCCACTCGATATTACTGATCGGCGCTTATGCTACGTTGCGTTCCTTGTTCCCGCCCCGCCAAGTTCGAACCGTATTGCAAGCTGACGACTCGACCATTCACAATTGACCTCGCCATCTCACTGAGTATGTGCATTACTGTTGTATACCGAGGAAAAGTAATGTCCTGACATCGATAATAGCGGGCGTTAGTTATCCAAAAGCACTGCGCTGTAGCCAGCAGCTGAGGAAATGGTCACCTCCGAAGATAACATGATCGTAGAAGAAATGGCTCGCGCTATGCAACGGCAAGCACTCCTATGTGTAAACGACCCACCTTCTGTCAGTGTGACAGTAAGCATGTGTTTCTCGTGAGGACGGGTGTTCGCTAACGCATACGACCAGTGCCCTTTAACCCAGGTGCCCACGTCAATGAAGAAGTCTGCCATCGAACGGCTTCCCCAAGAGCTTCTCCTATACATCTTCCAGGCCGTCGTCCCGCCCATTTACCAACACGACCCCTCGATCGTCCACGGCCCGCACAGCCCATGGATGTCCGCGCTCCGGACCCGCAAGGCGCTTGCCCTCTCCTGCAAGGCCTTCTTCGGACCCGCGACCGAGGTCCTTTACCAAGACATCGTCCTCCGGCGCATGGGCCAGATCCCCGCGCTTGCGCGGACCCTCGACCCTGCCCGGACACCCTCTGCGGACAACATCGCAGCGCTCGTCCGCAGCATCCGCATGGACTCGTGCGTCGTCTGGGCGCCGTTCGCAGACGTCGTGCGCGAGGAGCTGCACCTCATTCTGCGTCATTGTGCTGCGCTGCGGGCGTTCTCCTTCCACCCGCACGTGAACTTCGCGTTCCGCGAGGGGCCGGACAGCGACTTGTTCGATGCCTTCGACCCGACGTGGCTTTTCTCCCCGGACTGTAGCGAAGCCTCCCCCAGCGGACTGCTGTACGCTTCTCTCGCACACGGCCTCTCCGTGATGGATCTCTACATGGATCTAAGAAAAGAGGCCGACTTCCTCGCCTTCCACGCTCTTCTAGCTGGGGCGTCGCGCGTCACGAAGCTCAAGATCAGGCTCAACGGACTCTGCGTGATCGAACCCGAGCCCCTCCCCGGACCCGTACGACCGCTCCTGGCCCTCGAAGACTTCTACTACGACTGCCAGACGTACTGCGGCTGGTTCTTCCAATACATCAGCCACGCGTGGGACCTACCGCGGCTCCGCGCGCTCACCGTCATCGACCAGAGCGCAGAAGCGGTAGACGAGTTCCTGCATGCCCACGGCGCCGGCCTCACGTACCTCCACTGGCGCAACCAATACCTCGAAATCGCGCCGCCCTACTCGGAGCTCGCCGCGCTCGGCAGCAACTGCCCGCGCCTCGAGCACCTTGTCATACAGCACTCGATTCCCAACCGCCGCCGCCGCATCCCGCCCCTCCCCACCGTGCGTTCCCCTACGCTGCGCTTCCTCGACGTGTGGACGTTAGATGTCGACCCGCTCCGGCGGGACGCGCTCCCCGCGCTCATATCCCCGGACAGCGACACCCCAAGCCTCGAGCGCGTGCGCGTCCTGCTCACGCCCTTCACCGACTTCGACCAACACCCGCCCACGGTCGACTGGCCGCGACTCTGTCACCCGCTGGACACCGGGAGCGAAGAGCACAAGCCGTGGTGCCTCCCGGCAGCGCGTGTCGGCCCCACGGCGCGTGTTGCGTTCTTCGAGGACACACAGTGCGGCGGGTTGCATGGGCAGCCCGGCCATTGGCACGCTGATCACGCGCTGGACGTGGAGCTGGAGCAGCTGGCGGTGGGCGAACTGCGCGAGCCGGACGAGGAAGAGGATGTAACGTTCGTGTTGTCTGATGAGTCCTTCGACCTCGACGGGACGGGCGCCGATGAGGAGCTTGAGGGAGACGGAGACGATATAGACCTGCCTGGACGCGGGCCCGTCATAGCAGGAAGTCGGGTTGATCGCGAGGTATTCCTTGCTATGTTTCACGAGAACCAGCTCGCCCCGCCATTTCTCTTTGAGGATGGGGTGTAGGAATTTGAAGTTTGTCGGATGGGCCCCCTTGTACGTCTTATGTAGATAGCTCTGAGCGTCTTGACTTCGTTACTCCTGTATCATATTCTCTGGTTTGTCTGTATGGAAAGTTCGCATCGTTATTGTACACAGGAGCTCCAGTGCGCGAGAAGGCACTCTTCGCCTATGCCTCCCTCGATGAGTGGAGGGGAGTGTGCACTCGGGGCGCAGGTTGGGCGTCAACGTGTCGTGTTGAGGTCCCAAGCACCTGCGCTGACCGCTCGGAACGAAGCGGCGGCGAGCCTGCCCGAAAGGGAGCAGGAGCCGGCCGCCCCGGAAACCGAGCAGCAGACGCGGTGATGCACTCAAGCCTCCCGTAACGGCCGCTAGGACGCTAGGGTCGAAGGGCCGAGAGGACGAGACCCGAGAAGTGACTTGTGTGTGTGTGGGGGTTTCCGAGTACGATCCCGAGTTCCCTACGAACGCGGATGCGCGGGGGACGACGGGGGTCGAGCGAGCTTATCGCTCCTGACCCGGGGGTAGGGGATTGCGCGGACGCTAGTCGGGGGATGCGACGCGGGGCGGGGTACCAGTGCGCGATGACCTCTGAGGAGTACTCACTGTAATTGACGTGGTCGAGGGCGTAAGGGCGCTGTCGGGGAGGCTCGCGAACGCAGTCGCGGTCGCAGTCGCAGACGCGGGCGCAAACGCAAACTTGAGCTCTGAAGGGGTAGGAGAAAAGTGGATTTCCCGGTGCTCGGGGCCCGCGTATATACAGGAGGGGCCGGAGCCGTACGGGAAGGATAAGAAATGAAAGGTGCACCCGTCGCGCACAGCGCGGCGGGCGCGAC